TATTGTACTTGACAGATATATATAGTTGACTATCGGGTATGTCAGTGTTGATGCATGTAAAAATAGTCACCACTATATATTGACCCTTATGCCCCGGGCAACATAAGACCCACCGGGGCATATGTCATCCGAAGAACATCTGAGGAAAAAAATGAACTTAATCGAACAACTTCTGGTGTTAGCCATTTGCTTCACCTTTACATCTTGACAAATGAAGAAAATGATTAACCAAGTCAAGCAAATGGCCCCATTCTGTAAAAGTTACCAATGTGGCCTTCTTTATTTTGTGAACTACACACATTATCCTGAAGACAGAGTTGGGTAATGTCCGACAACACCACTACGAGTTGTTTGATATCGTTCCCACAGATGTTTTCATCATTATAGTACGTACCAGTAAGTACTGTATGATAAAAGATTTTTTTTTACTTAACTAAGTACTTTTTCTCTATGATCATAAATCATCAGTAGTGGGCAGGGCATGAAGGATGAGGGAAATTGCAGGGTAAAACACAGTGAAAAAATTACTACAGGTAGGTATATGAGGTGAATATTCATTTAATGGCTGAAGCTCATTTTTGTTATAAGAATGTTTTTTTGTGTGTACTAGATTTAGGTTTTACTAGAATTTGACCATTTTTGGGGCACTGCCCAAGGAAAGAAATATATTCGTATTTTTTTAATCATCCTAGAATAGCCAAATACAGAAATCTTGCTGTTGTCATTAAACGAAAATTAACCTACTATGATGCTATAATGTCTGATTGTGTTTTGTGTGAAAATTATTTACAGTAAACATACAGTGTTGGTTTAAAACCGACCCACTCGGTCCAAAGTGTACTCTCACATCCACAAAAAAGGTAAAATACACCATAACACTTAAACAAATTGCATTCATTGATACGAGATATCAAAATAAGTGCTTTGTTTTATATGGTGAGGGGTCCAGGGGCCAGTACCCCCCCCCAGGTAGGTCTCTTTGGTTGGTTAGGTCAGGTCCTATTAGGCTCTAGTAAATGTCGCCTCTTTCAAATTACTTACTATAATGATAACAGCTGTGGAAAAAATTTACGAAATGTAACAACTTCCGGTGGTAGTGGTGTTCTCATACATTACCATAGTAGTGGTGAATTCATAGTCTCATACCAGTCTTTCTCTCGCTGTTATTAATATGTATTTCATAATGTTTAGACAGTTTTAATAAACTTTTCTTCTATGATATTTCTGCAGGAAATTAAGGATAACCGAGATATTAATTTTTCAATATTATTAGAATTGCTCCGTCACAAGTGTCGTCATGATTTGTTTACATCTGGCGTAGAAGGTCTGGACCCCCTCCCCCTCAGACAGTGCGTCTTACCTCCGTTTTCGCTTCTTAAGCGTCTACAGTGCATGTGTGGGAGGTGGTGTGGGAGCTTTTTATTGGCTATAGCGATAGGAGATTTATTATTGGGCAAGAATTTTTTGGGTGTTTCGGGAGCGGAGATTTGAATTTTCAGTACCAGATATGGCTGAACAGGTGGAAGAGCTGTGCTGACATTGCCAAGATTCATAAAAAATATAGAGGCAATTTCTTTTTCAGAAACACGGTGTATTACCGAACAACGTTCTTTGTCCAACCTTATTCTTCCTCAGATTAAGGTAAGATGTGGGGGTATGAACAAAGGGAGGTCCAACCTGGTTTGGTTTGGTTTTGCTGGCATTTTATTTATGGGATTTACTATATAAAAAAAATCCATTAAGATTGTTGGTTGGGGTGTTATCTCGAACGCTAGTAATTTCCGGCGGAAATGAATATAAAATTTGTTAGAAACTCGTCAAATACCATAGAAAATACACATTTTCAATATCCAAAGAAAGAACGGTGCTTTTCTATGGTAACAATCCAACTCTGACCACTTAGCTTAACTAACTTGGACTAAAAAGAAAAAAATTACATAATATTGCATGAATGATAAAGTACTGTAGAATGATAAAAAGCAGCAAAGATTGTAAAGGGGGGGTTAATTTGTTATTATTTATCTTTTCATTCTATCTTATTTATATATTAATGTACATATGTGGAAGAGGTGATCTTTTTTCTTTTATATATATATAATCTTATATTCTATATTTAGTTCACAATTAAGATCACTTTACCTGGACACCTGACGACACCCTCACAAAATATAACGGTTGAGGATGACCTTATCACGAAATCTGAGACTGACGAGTTCCACAACAATTTAAAAAATGAGTTACTTAATGCACAATGGCAGAACATACCATAATTATTTAAAGATTATTATTGGCCAAAGGAAGGCTGTAGATTGGAGAATAAATAGTGAAGTTTACCTCTAAGATTATTATAAAGTATTGGCCAGTAGGGTTAAGACAGAGATAAAAAAGCAAAGAGGAATAATGAACTGAAGGTAGCAAGGAAGGCAAAGTTAAACCCCAAGGGATTCTTTTTAATGTATCAAACTAAAACACGAGTCAAGATTGGACCAATACCGGCGAGCTAATTGATAATGACAAAGAAATGAGCAATAATCTGAACAGGTATTTTTCAAAAGTTTTCACCACCGAAAATTTAAACATGATACCCGAGGCAGACTCTATACAGATATAGAAGAAAATTGATTAAGCTAGACAGTAGTGACCAGTAACAATGTTAGTAAGCAATTAGACAAGCTAAAGCCTAATAAGTCACCAGGTCCCGATGAGGTATTTGCCAGAGTATTAAAGGAACGCAAGGAAGAGCTTAGAATGCCCTTAGCAAATTTGTTTAACATGTCATTAAAAACGGGTGTAGTACCAGAATCCTGGAGGAAAGCGAATGTGATACCGATTTTCAAGAAGGGAGAAAGATCACTATCCTCTAACTACTGTCCAGTTTAACATCAATTGTAAGCAATAGCTGGAAGCAATAATTTCAAACTCTATTCAAAATCACCTGGAGAAGCACAAGTTAAGAATGTGAATCATGGTTCAGTGATCAAGTTCTACTACCATAAACTAATAAAATTCGTCCTTCACACCCACCGAACCCCCAGTATTCACTTTCACACTCTTGGTATTTCAGTGAACCAAAGGAGACATAAAACATATCTCAAACTCATTCCTGAACCTCAAGTCAGCTATTTGTTTGAAGTGTGCAAGGTGGGCCAAGTTAGGGGTGCCAGTGAAGTCGGCCAAGTATAATATTAGAACAGCATCTGAAAGCAGTGCACTTTTCGTTCATACAGGAAAAATAATCATCCCATAGATTGGGAAAACAGTTTAGAAGTGTATAAATCAACGTGTCACAGAAAGACTTCTGGTTGAATCAAGTTTGATTAGAGAAATTAATTCCATAAACCTCAGTGATGGTCAGTACAAAACTGATATGTTAGATAAATTTATTGTCAGTGACCCAAGGTTAACAAAGCTTTGAAAGCATTTGAGGTAGATGAAGGAGAGATAAGCGAGTCTCATATCTTTTACCTGACTTGACATGACTTGTTACATCACCCATTTTTATAAGCTCTATGGTGGTGGTGGTGGTGTGTGGATTGGTGGTGTGTGGATTAGTGGATGTCATGTTGTTGACCTGACTTCATGTTTTGTAAGGTCACCCTGTGTACATAAGCCTCTCTGTCCATATAAATTCAGTTGCCTCTGAAGATATCTTGAATAAAGACGAAAGCTAAGGTTCTCCATTGTTTCCCTTTTCCTGTGTGATTTTATCGAGATTTATCCTGCCCACGTTTCCATTGTGGATCTACATGAAATATTAAAAAGTAAACTTCGAACTTTGTGAATAGGAAAATGCAATATGGTATATTATGGGACTTCTATTAAAAATGGATTATCTTTCCTTTTAACTTGAAAAACAGCCTCATATTTAAAGCCTGACTGTTCATATCATTGTTGACCTCGGCCCACATGAGATCACCATCAAATCCGTTTTATCGGAAATAATCATGTAAATAAATAAGTAATTACCGTTGCAATAAATATAATTGCCAACTAGACGTAATCCTGACAGCTCTGTCCTCTTGTTCAACCTTATTACTGTACAACCCAGGTTGTACTGCTCCCCCATTACACTTAGTATGTTTTTAAATTCCACACACACACACATATATATATATATATATATATATATATATATATATATATATATATATATATATGTGTGTGTAAATAAATAAATAAATACAAATAATAAATAATAAAATAAATAAATATTGAAGTGATAACCGTGGTAACACTAAGAGATGTACTTATTACTACCATGTTATTGTACTATTCCAGATGATACTAAATGTTACATAATACTTCCTTGAGATAAATGTATAGTATATATCAGGTGCCTCAAAGAGAGCTCAGGTTCTCAACTGGCTCAGCCATGTTAATAATGTTATTATTATCCACTCTGTATCTGTACTTTTCTGGGTAAATAAAATGTTTCAATCAAACTTCACCTGTTTCCCCCAAGTGCTTGATATAAACAACACATTAACTTTTAAAACAGATTGACACACATTAACATATCAACACCGTCTCTCTCCCCGGACTCCTAAACATTACACCGTTCACCATCCCCTGTACAAACCAACTTCAAGTATTACAGGCCACGAGGTACAGTTAATGGTCTAATATACGGGGACCAGCTAAAACCTTAACCTGGACGAGGTGTTGGTCATGTGAGGTTTTATATTTACCTTCAATTTTCCCTTTCCAAATAAGGATAATTAATTTCTAAGAGATTATACGTACTGATAACTCCCTTCAGATAATTTTAAGACCATATTACAGGTTGGATGGTAATTATGACCAGTTGTAGAGAGAACATATGTAAACACTTCACCAGGACAACATGGCCCTCCCCCGGCCACGCTATACCGTCACCCGCACCTATTTTATAACCATCATATCATCAACCTCTTTATATTTCCATCTCTTAATTTCAACTGTCCGTATAGTAATGGCACTCAACAGTATATATAAGCAATAATAGTTGAATTAACACTCACCATTTTTCTAAACTAGGGCAGTTCCCTTAGACTCCTGAAAGCTCTCAGGTCCAAGGGTCTCACCATGCACGTAAAGGCATTGTGTTCACCGCTAATAATTGCAGTTAACTTGGAAAATAAATACCGGAGTTAATACATTCTTTAATAAAACGTTAAATAACATTAAATATTTATATTTTATTTTTATATTTTAATATGTTTTAACATTAGTATGATTGAAATATTAATGGTTTTATAAATATATATATGTATATATATATACGTATATAAAACGTTTACACACTAAAGGTTATTCATTCATTAGTTTCATTCATATGTACTGTAATATTTATTTATTTTATATAACATTGTGATTTCAGTAATATTTTCTCAAAATAAAGCAAAAGAAATAGTTCCTAATACAAATATGGTGCTACTCGGCCTCTGACCCTTCGATGCGTCAGCGGCAGGTGGTGTACGATAGTTATCATCACCCCGGGCTAGCCTGTGGCTCGTATGTGAAAATATTATATACTGTCGTACACAAATATTCCATAATCCAAACCGTCTGAACGTTTAGCAAATGATGAATGAATATGATTAATGCATATAAAGTATCAAATAAAAGTAATGTCAGGATGTGCTTTATTTACATAAATGCCAAATGTCTCACCTTGTCCGTAAGACCCTTTGCTGACAACACACTGGAGCAACAATGATGACTTCTTGAACTATCTCATTTGTTATATCTGACTGACTTTCAAGATGAAGACATTCTTGAATTAGTTCTTGAACGATGTCTGGATTTGCTGTACCTCTTAGAAAGAAAGAACCTGCCTAGCTACTTTATCTTCCCAACCGTACCCAGCCGTCCTGTTCCCTAACCCCATGTAACTATTCTGTCTTCCCAATCCTACCCAGCCATCTTATCTCCCCAACTCCATTAGTAATCCTGTCCCCAATGTAGTTTCAATATTAGACAATTTGGTAGAGTTATTCACAAAATCTTGAGTCATTAACAGAAAACGAATACATGTATACATTAGAGAAAACGTAAATATTTAATATAAATTTAAGTGATAACGTAAAAATTCTCCTCCATAGGGTCGCCTCTGAGAGCTCGTGTGTATTATGGTATAACAAAGCTAAAATGAATGAAGTTAAACAGAGGAACACATTCAAAAGAATATTGTATAACATTGTTTATGTTTATATGATGTTGGTAATAGTAATCGGTAAAGTTTAAATATATCTAGAAGTAAATATAAATACAAACTGAAATGAAGTCAAATAATTCACTTTAAAATATAAGAAAATTACTTCAAATGATAATAGTAAAAATAATAGAATACTTTAGGAGAGACTTACAAACTGAATAAACTTTAAATATTTGAGTGTGTCTTGTCAGGTTCAGCTCGTGGTAGACCAACAGTAAGAAGTGTAACATGACTCAACCTGACCAAGAAACAACATGAAATTAGCTAAAATTTTAATAGGATAATTCTGTATATTGACAAAGAACTAAAAATTTTAAGACCATTGTGAGAATAAACTACAGATACTAGGATTTATACAAAGATCGTTAACATGTAGTGGATACTCTCCCCTACAACTGCTGACTGATCACCTGCCGTTCGCTTACCAGCCAATCAGCTTACAGCCAGCGACGTCGACAGACTAAGTCTCAGGTGCAGACAAAGGAGTAGTATCGCCGAGTGAGTCTTGAGCTTCAACGCCTTCAGCCAGGATCAGTGCTCCGCCCTCTCGCGTACTGCACGGAGATTGGCCCCACACATTTCAAACCTTGCGTCTCTGATCCTGAGCAGCCATATAAATACGCATAGACCTGGCTGCGGAGCTTCACTACTCTACTCTCCTGAACCAGCAAGACCTCATCCACAAGCGCCACCAACCAGCTCCCTCAGAAAGCTCCTCACCCAACAGGACCTCTGAGCAAGCTCCTCACCAACCAGCAACTCTCTAGCACTGCACCGTACATACAATATATATACAGAAAACGCATTGTGAGTTTCTATTCTACCTAAATCCTGAGTGTGAGATATCTACATGTACGTACGTATGTGAACCCATACAAAGAGATAATAGACAAGCAAAGAGAATCTGACAACTGGTCACATACAAACATACCTTCATAATGCTCTTCACAAATGTTCTCTAAGAAATTCTTGAGTTGGGTGATATATATATATATATATATATATATATATATATATATATATATATATATATATATATATATATATATATATATATATATATATATATATATATATATATATATATATATATATATATATATATATATATATATATATATATATATATATATATATATATATATATATATATATATAATGTACAGCTAAATTACCTGCATCTAACAAAGATCAATAATCCCAGAACACTGATGACAAGTGTTACACCACTAGCCATGAATGTGTAAGAGTTGGTCTTGGCAGGAGTTAACATCATACCTCACGCCAGATAAGTCTTTATGTGAAAACCTTGTATCCACCACTACATATTTGACAGAGGAATCTCAATGTGTGATGGTTGATGAAACCATTTCAGACCCGGGTCCTTTGTAGTTTGAGGACCACTTTTGTTTCCAGTCTATGCCAGTAGTCTTGCATCTCTGCTGGATGCTCATGGTATTGCCTACCATTGCTGTGCCTGTGATACACACATATAGATTTACTGGTTATTATTTGCAACTTTCATATTTGAAATCTGTGTTGTTAACAGTTTTGGGTACAATGTCTTGTGACACTATTACACTTATTTTGTCTCGGGTTGATTTTTGTAACTCTTTATGTATCTGTCTACCAAATTATCTACTAAAGAAAGCTCAGTGTTGAACAAGGTTGCCAGGTTTATTTTAGCTCTCCCACCACCCCATTTTTGATCGAATTGCACTGGTTTTCAAATAAAGCTGGGATAGAGTTCAAGCTCTGCCTAATGACCTTTAAGGTACTATGTTTGGTGATTTTAAGTATTTGGCCAACCTAAATCCTCTGACCACAAGTTCTGAAAAGATATTGCATAGTATTGATGAACTCCCATGCCTTGAGGAGCCTAGAGCAGTAATACGAATGTTGTTTTGCTGTCCGATTCTTTTCCTATACAACACCCAGATTGTACAGTCAGTTGCCTGCATCCATGAAGCAGCTGACTTATGTGGAGGTCTGTAAGAAACAGCTTAAGGCCTTTCTTTTATTGAAGGCTTATGATCCTGAACAGGATACAGTGATGAATAATTACAGGGTTTAGGAAGTGCTGCAACTTAAGGATATATGAACTGTCACTTTTCTGTGATCTCTTTTTGCAATATTATATATCTTTTTATTCTCATGTCCTTCACTTTGTAGTGTTTCCAGCGTTAATGAATTCTTGAGAAGAACTGGTGTCTTTGAGAAACAAAAGACCTGCTATTACTATTATGATTATTATTTTTTCATACTTGATGTAGAGGGGATGGTCAGAGGTTAAAATGTCTGAAGAGTTCCAAGACAAGAAAAAATGGACAGACAGAGACCAACAATACATTATGATATTTTCATTTGGGAAAGTGAGAAGAGTAAAACAAAGAATCTTTTTATTTATTAAAAATGTGTCAAAACCAGAAATTTGCAAGACAAAGTCTGTGCAAAATATAAATGTACCCTGGAATGTTAAAGGGACATATCAGATGATAACCTTTAAACAATTATGGCCGCCACTTTACTGCTAAACACTAACACAAAGATGTTCTCTATAAATACTTAAAAACATATCATTGTGCAGAAAATGTACAAGTATGGGTTTGATAAATACAAAGAAAACCGATTCTTATGTCCTAAAACAACAAATACATGTAGATAACAACAGCTGAAGTCTGTCTGTAACTAAACATCAATCACTTAACAAGAATGAAAATCACACAAGAGAGACAGTTTTTCAACTTACAGAAAATTATAAAATATTGTCATGATTAAAAATAAACAAGGAATCTGACACTACTTATATTACATTACAACTACTGTACTTTTGTTTACAGAAAAAATAGCAATACTACAGGAATTTGGGAAAGATTATCTAATATGAAATTTCTAAGTTTATTTATTTCTTTTGTGATTTAGTTTTTCTTTGGAATTATGAAATAACATTATAAGTTGTGTTGTGTTTATATTAAGATATGGTACACCAACATGTACATACCACAAAAGCAACTAAAAATTACATTACATGTACTACTCAAATTCAGTTACACTTAAAGGAATACCTGTGTACAGTAACTCAATGAGCTAAGTTCTCTAATACAAGTAATGCCAAGCTGATTTTTTTCTTTTTCAGTAAATAATCGAGCAACACAGTTATAACATTTACTTGATGATGTCCTTATTGTAATGTGCACTCGGTGTATGTACCTGTACAGGTTAGTGCTCCGAGCTACTCTCTACCCGGGAGGTAATCGTCACCTGCTTACAAGACAATAAATACTGTACTGTACTAGAGTAAGTGGCTAACACATCAATCAGTGAGGAAGATGATAAGGTAAAGTAAAGCAGATGCATCTTACTGGTTGTGTTAATGGGACTTTTTTTTTTCAAGATCTACTGATTGTTCTTACTTGCTTGCTTGCTCTCTCTCTCTCTCTCTCTCTCTGCAACTGAGACCAATTTCAATCAAGAGTGGGTTTTACCTCCTTAATATGAGTACTCTGATATATGCAGAAATATGATGAACCTGGTGGAGTACTTGATGAAGCGTTCGACCTCATCATATGACACTGCTTCTACCACCATCCTGTAGGACACAATTTTATTACTGTATCAATAAACAAAGTTCTGTACAGAGAAAAATGGAATAATTCTATACACCAAAGCTTATTAAAACTCCATGTAAGGACAGCTCAGGTAACTTATGTGTATGGACCACTTTAAAATCATAACATGTAACAAATAACAGACCAACCACCCGAATGGCTCGTAAGCTGATAAGTGGTGAAAAAAAAATGAAAAACAACGGTATAGTACTGTATAAGAAAAGCTTAGAAAACATATATACTATAAGGGCAGCTTAGAAAACATCTATGGAAAGACAACTTAGAAACCTTCAGTCCACAGACAGCTTATCGAAAGCATTATGTGCAAGGATAATCAGGGTCATTATCTAGGGAAACTTGTGACTCCATAAGTAATAAAATATAAGGACAGAACATGAAGGTGTAGACAAGTATGAGGATGGAAGCTCTGAATATTACACAACTGTATTAACTGAGTTGAGGGTTTTGACTGGATGATAAAAGGTGACTGTTGTCCACAGTCAAGTTACTTCTGCTACAGTTAACATATGTGAAAGGACTATGTGAATAATTTTCGCATTTTTCAGAGTACTGTCTGAATAAGTCGTCAATTTAGTAAACAAAATTTGTACAGAAGAACAGGTTATCAGCTTACCTATATTCCTGCCCAGCAGTCAGTGCCTGGAGTGTGCTGAGGATGCCCTTTCCATTCTCTAGACGGATTCTGAACATAATACCTACAGGAAAAAAAGAAGGGTAGTGTTTTCACTGCACCTCTTACTGAAAAAAGTTACATTTATCTCAACATCAGAAGATGGCAGCCTGTAAATATTTTCTTTGTACCTGTATCACAAATGTATAATCTTCTTAGTCTTCCTCTATGTCAGGTGAATCCAAGTGCATTTTTATGCCTGAGATTTCGTTTGCATCATAATGCATGAAAATATCAGCAAAAATTTGTCTTGGCTAACAAAGATAAAGGTGAGTAAGTCTGGAAATATGAGAGTTAACAACACTGCCCCATGAGACAGTTACTATGCCTGTCACAACTGTTAGAGCACCTGAGTTAGTGTTGTAGACTTCATCTGCTGGTGACACATATACACCTGAACTTTCATCAAATCCTAAGAAATGTTTATTACTCTTCATCTCCCTATCTTACTGTATTCAACTATACAGTGAACCCTCACTTTCTTGCGTTTCCTTTCGAGTTTCTACATTTACAGTACCCTGCCAGAACGAATTCCCACTTCTGCGGTGCATCTACTCATATCTGTGGTGAAGTATAATTTTTATTTAGCTCATAAAATTCATACAAATTATCGGCAGAATATAATTTACATTGCTGGAATTCTTACAATTTGATGATCATTTTGAATAAGCATCATAGATTTTGCATTAGACATACAAATTTTAGATCTAATGCAAGTATTTTGTTTACTCAGAGCAAATATGTTATCTTTTGTGCAAAATATATGAAGTGTATATTCAAAATATTCCTGGTCTTGAGAATCCAGCAATGTCAATTATATTATCCTAACTTTAGTCTGAGGTATTATTTATTACTAAAAATGTAAATATACTGTTATAACCCAATCATTTCTCTGGTAGGGAAGGTGGGGGTGAGGGTGAGAGGAGGGAGGGAGGGAGGACCCAGGAGCAGGTGGGAAGAGGGGAGGTGGGGTGATTTGATTGACAGATAGTATTTCGGTAGTATATTTTGTTTATTTATTGAAGATATTTGTTTTAGCTCATAAAATTCATACAAATTACCGGCCAGAATATAATTTACATTGCTGGAATTTTACAATTTGATGATAATTTTGAATATAAACATCATAGATTTTGCATTAGACATACAAATTTTAGATCTACTTTAAGTATTTTGTTTACTCTGAGTAAATATGTTATCTTTTGTTGCAAAATATATGACATTTATATTCAAAATATTCCTGGTCTTACAAGGAATCCAGCAATGTCAATTATATTATCCTAACTTTAGTTTGAGGTATTATTTATTACTATATTTTAAAATCTAGTGGTTTTCCCCAAACATTTTTCAGAGAGGGAAGAGCCAGGAGTGTGAAAAGAGGAGTTGAGTCCATTATTTGAATGGACATTAACTTGCACTGTATTTCTCTATTTCTCTTAAGTATTAATTGTGTGCATGTACCATCATAAAATTAAGATGTTATTTTTACTAGAACATAGGTATTGTGTCGGAAAAAGTGGAGTTTGGGGGTCAGCCGGTCTATTTCATTTAATCCCCTATGTTATGTTGTTCACTTTACGCGTTTCTTGTTTTACGCAGGCCTCCGTGGGTTCAATTGACCGCGTAAAGTGAGGGTTCACTGTAATTCATCACTTTATATTTATTTGTAATTCATTTATTTTTTATGTAGTTTCATTTCTTATGAAAAAATAAATAAAATATACTTCAATAATTACTTTTCATTCTTTCAGCCCACTTTTCACTAAAATGTATGGCAGATGGAATGAAAAGCATAAATGCGCGCAAGCACGCATGCACTCACACACACATGCGCACACACACACACACACTGTATAACACCAGATTTGCCAAGGTAAAAAATTTTCCCAAAGTGAATAATGACAAAACACTTCATACCAGTTTCATTTTCTATGATGGTGAAGAGTCTGTGGCACCAAGTTCCCTGCTTGGTCATAGGCCATTAATCTTACAAGGTCTTGCTTAGCATGGATACCAGCAGGAAGAGAGGCAGTTTTAAAGGCCAGGATGTGGGCGTAGCTGACCCCCGGTGGGCAGCTAGAATGACCCCGCCGACAGTCCAGAATACATGACCTGTGAGATAAATGACTACTGTACTGTACATTTAAAGCCACCGAGTCAAAAGTGAAATACTGTACAGGTTTACAGTACTTAGGTTTAATACATATATGAACTATGAATAAGACATAACTTTATTTTCTTTAATCAGTATATTTCATAACTCAGTCAAGACTCTGTACTATAAGTAATATGCATCCCATTTACAGATGACCAGCATTTTGTACTTACATCCTATGAGCCAAGAGATCTGTTTGATCATAGGAATAAAATTAAATAGATTAAGAAAGTGAAAACCTGTTAAGTCCATACCCGGTGGCAACATCTCGCTGGTACTCAGGAGGACAAGGGGTGGGGATACACTTGTAAGAGCCACGCAAATTGAAGCACAGTTCATCCCGCCCACACTTTACACCTTGCTCAATACATTCATCAATATCTAAAGAAAAGAAAGCCACAGACATGTTATACTTGATTTTTTATTTCCTGGTTAGTTGTTGGGTTACCTACAAAACTAATCAAATTTATAACTTTGCATGACTCAACTCTAAGCTGGAACTATAACATGAAATATTTTTGAGTTGCTATAATATTCCCTATTAGAACAAGCACTAAACACCATTGCTAGAGAACTGAACAGTGACAAAAATCCTTCATGAAGAACACCAAGTATAAAATGTAGCCAAGCAGAGATGATGGAAGGAAGATGTGTTGACAGGACAAAATTACCTGAAAAGTCACAATGTGGAACACCTCATTTCACATTATGCATTCAAGATTTTGTCCAACTGCCCCTGAAACATCAGATATATGCTGACCTCCAGGAAATTAAAGTCTGAAATTTCAAGGGACTCCAGGACTGTACATATATAACTTACCATCACAGGTTCGCTGGTTAGGATTTAGACGGTAACCTGCAGGACAGAGGCACATGTAACTTCCAAATGTGTTGTGACAGTGGTGTTGGCATCTCTCTCTCAAGGCACACTCATCCACATCTGGAAATTTAACAATCACTTTTAATTATAAATATCAGTAAATGTTAAAAATGGAATCTTATTGAAACTTTATTATACACGAGTGATCAATAAAGTGTAAAAGTAGTTACGGTAATGATAATAAAAACGTATATAATTGGTGATGGTGGTAATACATCATACTTCTCACACCAGTTGGGATTAATGGGATTAAAAATGAGAATTTGTTTTAAGTGTTAATGGAAATCGTGTATACTGTAAGTAGAGGGAGTGATCATGACTGCAGATGCTTTATGATGGCAATGATGAGAGGAGTTGTATTGTAATGGTAAAAATTATAATCAAGGTTAATGTCATGGGTAATGTTATTAAGATTGTAATGAAATGCTTAGAGTGAACAGACTTGGTAAGTTATAGCAGAGAACTGGCACTTAAGTCGTCCCCACAGTTGAACCATTTCTTACATTATCCATTTCACTTAGTTTTTTATTACACCCTGTATTTGCTCCCATTGTAATTTATTACAGGAGGTAGTTACTTCACAAAAATAACCTAATTTGTGTTGGATATCACTACAACGTATCGTACAGAGTAGCAAGGATAGAGGTTACTGCTTAGCTTGGTGTACAATTTAACACATGACGCGGGTTTGTATTGGCCATCACGGCAACACAGCAAAAGTAAGTGAGTGTTTAGTAGATAGCTTGTTATATGACTTTTTACCTTGCACCTCCATCCTTGTATTCAAAGCCTTCGGACAGCTAGACTGGATGTAGAACTATGACGCTAAAGCTTCTCCCAAATTGTGTTGCAGCCTAGTGTTGTAATGAAAGGCCCCTCTGCTACCCAAGCGTATGCTTCTATGTTCCCCAAGTGTCCCAGTAGTCTGCCAGCCCACCTCCCACCGTCATACTGATACCCATTGAATGGCCTCCCCAATATTTATCCTTTTGCAAAGCCAAAAACATTTAAATCAAGTACAGGCATAATGAGGACGCATTGTTATTCTTAAATTTCTACCATAAAGATCATATGTTTTAAGTCAAAATGAGAACATAAAGCTTTAAAAAATTTATTTTATATTCACTGAAAGCTTCTTTAAATTATGCATTCCAAAATTGGGTTACAGTAACTAGAGGAACTAAGTGTTTTGCTCACGTTTGCAAAAAACAACTAAAATCCACAAATGAAACAAGTAAAACTACACCACGAGGTACTGGACAAACATTACGCTTCTAAGCTGCTATAAACAAATGTACAAAAAAAAAAAAAAACACAAACGCGCACCAACACAGGATTTCCCATCAGGCAGTCTTTGTTGTCCAGGAGCGCAGATACATTGGTAGGTCCCTCGTAGGTTACGACACTGGAAGTTACAAGGTGATGGGGTCGCCAGACACTCATTCACATCTACCAACAGTCAACACCAAGCAAGTGTCACATCATTATCAGGTTTACAACAGTAATGGTACTAGAATGAAGAAAATGATAATATTACAGTTAAATGATTTCTTTTTTAAGCTAAAATTCCTTTTCAGGCAACGACAGAGAGTGGTTGAGCAGATGCTGACCTTCTGGAATTCTTAGTACTGTATTCTAGAGACAGTGGTTTACCTCACCTCTTAACCCCTGTCAGGATGCAGGTCTGATGATCTGTTTTACTAATGACAAACACGCTCACTATCACTCACCCTTTTATTGTAGAGTGTACAAGGAGATCAAGTACGTACAAAGCAATGGTGTTAAACAGAAAACAACTGTAATATTAGCTTGTGAATGTTTTACTCAAGTGATATCCAACTAACATTTCAGGAAATGCTTTGAGAATTTTTACTGCATATTCTATCCCTTGAAAGAATATGAGTAACTAATATAACTGCATTAACTTGGTCTGTTCCTCCCTTGGTGTGATATATTTCATGTGATGAGTGATTCACTGCTCCTGTATACTTCTCCACAGAATGTATTTAATCTTTTCACATCTACTAATGACTGAGGATCTTTGCATCTTCTTCTGTCCTGTCTCCTAACATAGCTTTTCTTTCAGTTTAAATCTTCAGGAGCCAATGAATACTCCCAGAAAACTATGATTGTTAGGTATCTGTATATCAACTAGAAATTAAAGCAAACTCTTATAAATACTTCCTTTTATATTCATTTAATCATAAGTGTGATATTTTTTCCTAGGAAGAACAGAACTATGCTATAATACCTGTGTCAATGGTAAGGAAAAAATTCATGTTAGTTATGGTGTTCAGTGTAATCATATACAAAAATAATTACAATAAACAAGCTCAAATTAAAATGTGAATCTGTACTGGAAAACCCCCCAGATTTTTTATCTAAAGTAAATACAGGTATGGCATTTATTAAATACAGGTACATCTAAAAATTGGGATTTATTAAGATAGTCATTGTGAAAAAAGTATTCAGAGTTGAGAGAGGTGACAACATACCAAGGCACGGCTGTCCTGATCCTGAAGAACTGAATCCCTGACTACACGAGCAGCGGTAAGAGCCCCAAGTGTTTGCACAGGTCTGGGTGTAGTGGCATCCAGAGATTTCTTCAGAGCACTCGTCAATATCTGCAGACATAGAAAACAAATTTAGTTATAAGTCCAAAACGTATGCCAGTATCCCCCAAGGAGGAGGTGTTAAGTCCCTTGCTCTTTAATATACTGATGCAGCGCAAGCTTGTTATTGACATCCCAGTGTAACCCACCAAAGTTGTAATAGGTCACAGCTTCAGTACCCAGATCTAGGAAAGTATATCAGTGCAGTAAAATATACAATAAGTAGCTATTATACATGTTTTTGCAAATATGGGATACTGGTTTTATTTTACAAGAATTGAACAAGATATTTACAGACCTGTACACGTGCCATTACTGGCCTGGGTAAGACCTGTGGGACAGTGGGTGATGCAGGAATAAGACCCCTTAGTGTTGCGGCACTCTTGCTCCTCCAGACAGTCATGGAGGTAAGAGGCACACTCATTGATGTCTGCAAAACACATACAATACTGTGCTGTACCTGTCTTAGTGAAATATAGATGTAATTTTATTGATATATCTCAATTCTACATGAAATCAGAGGTGCTTGCTTATATATACAAATAGTTTATTTATTCGTATACAATTACAGCAAAGTCTCATACAACCCAAGTTTATCCAGAGAGGATTTGATTATACAGTACAGTACAGCACAGTACACATTTAAATAAATATGACTAATTGTACACCAAATGCTGATCAAATTTCATTAGGAGCACATTAGCGTGGCCACTCAGCATCCCCGGCCACATGCTTACTGCTGCTCCCTTCTCAAACATTGGTCACATCTGCCCACTAACCTTGTCTAGTGACTCAATTTGTTTACAACACTTTAACCACACTATGTCACCTCACCATCAACAGTCTGCTGGTGGTGGTGTTGTGTAGAAAATAGTAATTTTGGATAAGAAATGAGAGGGTCACTCTCCAGCATACCAGTTACCATTTACAGTGTCAATGAATCGACCATTTGCATTATTTGTGTGTGTGAGAAGATTCATGCCAGTCTTAAAATTCATTTCAGTATAACAACAATCTACCTACTGTATGCAGTTTCCAGATGGAGAAGATGAAAATCTGCGACTCACCTTTGCAGCGACCATTAGGCAGGAGAGTGTGCCCTTCAGGGCATGTACATCTGAAGGAGCCAACCGTATTTTCACATCCATGGGTACATGGGGGATGGAACTGGAAGCACTCATCAATATCTGGAAGGAATATGTCAATGAATGTGGGTCCCATGGCTTGATGGCATGTTAGTATACAGCTCACTGTATACTAAACTGTTGGTGCACAAGGAGGCAGTGTTACTGGCACTGCACTAGACTGCCTATAATTCCCCAACAGTAAAGTTAGGCACCCATTTACAGCCCATTGGAAATGTGGTGAGTGATGTATCCACTTACACACTGCACACCTTTGATATAAATTGCTGTGTTATACCTACATGTGTATATTTGGCATGGGTGATTCTATGCATACAGTTACAAACAAGAAAACTTATGTAATGTATACAGAGAAAAGAGTATAAAAGTTTTATAAAAAAATCCTTTGCTGAAATTACTTTTCCTTGCATGTCATAATACTCTAAAACTTTCAAAAGCTAGTTTATATTTACATACAGGAACATAAAAACATACATGCACTCACCCAGACAGCGACTCTGGCCAACGAGCCTGAAGCCCCGGCGACAATCACATCGGTATCCACCAATAAGATTAAGGCATGTCTGGTCACAAACATCTGGCTGCTGCTGGCACTCATTGATGTCTATTAAGGCAAAAAAGAACCTGATAATTATTACAGGCAATCTTAAATCTCCTTTTACTGCCTATTAATGACTTCTGGGAACCACGCCACTAAACTCTCCCTGGTAGAGTTTGTCTATTGTAAGAGAGCTTGTCCTGATTATCAAGACCATTCTATACTATATTGGTAGGAGAAGCCAGACATCATTTTCTGCTGAGACCGGCACTTCTCACCTACTTTGATCAGGCTCAAATGAACACCATTTAAACAAGTGGTTGACTCAAAATCCAGTGAATTCCTGATCGTTGGCCTATACACCACAAACTTTCTCTGCAGTAACTTTAAGTTCAAAGGTGAATCTTACTTGTTACCAATGTACCAAACTGTCTGTTCTGGTTCCTCTGCTCTCACATAAATGTTCTGATTACCCGGCATCTTATTGTGGATTTTTAAGGAAGATATGTGTTAAGACTCCTACCATATAATTTGAAGAGATTCCTACTATAAAATAATTGAAAGAGGCACATTTTAGTGCAGATATAAGTTGTTGTTAAATCACCAGGATAGAATTAAACGAGGAGAGAAGAGGATAACTAACCCTCACAGGCCGTGCCCGAAGATGTCCTGCGTAGACCATGACGACAGGTATAGGTGCATGTGTAGGAGCCAGGGGTATTGTCACACTGCTGTTGTGGTCCACACACATTAACCATGGAACACTCGTCTACATCTGTAATGTACCGGGTAAACTGAAGTCAAACTCTCTATCATAAAGTGGAAAAACTTGGCATGGTGGAGAGACATCATTGCAGAAGAGAAAGACTGACAAACAGACAGTATGCAGAGAGAGGAAGAACAAGACATATATATACTGTACCAGGAAAAAGGAAAGTGCTTGAACAAATCTTTTATGCACTTTGTCACTTCACTTACCGAGGTTTATGAAAATATATATTAATTGTTAACATTCAATATAAGCAACTAAAAGACAAGCCATGAGAAGGTTCAGTGAGATCAAACATTAATAAAGATGAAAAGAATGGTTGTGTCAAACTGAAAAGGAAAACTCATCTGGGTAGTTACATTCAGTCTCATGTCTTTGATGCGCACTCTCAGAATACTCATTTTGATATTAAGAAGAGATTGATGTCGAGTGACTGACCTTGACACGTATAACCATCAGGACCCAATGTGTAGCCCGGGGTGCAGGTGCAGGAGTAGCTGCCGACAGTGTTGGTGCAGCCGTGGGAACAACGACTGGTGGACGTCACACATTCGTCATTATCTCGACAATATGGTCCCGATTTATCCAATGTGAATCCCGAAGGACACGAATCTCTCGGTGACCCCGGAGATATGTTGGTCGACACTATGAGGTTAAGTTCAGCTTGGCTGTTGCTGCAATAATTTAACAAACACATCAGTCAAATATGGAATTTCAATCATTTAACACATGAATATTCCTCAAGACATGCAAAGAATTATAAATGTAACTATGGCAGATAATAAATTTATAAAAGTTTACTGAAAATGTATGCCCCTGTACTTTTATTACGATGTTGCTGAACTAAATTACAGTACATTTAGCAACCATAGTTTTGACTCTAATGAATTAGTCTTTATTCTTTGGGAAACTTCATGATCGATCTATACTGCGTATAGTGAAAAGAATAAACCTTGAAATTAATAGGCTCCACATGCATACAATTCCACATGTTTCCTTGTGTATGTAATTTCAAAATAACATGCAAATACAACCTGTAAAATGATCCTAATCCATCAGCACGCAGTGTCTCCACGAGATAAGGCATCCTACCCAGCTGAGCATCATAAGAGATAGTTTGGTTCCAAGCATAAGGCAGATGGTACTCCCCTACAGAGAAGGTACGAATGGATGTAGCAAACAGAGAGCCGCCACCTGTCTGTATGTAGTTCTCTGAGGATAAAGGATATTCACATTGAAACTAAGAATGATTTACGGCAATGTCAATAAATATTTCTTAACCCTTAAACAATAACCATTATGGGTGGATGCTAGCTGTAAGGACAACGGTTAACTTCAATGGATATTTCACGTTCCTCGAGTCTTTTTTTTAGCACATGGAAATCCTTAGCTGCCATTTAAGGGCTAAGAGATTCATTACGATTTCTCTGATTAAAATCCAAGAATCTGTATACTGTATTCGCAAGGCACTTATACGTACCATCATCACACCGACTCTGGCAAGGTAATGCCGGTATACCAAGAGGATTTTGTTTCATACTATCATTGTTGCAAAGTAATACAGTTAAGTGTCTTGCAATTTTGGATAGAGATTTAAATCCAGCTATTCCTCACTGTTTTGATGTCGGGTAAATTGAGTTTCTACAAATTCTACAGGACAGATGAGAAGTTGGTGGGGAGACTTAATTGCATCTACAGGTTTTGATCTTCCTGTCCTGATACATTTATGAGAGTTCTTACATGTTTCTGCCGACTTGATGCAATGTCACCAATGTGCTGCGATTTTGTCATATGATTAGTGACAGAAACTATTAATGTTCCTGAAAGGTTATAAGCATTCAAAAAATATATTCACATATGAAATGAACAGAATAAATTAAAAAGAGGCATCTTGAAGTGACAGCCTCAAACATTCACCATTGTAAGGTTGAAGGGTGATGACTGAACCTGGTGGTAGGTAAGGAACATCACCAGTGACTTCCACCGTCACCAGCAAGACCCCGTTTGAGTCAACACCACGGACCACCTGAGTCATGTTCACAGTCTCACCTACAAAAAAGAAGAACATGATGTGATATATAACAAAATATCTCCTGCACTGATAACAAAAGGGACTTCTTTAACTCCGTAAAATGATATAATGTGCAGGATTTCCACCATATACAGTACAGGAAGCTCCAACTTAATGAGTGAGATGTTTTCCTGAAAACAGAGTTTGTTAGATGAACTCTTTTTCAATGGGACCAACTTTCCCATTGGATCTGATGTTAAAATCTACGATGCATACCAGCCAAGAGATATTTGACCTAAAACCTCCATGATACAAACTTGGAAGCACTCCAGCCCAAAGACTTTTGACACTGCAGTCGTTCACTAGTGTGGTACACCCACATGAACACAACTACACATGGCAAACTCTAACATAAGAAAAACCGAGATAAGTTCCTTAAAATAAAAAAGGAAAAAGATTCCCCCAAACATTAAAATACTACAATACATGTTTTTACTGACAATTTTTGGTTTACTTAAGCCATTAATAAACATAATACAGTACTGTCAGTGACATGCATGCAGTACAGTAATACTTACAAGTGATTGTAGTGCTTAAAACTTACTGAGAACCTACACCACTAGTTGTGATGCAGTGTGAGGATAACAAACGTTTTTCACAACTAAAAAAAATAAGTCTTCAATAACTAAAAGTCCAGAGAGAAAAAGGTTTATATTCCTGTACGTACCAGTAGCAAATGCAACATGGGCCTCTCGACGGAAGAATCCCTTGGTAAGAGTGTGTCCATTTGCTGCTCCATTAACCTCATAGGCTGAAGTCCAGTACACAGGTGACACCACTGACAGGAGGGGAGTCAGCCATGTTCCCTGTAAGGTGCCAACAAACCTCTTGAAACACACAAGTAACAGGGATATGATTGAAAAAATAATATATACTATATACAGCTGTCTCAGGTTATTTCATTATTTTTTTATTTTGCGGCGAACTAAATTACCGCCATTTCCTATATACTGTACTGTGAGATTTTTTTTCATTTTGCGAGAAATGCCAACCAGTGTTTTAAATCAACCACCACAACACTACAACTACTGTGCAACTTCCCCAACTGCAGACACAACATCACTACTCAGTCAGTGCCCACTAAAGTCAAGAACAATTGCTCTTACTCTCACAATTGCCCTAGAGTTCACTCCATGTACCACTTACCAAGATGTCTAAACACTCAGCGCCTGCTTCTCCTTCTAGTTTAAGTGTGAAAAAGAAGAGAAAGATATTTAATTTGGAATAGAAGTTTAACATTTTGGATGAGCCTGACCATGAAGTGCGTCAGTTGTGGCACACTGAAACAGGGTAAATGAAAGCATACTGTAATGTATAGCATCAGACTGAAAGTTGACAAGATTTTTGCAGCATATACACAACCATCCAAATCCAGGCTGTGATATATTGTGCTTTTTACCCCAAATTTCTGTCACTGCACAGTTCTCTTTGTATTTTTTCATTGTGTATCAGTACTCTGTACATTTCTTGCTAAATTGAAATTGTTTTCAAACAAGAGATATTAATTATCATTTATATACAGGTATATGTAATTTGTTTATAATTCGTGTGTATTACTGAATATAAAACAAGACTTAACAATATTTAGCTGACCAAAGTGTTAATCTATATAATCTAAACTGAAAGGGACAAAAACTGTAAATCAGAGACTCCTACATGTTTAGGTATAAGAGGACTGATGTTAGCTGACACAGTTCTCTGCATCCCAAGTGTGGTGACATTAGCAGACAACCCAACAATTCCGAGGTCTTCCCCGTTGACGTTCCCTGTGAGCGTTCCCCGAGCCACCACAGGCAACACCTCACACGCGTCTCCCTCACATTTCTCAATCTGATGGTCAATGAAGGCAACAGAAGTGTAGAACATTATTTTACCTTAACACTACTTAATATAATATCTCATACAAAAGGACTAATTTCTTATCATTATTAACATATCAAAAAATTACAATCACTAAATACAGTTGTGGACAAAAGGAATTCAGCAGGAAGGTAGTGAGGTGGTGTATGGGAGGGTAGAGGGGGAGATATGTCAGGGGTGGCGGTGAAAAGTCTCTTAAAACATTCAACACTTGTGGCATTTTTGTGGTTGTTTTGGTGTTAAGTACGGAGTTATTTTCAGCTCATTGTTAGTGTGAGCTGCACCTACCTCGTAATTAAACTAAAAAATAAATTGGTGGTATGAAAAGAAAATCACTGTCTTTTAACCATCACTGTCTCTATACGATGATGACAAGTCTCCACCTACCCTTTCCCTCCCATACATCACCTCCTTCTCTCCCTCACTGCCTGCTGAATTCTTTTTGTCCACAACTGTAAATAGAAAATAAAAAATGGGAAACTGAAACATCTTATTAATACATACCTGCCGTTCTTCTCCCTGACAGGATAACCCGCCAAACCTGGGATAGGGAGCGCTGCACCTTCTGTTCTTCACCCTGACTCCTATCCCACACGTCATGCTACAGCCTGTCCACTCACTCCAAGATCCCCACGCACCATTTACTGCAATGATGCCAAAATTATACTGGGTGAAATATATAAAGGAGTTCACACACCTTTGTATAATATTGATAAAGCCTTTCCAATCACTGACCACGATTTCAGTTCGTTACAGCAGGCTCTCGCCAATAACGACTTCCACAATAACGTTTTCGACAATAACGGTAAGTTACAATAGATACCCATTTTCGATAATAATGTCTGGATTCTCTTGAATAAGGGAAATTTCGCGGGAAGCGTCCGAGCGCATCAATGATAGCATTTGTTTGCCGCCATGTTGATGACGTAGTTGTCCACTCCACCTCACTCTCACACATGCTCAGTGGAATACAGCGCTGCGCCCACGTGTGAGATTTTCGCCACTATAACCAGTGGTTGTTAGGGTCGGTGATCAATAATGGCTTCTGCATTTTTGCCTGTGGGGGCTAGGGGAGGTGGTGGAGGGAGTGATTTGCCACCTGAATGACTGGGAACTTTTAAAGTGAGGAAATTGAACTGTCCTGAGTCTACAGTACGAAATATTAAGAGGAACTTAGAGGAGACCAAGAAGAGTATTGTGCTGGCTAAAAATATTTCGGTAGTGATGGAAATGCGAGGCGAGCTATGAATGATAAAGGCGATAGAAACAGGTTGTTAGTGATAACAGAGCATTTTCTTGTGAAATGGTTGGCTTGTAGAATGAAAGACAGTGCAAGTGTTAGCGGCCCTCAGATACGGAACAATCATCACACCAAGCACCTCAAAAGCTAAGTGTTATATTACTCAAACTCTTTATTTTGATGATTGAATAGCAATTCTTTTTATTTCAGCTAACAAAAAGTGTTAGGAGGGCTTCAAGGGGAAAAAATGGGTGAAATTCTTGTGGCAGCGGCACCAATATACCCTTTTTACATGTATTTTAATGTCACACAAATAACGTTTTCGCTAATAATGGTGTTTTTCAGGCACCTATTAAACGTTATTGGTGAGAGCCTACTGTAGATGCCTTTGTTAGATGGTAAGCCCTAGATGAGAAGGGATATTATAGCCCAAGGAACTAACATGACTGGTGGCCATTTTAGCACACACCAGAACTAAACAAGGCCCAAACAGATTCATTTTTAAATTTCTATAAAGTTTTTAAATAATAATGAGGCTACCTGGACATTTCTCAACATTACAGGCTTCAGTGTCAGTGTCTGGACCTGTACACGCTCGACCGTCCAGGGAGGGGGAGGGGTTATCACATGTTCGGAACCTTCGTCGTTGGCCGCCCCCGCATGTTGCTGTGCACGACCCCCAGACAGACCAAGTTGACCAACCACCTGTGCAGTAAAGTATGGTACCTTTTTTTTACTAATTATTTTCAAAGCAAATTCTAATCTGATTATATTATCCATCAGCCATCTACACTAGCTTGACACAATCCAAACTCTGTACCATAATACAGTCCATAGATTATTATCTTCAAACACTGATCCAATTATTGTCATATTTTATCACTTGGTCATAAAATACTTTCAAAACTGACAATATTCAACATGAAATAAAAAAAAAAAAAAATGTTCTTGGGTTTTAAACTTCTGAAAAGTAGTACAAGGTAACATGTGGGAACCGAGTTTGATGTGTGTGTGTGAGTTAAGTATATAAGCAAAAAGATGGCGTTCCACCGAAAGAAAAAGCCATTTCTTCACAAAAAGGTTACACTATGGGGTTTCTGAGTAAAGATACTGTACTATGGAACACATAAGCTGTCTACCCAACACTGGTTATATACAAATTAACAGATATATTCTTTGTACCATTGACAGGACACATATCGAGATTGCAGTAGTCCTCCAGAGTGTCAGAGCCGGGACAGAACCGTCCACCGTTGGAAGGAGGGGGATCATTGCACTCTCTCTGCCGTCTTCGTACTCCTCCACCACATGATACGCTGCATACACTCCAGGGCTCCCAGGAACCCCAGTTACCATCCAGCTGCCAACAAATCGAGGAATGAAACATAACATCTAATAAGTGATGCTCATCAACGAGTGACCTATAAGATAAAACACTGTCAACTGCGGCAAACACCAAAACCATTAAGGATGTAAAATAATAAATGTGAAAGAAAGACTTATCTCTGCAAGTATGGCTGAGAGCTGTCAGAGGTTTAAAGGGGTTGTTGGAAGCAGGAAAAATGTGATGAACAAAGCAAGTGAGTCCCTGTCTATGGCTGTTAGTGTTCTGAGACATAAGTGAACCAATCATTAGGGTTCATGCCAGTAAACCATACAGTCACGAGCCCCTGGCCACATGACGCTCTGCCAAGGTGTGTTTTAGTTGGTAGTATCTCATAGGTCACTATTCAATGGCACATAGGTTCTGGAACTATCATGAACTTTCTATTCTGATATTCCTCTGTTGTAGTATGAAAATGACATTTAAATTCCAGTATCACGAAAGTCAACACATGAATAAAAAAATTTAGTACAGAAACTTCACAATTCTAAAAGTTCCACATGTTTTACCAGACACGGTGAGTTTGAACAAGGCATGACTTCCAGGTCATCACCCTCACACTCTGCTCCCCCAGCTGCAGGTGGCGGGGAGTCACACAGACGGGTCCGCTGACGTAGTCCCTGACCACAGGTTACACTGCAGTCAGACCATGACGTCCACAAACTCCATTCACCTGACACTACAAATAATAATAATAAAAATATAAATTAATAACATGTATTAACTAGATCGCATTTATTGTTGATACTTAATTTGCAGACTCTGCCAATCTGATTTACATAAAAGATATGAGACACCGATTACAGTTAAAAAACTTAAATGTTTACTTTATTTCAGCAACAAGATCCACACCACTAAATACCTTCTTTCTGCCTTTCAGAGATGACTTGCAGTATCATGGAAGGATACACAACAGTAATAAGACAGGACACTAAAGCTTTAATACATTATAGGTCTCATCACCCAGGTGGTTCAGGGTTGAATAAATCCCACTGGAGTATATTGAAAAATCAGGTACACGTTATTTATTACATTACGTATTAAAGACAAAGTGAGCCTGGTATGTGGGCTCAGTTATCATAGTCAACAAGGTTAACTCACTAAGTGTAGAATCCTCAAAGGAATTGAATCAAACAGTGTTTCAAATGGGGTTGAATTAACCCTGGACTAATGGGTGATAAGTGCTACAGGTATTTTAAATCTTTCCCGGTGATTATATATGTACCTGGACAGTCTCTCAGCCGGCAGTCCTCTTCCTCAACAGCAACACCTGGACAAGGACGACCACCGTACAAGGGGGCAGGAGCCATGCAGTACCTGGACCTCAGTCGTACTCCACTACCACAAGTGGTGCTGGTCCACACACAAGGTAAATCATTCATTAAACTAAAAGTATTCAGCAATAAACTATTTCAGAAAACAAATGAAACAAAAGAATAACTCAACAAAAGCTGATCCTTGGTAGGAGTGAAACAATTTTAATCCACATCACTCAGGTTGACTAACCTACACTCACTCCAGGGATCCCACGGAGACCAGTTACCATCAACGGGACAGGGCTGAGGACGGCAGGGACGGGTGTGAGCCTCGTCACCCTGACAGGGAGAACCTCCGTGCTGTGGTGCAGGAGAATTACATCTCCTTCTCCTCTCCTGTTGTCCAGTACCACAAGATACACTGCAGTGTGACCAAGGGCCCCACGACCCCCACATGCCCAAAACTGGTAAAGATAATTTGTGAAGATATGGAAGAATGCATTTGTTAAATTAAAGGTGAGTTTTGCCTGAACCCAAAGATCATCATAATACAAAAGAAACAACTGATAAAAGTTAACCATAACCGATAATGTAGCTATTCATTATGCCTAAGGGAACTACATCAGGAGCACTCATGAAAATACCTTCCAAAACTTTGAAAGTTAATTTTTCATGGTTTCTTTTCATTAATTAAATTTTGAATAAATTATCACATTAACTGTCAGCATAACATTTGTGCAATAGCCTTTTCTGTTGGACTAGGCTAATGAGCATTAATTATCAATATAACAATAAATACAGTAAGCCATGTTGCTTCTACTTCAAGTCTGCTAGCCAGGAAAATGGCTAGGTTGAGAACAACCCTTCGGGGATGATGCTCAGATTTTTTTTTGTGTTACCGATAAAAAAATTAATTTGTTGTTGAATTAAAAAAAAATTTAATAAATGGAAATAGCTACAATTGTATGCTATTTTAATGTACTGTAGTTTATTTCCTAGCACTCTACTAAAAACTTATCAGGACCAATATTTAGGTAGATGGACAATACCAAGTTATTTCTTTTATACATTTTATACAGTTCAGTGGTGAAGAAGAATATTGCTACAGTTTCATAATAAAGTAAAAAAGATCCATAAACATCTGCTTAGCACAAGTATTTAACATAATATAATCTCACCAGTTCACACCAACCACACTTACCCTTGATATAGAGGTCAGCCTTTGCTAATTCTTCTCCAAGTTCATTATAAGCCTGACATATGACTTGGCCCTCATCCTCCATCTGTGCTGCTATGAGCTGGCAACAGAAACAACCACCAGTGAGTCACATATTGCTACATTTTCATTATTTTGTTAATCAATTTTAAGAAATTACTTTCACTACAGTTTTCCAGTCAAGACTTATGTAAAGTTTCTATTAAATTGTGAAACCACACAACAATTCAGCATTTACATGTATAGGTGATCATGATGTAGGAAATGATGATGTTGTTGATCAAAATAAATGTGACCGGGACAGTAATCTTACCTGTAAAGAACCATTGGTCAGTCGTAAGAATCGTGAGTGCATTTCACCAGGAGTGACGCTCCACTGTATGGTTGGGGATGGAGAACCCTCAGCCTCACAGTCAAACGTCACTGTTCCTCCGACCTCCACAACTGAGGAAGACGAGTTTATCATTATTCAATTAACAATACAACTGAGTGAGTTACCTCCATCAACATTAATCCTGATCAACTCTCCTTTCTTTTTCCCCTTATTTTATCAATGCTATTCCACTCTCAACTGTATGGTGCAGATTTCACACCACACAGTTGAGAGAGTGTTATGCACTGAAGAACACACGTTAAGTCTTGAGGAAGAAACAAGAACACAAAATAAACACCATGCAAATAATATTATCATTCTCATCTAAAGACTTATATCACACACTCATGTCAGTGATAGAAAAATAATACAGTAATATAACATGTCAGTGATAGGGAGATAATATTAAGATAAGGAGAATATTACTGTATACACCTTTCGAATTACAGCCACCATACCAACAACACTATGACCTTACCTGAAGTAATGGGCGGACGTGTGAGGATAGGAGGCGTGTGGACCACCAGATGAGCCGTGGCTTCAGCTGCCCCGGCGTCATTGCTCACCACACACTTGTACTCACCCGCATCAGAAGCTTGAGATGAATTAATGACCTAAATGACAGAGAAAAATTTAATTAAGGGTACCAGTATAATAATACTGTAGTTGGGCAAAGGTTGAAAATGTGTAGTAAACAACAAACTGGTAATGGTGAGTTGACATGACTACTGGGAGAAGCATCATTATAAACCTCCTTTATTGTTGTGCCTTGACAGACAATAAAAGCCCGTCTATAACTTAAGGGGGAAAGATTTCTAGCCTAACCTGGCACCTGACTCTTGTAGATAAACTTGTAAAGATGTCATTCTTATTTTACTGAAAGGAAAATGATTTAGTACAGTCATAAACAAAAGTCCTGCTGCCTCTTCTGCTGCTTAATGAACCCCAAGATTCAGACTTGTGAACCTGAAGCATTTATGGACAGAGTAATGCATCAGTGTCTTCTGCTTCGCATTCACAAGTCTGAATCTTGGGGTTCATGAAGCAGCAAAAAAAAAAAGGTGATGGGGCTTTTGTTTGCGACTGTACATTGAGAGAGACAGGTAACTTAACAACCCCTCACAAAACACTATAATAGCAATATAAACAGACTTCAATTACTAATTCAAAGAGCATAGTACCAGGGAGCCATTATCCATCAAGTGAACTCTGTCTGAAGAATGTACAGAGTGTCCCTCCTTGATCCAGGTGGTGGCAGGCGCCGGGTCACCTTCAGCAACACACGTTAAAGTGACGGCGTTCAGCTCCAACACAGTCATCTCCTCAGGGGCGTACATGATCACAGGAGGAACTGTTGGCACCAGAGATATAAAGTGAGTGTAGTAATGAACACTATAGGTGTTCCTTGTTATACGTACATTGTTCTATGCCTTGTTCTATTTACTGTAAATATTGGGAATGTTAACCACTTCCAACATTTATTGTAGACATTTCTAATATTTACTCGAAGTACAAATGGTAAAATAACTACTGGTTTAGAGACTTTTTCAACACCCTGTAGTATTAATATGTATAGCAGTTTACTTGATCATCCTTATTATAGGACATAAGTGATAAATTGTTGTATATCATGTGAAAACTTCCATATTAACACTGACCCTTAACTCGTATACCAGCAATGGCCTTCCTGTGCCCGGCGTCATTCTCTGCGATGCAAGTATAAGTTCCTTCGTCTGTTTTAGAAGCACGTGCCACTACCATCATTGAACGCCCATTTGAGGAAGCACCAACACCATCTACCTATCAGACACACCATATAATCAAGCACAAAATTAACACACTACAATGAAACCTCCCTATAGTGAACTTCTCTCCCCATGTATTCCATTAGATGGAGGTTTCACATCTGGAAATCTTAATATAACGGACTTTTCATCCTTATATAGTTCATTAGATGGAGGTTTCACATATAACGGACCCTCGATATAGCAGACTTTCTTCTCCATATAGTCTGTTAAATAGAGGTTTCACTGTGATCATATTCTAAACGGCAACAAATACTGAAAATCCATTAATAATTTTAAGTAAATAAATCTTTTAGAAAATGGATATACAACAGTTAATAAATGATATGAAGAATAAGGAGAGAAAGAAAAAAAGATAACAAAGATGACTGAAGTGGGAGTAATAAATATGGAAGATGGGGATGAGAAGGGGGGGGGGCACTGTCAAGTCTTACCCCAAGAGGCACTAATCCTCCCTACACCGCTGCCCAACAGAGTGAGTGTTATCCCATCCATCAATCAGCCCATCAAGAGAAAGTTCACAGAGATTATACAAGGACCCTGAATGTGTGCCTAGGCCAGTATCTCACCTGTGTTCCATTTAAGAGCCACCTGATGGTAGGGACAGGAACACCCACAGCCTCACACTCCAGCTCAAACCTGTAAACACATCCAACAACAACTAGTAAATAAAGAATAATACAAATCTATGATAATTTATGTTGTAAAGTCACTCAAAAAAGTGTCTCTTTAATCCAACGTTGCTGTAAACACATTCTAAGTTTGGTTCCACATTCACAAAAACTCAATTGAATGTTTGTTTTTCTTATTATATACTATAATTATATAAAGAAAGCAGCATTGCATATATATAGAGTAAATGCTCAAAAAATCATCAAGTGGGGTATTTTGACTGAACACAAACACCTAACTACAGGTATAAAGATTCATTTCCACTCACACCAGCATAAACGAGAGCAACCTGTACATATCTTACCTGTCCCCTCGGGTGACCTGAGTGGTGCGAGGAAGGACAGTGAGGCGGGGAGGGACCAGCACCAGAACATCCACTTCACGATAAAGACGACCTGCTGTGTTGGTCACTAAACACGTGTACAGCCCAGAATCAGACGCCTGCGATAACATAAGATTATTAAACAATAGCACAGCTATATTATGGACAAATACCCCAGCGACTACCAATAAAAAAAAAGGTAAATATTGTTTTCCAGAAGACTCTAAACTCATTCTTGAGATAATATAAAGAAATAAGAAGCTCAAAGTTAATATGTGGCTGAATACATACCTAAACAATTGATGAGAGTAAAATAGAACTCAGGTTACATAAAAACACACAACAAATCCTGTTTAGTTGATATAATCCCGAGTATTGTTTGACAAGTGACGAAGTCAAGAAAACATCAGAGAGTGAAGTCAGAAAATGGGAAGTGTTTAAATAATGTAGAAATCCTTATCACTCTTCTTGTAATATGTAGATGGATTAATTTTACAAGAAGTTTCAAGAAATTTTTGTTCAATATGTATGGATCGACGGGGGTTACGTTCTGTAAACGGCCGTCGATAAAGAAACCGTCGATACCGTGATGGTTACGTAATTTTTCTAACTATTATTAGCATATGTATAAGTGCGGCATAACTTAGTGAAGTGGACATTACAAAACGACACATTACAGTAAACAAAAATCCGGATGCCCAAGGCAAATTGTTTACCATTTATTATTACAACACTTTACACTGAAACGCGGGTAGTTTCAACAAAAATATTGTATATTTCCATTCAAGTATTTATTCAAGTCAATTAGGAGGGAATAATACAACAGTTTTTTAACTAAACCATTCGAAAAGTGATTACGGTAACATCTTTTGAACGAAAGAAAGCGCAAGTCATTGTTTTCGTCACGATTTGATCCCACTTTCCACTGTAATACGTACGTCATTTTAGCAAAAATATTACATTTCCGTGAATGTATTATATCAAGCACAGTATGAATAGAATATCATTGTAATATAACAGAATTTTAACCGAAAACTATTAAAAAAACGAGTAACATCTCAAGAACATCGGAAGCTTAGGTAAAGTCTTTTGTTTCCGTCATGTATTTTATCCTATTTTACATTGAAATACATCACGTTTCAGCAAAACTACTATTTATTTCCGAGAATATATTGATTCAGGCGCAGTTTAGGTAAAATATACGTGTGATGTAATAATTTTTTAACTGAAAACGATTCGAAAAACACGTAGCCTGTAGCCCTGTTCAAGGAGAGGACTGGGAGAAGCTGTTTGGTGCCAAAATAAAAATCCGGCTAAATAATCCGTCGATAATCGAAACCGTGGATAAAAAATCCGTCGATAAAGAGGGAGTACACGAAACACGAATGAAAAAAGTATACAGTCAGGCGTTTATTGTGCCAGGGGCGACTCTTTACCTGGGCTGCAGTTATGACAAGTTCCCCATTGGTGGCGAATGTGAGCCTTAGATTCTCAGACAGGATACGACCTTCCTTCAGCCAGGTGGAGCGGGGAGGAGGGTAGCCCGACACTGAACAACCGAGAGTCAAACTGTCTCCCCGCATCACAGTTACCATCTCCGACAGCTCCTCAAAGACTGATGGTGGGGCTTCTCGAGGCAGAAAGAGGAAGTCACGTTTAAATATCATGACTTAAAATCCTGTTAAGTCATAAGGGTTGCTGTCATCTGGTCACTCTATATATACACAGTAGTCTTGGGTTAAGTGAGATAGGAACCAAGAACATTCATGATATAAAAAAAAACGAGATTTAAAAGTACAGTAAATGTTAATTCAATACAAAATAAGGGGTTAGAGAATGGAGGAAAATGACTATAAAATAATAATAATAATTAATAATAATAATAAAAATAATGATGATGATGAGGGCAGTCTGTGAAGATTCTTTTGTGACATTGTTCTTTACACACCACCTTCATTATACTGTACAATCCTTTAGTACATCCCTAAAGTATTATATTTCATGACGATATCCCTGGGTTCTGCCGATGTATACTGCAACAAAGTTTTATGAAGATATTTATTACATTTCTTAAATTATGGATTTGGAGGAGGGATAGGGAGCCAAATGATACAGTATTCTGTTTACAGGCAGGAGACAAGTGTGGACGGCAAAAGAGAGAGAGGTACATCATGAAAGAGATGGAAAGATGAATGATGAGGTAAAGACTGTATCCTGGAAGCAACATTGATTTTTGTGGATGAATGTGATGCAGAGTTGTGTAAACCAACATGGGGAACCAGACAGGTATTTCAGCCCTTTTTTGTTGAAGAGAAATATGAAAGCAGAACAAATCTGTTACAGGAGTAAGAATGAATGAAGGTCAATGAATCATACATACATGTGTGTGTGTGTGTGTGAGGGAAAAAGGTTGAATGGGTGTAAAAATCCAAGAACTGTTTTCATAAAAATAATACTGTACAGTACAATACTGCATTTGTAGTTCACATGAGGTTCTCAAAATGTGATAAATTACTTATTGGAGTTAAGACAGACACAGATGTATGTGTCAACTGATTGAATGGATATCAGATACACTGAGCAGAAGTACACAATCACATGCTCCTAATAATTTCAATAAAACTCACAGTGGACTGTCAGGAGCACCTGAGCTGTAGTTCGTCCCGCAGGGTTGTGGGCCATGCACTCATAGCGTCCCATGTCTTCAACTGCTACTGGCATGATCACAAGGTCTGCACCAGAAATCTGCAAATATCAGACATCAATTTCTTCTTTCTAATTCCTTCTATTATCCAAAACAAAGGAAAAAAATAGTTTACAGTGATGGAGTGTGTGTGTGTTGGGACTGAGTGAGTGTAGTGAATGACTGGTTGTATACTGTAGAGGTGTGAACTGTTTGATAGTCCCAAGCTATCCACAGAGGTCATGTACAAAAAATAGGGTCGAATACTGAAACAACTAATAGCGGGTAATTTTTCTCTTAAGAATTATTGGTATAAGGAAGGTCTACTGTATGTTCCTATTCATCGCTAACATCCCTCATTCGATGAAAAGAAGGGAATTGTCTGTCATAAGAAATAATGTAATAAGATTAGGTTATGTTTTAATTCATTGCCACTATTCCGAACCCTCTGACATCCAAGCATAAAATAAACAAGCGCCAAATTACCTTAATCATGGAACAAATAATGGTAGGAGGCAGACCCAAGTGCAAATTATTTTATTCTGTATACAACTGTCTGAGCTTTATATTTTTCTGTGGGTTTCAAATTTTTCAATCATTATCTTGTACAGTGCCTTATTTTTGTCTTCTTTCATCATATTTTTTTCTAAACTATATATACTATGATTTAAAAAAGTGGGCGAGAGAAAGATGATGAAACCTTGCCTGAACACGAGGGTCCTCTGGCGTGATGGGCTGGTGAGCAAGGTCTGGTCGGGTCCAAGTGATGGTGGGTAATGGCTGGCCTGTCACTTCACATGTAAGTTTAACTTCTTTACCTGCTACAGTGACCACCTCATCCTCTGAGGGCACTACTGATGGAGGCTCTGAAATAGTGACCAAGGAAATTATTAAGATATATATAATGTAAATTTGTATCTGCTTCTACGGTGCCATGAAAAATGACCGTAAAAAGTTTATAATGATACACATACTGGTACCTGCCATATCTATGTCCCACATTAATAAGAAGAGTGGAGGGGGGCAGTCAGAGATACTATATACTGCAGACATATAAAGTTGTACACAGAGATGCACGTAGACAAATAAACATAAGACGCATACATACACAATCATTTACTGTATGTTCCTCCTTACCCTGGACGATAAGATTTGTGTGGTCATGTGCAGAGCCGGCAGGGCTGCGGGCAGTACAGATGTATGTGTCAGCTAGTGCAGGGGTGACCTTGGGCAGGTGAAGGCTCCCATTCCCATCCAACCTAAAATCTGTGTGATGGAGGCAAGTTTTCTAATACAATAATGAGATATAAAGGCATGAAGAGTACAGTATAATACACAAAACAAGATATTTTACATCAAAATATTTATTGATATTCAAGTTTCAACAGCAGCCATCTTGTTAAAAATATAATCCAAACAACAACTTGTAAGACACGAGAATGAGAAAATGTTGTTTAAATAAAGTTAACACAGTAATATTTCTTGGTAACAACATTATGGATAACAGAAATCTCCGATATCCAGAACGGAGAATAAATTCCAGTAATTTTTCGAAAATATCTCTCACATTTTGTGTTAAGGAAGAAAGTTTGAATTGTATTTGAAGTTTCTTTTTTTGTCTTTTATAGCCTCTTCGCCACTGATCGGCTTGTTAGCCGCTTGGGCGATCGGTCACGTCCCTGATTTCAAGAGACTTTTTACCTGCATGGACCCCTTTGTTGACAAGACAATATTATTTGAAAATATTATGAAAAAATAAGATGGTGCTTTCACATGAACACTTTCCTGGTAGTACTTACCTGGACTCTCAGTAATAACGTGATGTCCTTTGAGCCAAGTTAGGGCTGGGGTTGGTGAGCCTCGACCATGACAGTGTAGAGTCACTGTTCCTCCACTCACCACCACCACCTTCTTCTCCTGTACTCTCACTGATGGAGGAGCTACAAGGAGAACATTTGGGAATAAAAAGAATTATTCCTACCAAAATATGACTGTCAGTTAAGGTAATAGTGTACATGTAATAGCTAGTTATGATAAGCAGAAATATAACTTCAAAATATTGGATGTACCCTTAAAATACTTCACAAAATTGGTTATTCCCAATTACAGATTTTTGGTATCCTGATACTCAAGTGTACACAAGTAAAGGTAAGGTTATGACCAACTAATTTATGTATAAAACCTATATAATTAAAATTTGGTGGATTTAATTTTTTTTAAGAATATTAAAAGTAAAAAATACTACAGTATATCTTCCTGAAAAAACAACAGTGTCCAAGAATCAGTGAAAACCTGACTCAGTGTGTGTGTGTGTGTGTGTGTGTGTGTGTGTACAGAAAAATGTACTTCCTTACTGAGGACTGAGAGATTAAGGGTGTGGTTGGCCTTCCCAGCCTCATTATCAGCCACACACGTATAGTTGCCGGCATCTTCGGGCCGTACTGGTGAGATCTGAAGCGTTCCAGACGGCAGAAGTCTCTCGGATATGGCCGCAGGTGTTCCTTCAAAGTACCAACTGATCTGTCTCCCCCAGAAATATATAAAATAATTACTAAAACAATATAAAAATGAGTCATTTCTTTCGATAATTTTCACATTAACCCCTTAAAGACTGCAGATACATTACATTGTGGTAGACATATGAGAAGACAATTTGTATATTATGTCTACGATGCTGTAAGGCCACGTTGGAGATCTTTTGATAATATTCTTCCATAAAAATTAACAAGAATAAATATACATAAGTGAAGCTCAAGTCAAATATCAGGAAGTTCACAAAGGTTCAGCATCACACCTCCCTCACTACCAACATCCTCCCTCTACCCTTTATGAGAATACAGTGTGAGTAAATTTCAATTGTCTACTTACACTTCTCCCCCCTCCCCCCACTACATTTCAACAACATCATCAAACAAAAAACATTACCTTATATTAGATCATCCAAGCATTGTGCATGGTAGTGAGGCTAACTGTGCACAATCTTGAAGGGGTTAAGCAAAAACTTCAACACATAGTATACTTTTGTCCAACTGTTCAAAATTATGAAGAAATTTGCCATCTAGAACAGAATACCTTCGGTGGAGGGTGACCAGAATATGTACACATGAGATTGACAACTTCTCCAGACACTGCCACTACCTCCTGCAGGGCTTCCAACAGCTGTGGTGCCTCTGATCAAAAGAGAATTAAATCAATATTGAAACTATGCATTGTGTAGATTGTTATTTCTACAGCAGCTTTTACTAATGTACGCCAGAAAACAATTAATTTTTATCAATTTTTTTTTATTTATGCAATCTATTAACTCAGTACTGTAAATTATAAAGGATGAAATGCTGTAGTAGATACAATGCCAGAGATATGGGAAAATACACGACTGGTGATCTACTTACGGAGAACCTGTACACGGTAATCTCTCGTGTGGTTACCAACGAGGTTTGAAGCCATGCACGTATAGCGTCCACCATCATCCTGACCCACGTCTTGTATTAGTAGAGTCCGTCCACCCCAGGATAAATTTACTCGCTTATCAATACGTATACCGCCGCCCTCCTGGACAAAAGTAATGTTCAGGGTGATACAGAGTAAAGGATAATAGGTTCTATCTCTTCATGGGACTACAGTACTGTTCCTATGGTGAAAATGCAGTTACATTCCAGGATTCCCAAATATTACCCCAAAAATCCCTTAAATCCCTAAAATTACATAATAAATTAGCAATTATACAACTCCGTGACCCTTTGCAGCCTCGCTTAAAACCAAGAGTCTACTGTGTTTATCTTATCATATTTTCTAATCATTAATGAACAGTAAAAAACCTATATGAGGAGAGGCCAGTTATCACCTACCTTGAACCAGGAGATGATAGGGTCAGGATAGCCAGATGCTACACAGTGCAAGGCAGCAGACTCTCCTTCTACAACAGTGATCGTCTCCTCGTTCCCGCTGCCCACGATGAATGGTGCTTCTGTTAAAGGGGAGGACAAAATAATATTGATAACATGTATGTCATTCCATTCCACTTATCAAAAGCTCTAACAGTAATGATAATACAGTCATGACTTATATTATTGTAAAATTAGCGGTTTTAGTCTCAAGTCTATGGATACTCGGAAACAAATTCAATTTTCCAAAGGTTAACTGTAGATAAATACTACACCTATAGTTCACATGTAGTCAACAAGTGACCTTCAACACTACCAAGAGAAAATCCCTGACCAGCTTGTCCTAAGTTGGTACAGTACAGGTACAGTGATTTTCATACCTGTAACCTCAAGTTCAAAATGTCTCACTGCTCGGCCGACTAAGTTTACAGCTGTACACATATACCGTCCTGCCAGGTCTGCCGTCACTCTACAGCTGTACACATATACCGTCCTGCCAGGTCTGCCGTCACTCTGCCAACACAAGCCACAGGTGTATGTCAGTTTGGTTACTAGAGGCATTAGTTTTAGTGTTTTGTTATTGCTCAGTCAAAAAACATGTCAAACATTTTCATAATATGACAGATGTTATTACATAGAGAATGACTAACTCTCACACCAATTACACTGATCATTGTTTATAAAGAATTACCTGTATATAATCTTTTCAATATACAGGTTGACAACCCTTTATCCGAAATTCCAGAAACCGAAAAGCTCTAAAAACCCAAAGTTTTTTTTTTGTGGGCAAACTTTTTTTTTTTTTTTTATAAACAGGGATTAGCCCACCCGGGCATAGATCACTGACCCACATCGGGGCCTGGGGGGCGAAAATGTAATAGTAATAATAATTATAATAATTATTCATAGTAAATAAAAATTGTAATAAAAAATACACCAAAATAAAATAATAATGATAATAATAATAATAATAATAATAATAATAATAATAATAATAAAAATAATAATAATAATAATAATAATAATAATAATAAAAAATATAATAATAAAATTAATAATAATAATAACAATAATACTGTAATAATAAAATAATAATAATAAAGAAATAAATGAATGAAAAAAAGATCAAAAGTGAGATACACGACCTAGACCTATGAATTGTTATTATTATTATAATTTTTATTATATTTTCGCCACCCAGGCCCCAATGTGGGTCAGTGACTTGTGCCCGGGTAGGCCAAAAAAACAAAAACAAAAAACAACAACAACAACAACAATAATAATAATAATAATAATAATACAGTGACCCCTCGGTTAACGAACTCAATCCGTTCCAGAAGGTCGTTCATTAACCAAAAAGTTCGTTAACCGAAACCATTGTTTCAATGGGTTTCTGGGTAATTGGTTCCAGCTCACAGAAAATTGCCTAAATTCAACAAAAATGGTAGAAAAGTTCACTTAATTTGAGGTGTGTATGTAGAAGGCTCCTGGATGATGATGATGATGATGATGGGAATTAGAATGGGGGTGGAGGAGAAGGAAGAAGAAAAGGCATTGGGGTGGAAGAGAAGTCACCCCATGGCGCCATTTCACCCATAAAATTTTAGTTCTCTTGGTGTATTTCAAGATTATTTTCTTTAAATCAACACTGCATTGCATTATATATTGTCAATATGTAAAATATATTTCAAAATGACCAATAATTTGCTTGGAAACACAGAAAAAAAGCATTTAGTTGAAGAGAGTCTCAAGCAAGATGTTACCTCCAGTGAAAATAGAGAGAGACTAACGCCTGTTTGCTGTGTTAAGAGGCTGGATGCCGCGCATTAAACTAGTCACTTTACCTTCAATTATGTTCAATAATTGTTAAAATGACTAAAAAATTGAATATTAAACTTTTAAAATTATTGAATAGTATAAACTTCTTGATATTTACTAAAATAGTAAGGAATTTAAGCCCTAGAACCGATTAATGTATTGGCGGACTGATACTAAAGCTGGTTGCCTGGTCAGTGCAAGCGAAAACATGTTGAGGTCGGTTCGTAAGAAATTCGTTAACCGAATTTTTGTTCGTTAACCGAATTGAAGATCCTTATGGAAGGCAGTTCGTTAACCGAAATTTCGTTAACCGAGGCGTTCGTTAAACGAGGGGTCACTGTAATAATAATAATTAAACATTCTGAAAACCGAAAAATTCCGAAATCCGAAATGCCTCTGGCCCCAAGATCGGATAAGGGATTGTCAACCTGTATACAGAAATTAATCACACAGTTTGAAAAGCTCAAAATATTGTTCTCCAAATCAAAACTTTATAAAATTTACTTTGTATTTTCTGCCATGTGCACAGTCTTATGATCTCCAAGTTGAAGATAGTCAAAGAAACTCCAGCATCCTTGTCCTTTGATATACAGTACAGTAATACATGGTTTAAGAGCTATTAAACCCACAAGCATCTCAAAGGTTTACAAAAATGCTGAGTTCAAATCTAAAACAAAAATCAGAAACAAGAAAATTGGGAACTCTTATGATAAATGCTTTAGTTTACCATAAGCTTCAGGACCAAAAGAGTAAATAATTTAATAGTTTATAAGAAAAGTCTACAAATGCATTAACATATACATAAGAAAACACCAGGAATCTTACCGTTCAATAGTAAGTTTGTTATTTTCTATGTGGACGGTGCGGTCTGGAATTAACTGCTGGTTGTCGTAGGTCCAGGTGACGTTAGGTTGAGGATAGCCACTTACCTCACACTCTAACCTCACTGGCTGCCCGCTCACCCCTGCAACTGGCAACACCTCTGGGCCCGACATCTTTGGAGGAACTGTTTGAAGGAGGATGAAGTGCGGAAAGTTTCAGTGAATAAATGAACAACAATGGGGAGGCTGACAAGGGAAATATCAAGTACCATAATAAAAATACAGACAGAACTTTCCTAATTTAGATTTCTTGAACTGTAAATCAATCCCATGTAAATTAAGGATTCTGTATATAAATTGTTACTTAGTGTTGGTACTCATGAAAGTGGACGGACATTTTTTAATTAGATTCATTTAAATCATGAAGCAAGTTCACTGCCTATAGAGGAACCAAGATGGCCTACCTAACACCTGCAGATGAAACGTCTCCTCCTTGCTACCTGCTAAGTTGGTGGCAATGCATGTATAGTCACCATCATCACCTTCCTGTATCAAAGATGAACAAAATACAATAGTTTCAATGAACACATAAGACATATAGGTACAGATACAGACCCTCAAAACACTGGAAAATTTCTTCCCTGGGTTTGAATACATTCTCTTTGGTTTAATTTGACCTACACAATATTAATTTCAAAAGTTTTATAAATACAAAAATAATATTTTACCAATACTGTACAAATAAACATGAAGGTAATCAAGGTACTGTAATCATGTACAGTAAATATGGATGCCGTTGAGGATACAAGGATGAACTTCACCTGTACTGCTGGTATGTTGAGCACGTGATCATTCTCTGAAAGTTGTATGCGGGCGTTCTGCTTCACAGGGTCGGAGCCTAGGTACCAAGTCACCTGAAATAAACGAGCTTCTTTAATATAAATGAAAAAATAAATGACACACATACAGTACACTAAAAAAAATCATTTATGACAGTTTTTTCTGGAAGACAACCCTTTTGTAAATCAGGTAATGCTTCTGCTTATGATGTAACTTTATGAAAGCCACAAAAGCATTGTATTTACGCAAAATTTACTGACACACACCTAAAAATTATCAACTATCAAGTCTCAACATTTGTAAGGGAAAACCAAATGAACAATGTCTCTACCTCTGGGGGCGGGTCACCAGTGGCATCACACTCAAACACTACTGGTTCTCCTACAGCTGCTTGGTAGAGCATCACATCCTGTTCTGTGTCAATCTCTGGTGGCACTGCATATGAATGATAAAACGAAAGAATAATAAGAAAGAAAGAAAAAATGAGTACAAAGTGAAAAAATAGTTATAAAGCACAAGTTTTTATGTGTAAATGTTATGTACTGTCAGTCAAAAACTATCTTTACATGAGGGGATCAATGAATTTTAGAATGAACACTGCGACTCCTGTTGTCTCGGTAGGGTTGCCAAAATTCATTGTCTGTTGCGTCATATTTTTTTCAACACAATTTTGTAAAGATTTTTTGAGTGACCGTCCATGCAGCTGTACAATCTTCTGTTATACCATGTGGTTTATCATAAATACGGTACATACATCATAAATATATCATAAAAGATGTAACATTACTTGTGCCACACTTGTCTTACCATCACAAACATTAGAACGGTGTATGGAAAATCACAGAGCAACATATATACAATTTATTATTTAAATCATGAAATTTTTTATAATACATTCACTTATGAGATCTTTGGACAAATAGGTTACAAATTACCTTTGTTAATATAATTTGTCTGTTAAATTATCTGCAGGCAAGACGTGATAAGAAAATAAGCTTCCATAAAAGGCAATAGAGGTGCAATTTATGCTAAGAACAAATGAAGGTCAAAAACTCTTAAAATAAATTGTTAGAAAAAAAAAGAACTTTGCAACACTTCAGGTTCAAACAGTAAGTGAAGTTTAAGTTAAAAACCCAGAAGTCATACTAACCCAAGGCATCAACTCTAAACGTTCTCTTGGTCACTCCAGCTTCATTGTTGACTTCACAGGTGTACAATCCTTCATTAACCTTTGTTACTTTTGGTAGAGTTAAACGTGTGCCATCATACGATATCTTCTCCAGTGACGTAGAATTCTGCTTTCTAGATCTATGCCAGCCATTATCAAGGGCGTTGTCTCGTGGTTTTGATGGGTCAACCTCCATCTCGGAGAAATTATCTAAGTAGTTCTGATGACTGTAATCCTCTACATCTGCTCTCTCACCCATTACTGATGTGTCAGGGGTAGTCTGCATTGGGGGAAAGCTGTTCTCTACCTGGTGTCCATTCTGTTTAAAATAAAACATTCCAAAATTTATGATCAATATGGAAGAAAGTTACAAGATCAATAATGCCTCAACAGCACCATATTTAATAACATGTACTTAATAAAGGGGATTAACAAGCCATGAATAAAAGATCTGTGGAATTTCAGAGCTCACTTGTCATCAGTAATTGACTTGGGTGATCCATACCACCCATCAAGATATGGCATAAACTGTGGCCCCGGCAGGTTCAGCAGACGTTTATACATTATCCAGCTGTACAAGACGGTGTATGAATGCCCAGATTAAACTCCCAATCCAGTCACAAGGTTGAATCATTACTTCAAACCCATAATATAGTGGTGAATATCTAGGTGGGCCATGGAGGTATATAGTAGCATAAGAACATCACCATTATTAAAGTTTTCTGGTCATTTTCCAGGCTTGTGTGGGTCTACTGTACAGATAACTCTCCACATATGCAAATGCACCTTCGCATGATTTAATATTGAACAGTGAACCAGAAAAATCACCTTAATTTATGTGCGCTTTCTCAGTTACCGCAACGGCACACCTCAAGCAAGATCCAACATCATACAAACTACAATTTTTTTACGTTTCAATGCTTTTATTTGCTTCTCATCAATGCTCTCTTATCAAACGTTTTTTTCTGTTTTAAAACTTCTAAAAATAAATAGAAACTGTCATTAAATTCATAACGACAAGTGTTGTTCAGTGAATGCTCAGGAACACGACCTCCAATTATAAGATGTTTTTAAAATACTGTATATATTTTTTTCAGTTCTACAGACAACTTCAAGAACACATCCAGCATGTAAGTCAAGGGATAACTGCACTTCCTATTATAATTTACAGATGTAAACACTTACTTTCGTCCAGGTGATAGTGTAGGGCTTGTGTCTGTGAGGGCCTCTACGAGTTGTTGTGGAGGGCACCTTGACCTTACACTCCAGAGTGACTGAGCGACCTTCCAGCACCGATATATATTCTTCAGGGTCACCCTCCAGCTCAGGGCGACCTACGATGATATGAATATTCTCAGACATGTTTTTATCAGTACAGGTACAGTATATAAAACTTGGACCTTATCTAGAGAGAAAATCATAGTTTAAAAGTATCCAACTGATTAGTAAGGCATACACTAGTACAGGTATTACTACTACAACATAGTGTATATAGTGTGCAGCTGGCAGTCCTTACCAATGACAATGAGGGCAGTAGTGAGCTGTGCTTCACCTGCAGGGTTGACAGCCACACACACGTACACCCCAGCATCCTCCGGCCTCACGCCCACAATGGTGACGTCTCGTCCACCAACACCCACCACCAGCCTAGAGGAGGACACAAGGGCCTGGGAGCCGTGGTACCACAGACGTCGCGGTGTGGGTGATCCTAGCAGAAACAAGGAGGCTCGAGATAAACACTTATGTAGACCATTTATATATCCTACTAAATAAGTCAGTTACCCCGAAGTAACACCGTAAGATTACCTAATACATTACTGTACTAAACTGTTGAACTGTATATCTATATCACCGGGTTCCTGCAGCAACAATTAATAATGTTGAAAGGTTACTTCATCAAACTATACTGTACATTTATCCATCATCATCCATAAAGAAAGAATTAAAGTGTACAATCCCATATTGCCACATAGTAGGTGAAATAATTAACCCGAGATCAGTACTGTACCACTAAACTATCCTGACAGAGCCAGCCTTATGTCAGATTTCTTATGATTGTCTAGCCTGAAAAAGAAAATAGTAATAAGAACATTAATTTTCTTATGGTGCATGAGCTAATACACACCCTGTATAGTATATATTATGAAGATTGACTAACCAGTGATGGGGCAGGTGAGAGTAACAGTTTGGTCTTGTGTGGTGGTGAACGTGGTGCTCACTGATGTATTGCGTGGTCGACCATCAGCAGGTAACAACGTCGCCTCAGCTCCTCCTGCAGTAGTGGATTAAATCTCATTAACTTTGATCCAGATAGAGAAATTATAACAACATGACCATGGACAAGGAACAAAGGCTGATGAATGGTAGTAAAAGTGATATCATGTACTCACCTCTTAATACAGTACAGTACTGTACTCATAAACTGTGATTGAGGATGCTGGACTTTTGGCTAATCTGGACCCTTTCCATTTAGTTAGTCCAGGACAAACAAGGTTTTAGTGTGTGTGTGTGTGTGTGTGTGTAAAATTCTAATATAAACTCATTTCTATGGCAGATATCTCACCTGGAGAGAGGACTGTAGCTTGGCCTGGCAGAGCTGTAATGTTGATCCTGGGTGGTGCTTGTACAGCAACTCTCACCATCTTGGTGTCTTTGCCGGCTGAGTTTTCTGCCACACACTGATACACTCCAGAGTCCTTCACCTCGGCTCCTGTGATCACCAGCTTCTCTCCGTCGCCCAAAACCTAAGATGGAATGATGAATTTGTTGGATGGAATATAATTTCGAAAGATATCTTTACTTCTGTGTTAACACAAGTACGTACTGTAGTGTACAATATATTGTCTATGTTCACTACCTCCATGTTATCACACAAATATTGGCAATCTAATTATTCAAACAATGACTGAAAGGTTACTGAATGTGCTGCAATTTGTTATAGTCTAGAGCACATGAATACAACTAACCTAACCTACATCCCTGCTGCAGAATTTTACAAGTAATAGTGTCACCAGGTGGTCAACATTATGTTTTCAATATTTTGTTAAATCATTTTGAAATCCAGGATTATTTAGCCACAGCTTATCCAGCGTGGCCAAGGGGGGTCATTTTTATATCCGCCACGAGACGGCTGCAAGGGATAGTAAGTGGGGGAACAGCAGAAGGCTTGGTGGCCATCGAGACAAAAAATAAAAAGGTTATACAGTAAAGACAAACTCTCTCTCTGGCTATTCATAAATGATGAGTGACAGACTGGCAAAGAAGTTCAAGAAAGATTAATAAGACGAACAGTTGCTGCATCTGGGCTTCAATTATTCTTATTAACCTTCTGAAAGTGATGCTGTTAGGGGAGCTGGAAGCATCTAAGGACTGAGAATGATATGAAACAAAGACAAGATGACTAATGAAAGTAATACCTGTAAATAGTAAAAAAGTTCACCATAATGCCTACTAGGAGGTTGGGGGAGAGGGTCCAGTGTTCTCCCTCAACAGCCCCTAAAACAGAAGTATATGTATGTATAGATTTCGATTTTCATATTTACTGACTTTTATAGAAGTCAATGGTAACCAACAACTGATGTGGGACTGGGTTAGGGAGAAGTGTTGCATAACCCTACAACTGTTGGCCTCATTCTTTTCTTCTCAAATCGTCTTTTTTTTTTTTTACAATATCCAAGTGCTTGATAGAGGGACTGATGAAAATTATCAGGAAAGAAAAATTATTTAAACCTTCATGTGATATATTAAATTTCCTAGAGTGTTGATTTACCGATTCATAAAGAGTGTGGTCGCTTACTGTGTGTTGTGGACGGTGGAGATCCTTCCCAAGGAACCACTGTCTGGTGGGTGGTGGGGAACCTTTGACCAGGTGACATTCCAGCGCAGCGTGGCCACCCTCCATCACCGTAACCACCTCTGTTCCCTCCCGAAGGTGACTGCCCCGCCTTGTACCAGCAATCAGTGGCGGTACTACATAACATTTGGTAAGTTGGGATGGCCAATAAATAAGGAGTTACATCACGTCAGTCAAGATTACAATAGGTCCAAAAATGTAACATGTCAGTTAGGCGCACATCATGTCAGCCAAAGTCACAATACGTTAAAGGTCACAGCAGCACACCAGTAAGGAACATGGAAGGACAGACATACTGAGGACAATCATAATCACAAGTCAGTTAGGACCAGTTCACCAACCACGGTGTTATCTTATCAGCTATACCCTGGAAAAGGTCAAAACTATTCTACAAATAATTACAATATAATAACTCAGAATATAACCCGCAGGCAGACAGTGTACAGTCTCACCCAAAAGTTAGTAACTCTCCCAGCCAGCTATTGCTGCACTGCCTGCTTCAGATGTTTGAAACTGTCTCAGTAACAACCAGAACATAAAATCGATACAAATAAATCTAAAGGTTCGAAGTAACAGACTCAAGTTCATACATCTGCAGCAGGCAGTGCAGCAATAGCTGGCTGGGAGAGTTAACAAACTTTTGGGTGAGACTGTACCTCCATACAATTATTTTGCGGGGTTTTAGTGACCATGACAATCAGAAGGAACGCATTAATAATCTCAAAATATACTGCTATTCATACACAGGTTAAGGCACCATACGTCACAATCAAAATCTATCTTACTCAAGGTTCATCATAAATTTTATGTCTCTACAGTAAATCAGAATAACTCACCCAGTACGTTGAGTTTGATGGGGATATCAAGGACTCCAGCAGCATTTGAGGCAATACAAGTGTACACACCAGTGTCGTGGTTGCCCACCCGTACTATCCTCAGTGTTCGTCCGTCACTACCTACGTCCACATTGCCACGCCCACTCACACCCACGATGGAGCCACCCACTGACCATATCACAGATGGGGCTGTAAAGGTGTTAAACTCATTAAAGGTCCATCAACCAAAGGAGTGTTATTTCATGACAAAAGTACAATGATAACAATTTAGGGCGGCCAGGCAATCCCGTATATTGTCCCTTATTGCATCTTATCCCGCTGTCCTGGAGAGGTGCATCAATCTCTCACGTCTGCGAGGCTCTCGATACATTACTTAAAAAACAATAAGTCGTCCAAGCTTATCAAGTTAACTGCCCCCTTTTTATGAACCAAACACCACATATATACTTTCATGAAATTAACAGTAATGTATATGTTTTCATTCATATTCAAAGCCGTTGTTGATAATGTTTATTTCTATCTATAAAACAATATGGTAAGTTGTGTCTCCAATACTACACACATCCACTATATTTCACCTGTCCTTCACCCAAGCACACACCGGACCAACTCAATAACCAATCACAAAGTGTTCTCAAAATCGTAAGTAATTGTATTATCTTCTGAATGGTCACTATACCTAACGGGTGTGGCTAGACTACATGGCACTCACTACGTCATCACACATTAGGGGGTGTATGTATGATACTGACATACTATTACACACTGACACACTAACATACACACACACTAATACACACTGACACACTAATACACACCAACACACTCACACAGTAATACTCGACACAAACTGACACTCAACACATCCACTAACACACTTAACACTCAACACATACTAATACACTCATCACACACTAACAGCCGTACACAAAAGCTTCTCAGCACTAAGAGAAAGTGTCACTGAGACAAACACACAGACATACTGATAATGAATAAAACTCACTGACAAAATCTGACAGAGACATACCAAGAGGCAACACATAACACTGAAACAAGAAGGTCATGTATAATTCACAACAAAAATCAAACCTCACTGAACTGACAAGATCGATCATGTCCACCACCACACTCGAGCTAGTCTTTCACCCCCGGCTATGACTTATAATAAACTGAATGTATTAAAAATATATATAATAATCGTGATTTTCGAAGTATATTAAGAAACTTAAAATAAAATGAACCGCTAACCAATTAAGTTTATGTAATGCGTCAGTTTCACCCTTGTAGAGTGTGCTAGTGTAATGCCCTGTGTCCATTTAAGGTACAGTTCAGTGTCCATGTATTTTGCATGTGTCAAGCCAGACAGTGCAGAATTAAATTAGTGTTACTCAGAATTTTGCACCACACTACGTAGAAAATTTGCATGTTTATTGTACATTACAGACAGCACCTAAAAACGTTTAACCGCCTGGAATATGGGCTTTGTTTATTTTCATTTTCTATAAACTTTAGGGTTCCAGTTCTCTGAAAGACATACTGCCGCACCGACTACGCCTAGCGGGAAGTGCTTTCAGGCGTCTGACCCACCAAGGGCCAAGGCCATTACAGTATTGAAGTCGCTCAATTCTCCTATAATATAAAGATATTGCTGTGCCTCTTACGAGGATTCCTTTGTTTGAAACGAAGAATATATGGTTTATTAAATTATCGATCTTGAGCTTGTTGTTGGTAACAATGTTGTCCAATGATGTTAGATTACTGTCCATAAACATTTCACCACCTCCTAGCTGGCAAAACACACACACACACACATACAGTACATCATTCGCACTATACATATGCATACAAGCCATACATACATATTCAGTCCCCCGCCACCACCACGCACACAAACACAATATTTCACCTCTAAGTTGGTAACACTGGACAACACGGTGAGCGTCGGTGACCCAACTTGACCCATCAACTGTCACAACTTTATCATGTACAACACTGAATGGAGACCCACCAAACTTGTTACGACAAAATCTTTTGTATCAACACCAAAAGCCTCTAATGTAACTTAGACCATGTCCTAGAGAAAAACTTGGGGTGGTTGTGATGAATTATGATCTATATGGATTATTTATATAAAAAAAAGTGAATGTGAGCAAGTCTGGAGAGGATAGACAGAGGGGGTGACACAAAGTAGACAGTGATGAGGGAAGGTATGGCAGGAAATAGGGTGATAGAGAGAGAGGGGGGGAGAAGGATTAGGAAGAAGGGAGTGGAACGACAGAGCCAGAATAAAGGAAAGAGGGAATAAAAAGATAAACATATCATAATGAAAAAAAGAAGAACATTCACGGTATATACACTCACTACCAGCAGCGATATCTGGCACCACCCAACATGCCTCATATATACTGTTTCACTCGGCTAACTTAACCAGTCGTCGAGTGTCAGCTGAACATGACGGTTGGATAGGAAGATTAACACAACCACTTCACTTCGTCTTCCCTCACCCATACTTTAAAAGTTTACAGGACTGGTAAGCGGTGCTCTAGTTCAGAACATACTGTGTAACTTTCAATATTCTGTGCTTAGTTTTAATACTGTCAGCTTTAGTTAGGGTAAGATTAAGATAGGTGAAGTAAGGTCAGAGCACGAGTGATTAAGTTAGATTAGTTAAGATCAAGTTAATTGTGGTTAGGTTAAGGAAGGTAAGTTTTGGGTCAAGTATGAACCACGTGTGGGATAGACGAGTCATGTATTAAATTAATTAATGACCATAAACTATGATAACTCAGATCACTACGTTCAGTCCATCCTCACCACTAACTTATTCACTTGGTACGTATATAAGTGTACAGTACACTCAGAAATGAATTATGTAAGACAATAGTCACATTATACTAAGGTACAGTCTAGAATTGTGTCAATTTTGGTACACGAGTTAATAAAGTACATATACAACGCCTAACCTAACTCATACTCCATTATCCAGTAACATAATATTTCGTAATTATCTCTGGACGCATAATGTAAATTAATGAACATGATAATTTATGCAAGAAAAATATTTTATCAGGTCAGGTCTGAGTGCAATATTCGCCAATAAAATCTTGACTGGTAACATTAGTTTGTATCATCAAAATACAGGTCTCCCCTCCATTAACTTAAAAAAACATTTACGCTGTAAATAGTGCAATGGTTACCTCTTATTTTTATTAGGAAAATGTATGTTAATTTTGTGTTCCAGTGTATTAATAGTTTTAAATGTTATTTTTTAAACTAGTGAGTGTATTATTTGGCCGATTATATTTTTGAAGGCACTTGGAACTTTGAAGCCCGGAGCAAGTAATGTCTCGTTCCCACTCCGAAAAAGTGAGTTGGCAATACTAATTATAGTAGGGTTGCCATACGTCCGTATTTTCCCGGACATGTCCTCCATTTAGGTCTCGAAATCTTCATCCGGAAATAATTTTTAAAATTCTTCAAAAGTCCGGAATTTCAGCTTCCATCATTTTCGCCACGGAAAAAAACATGAAACTGTAATGACGAGAGAGAGAGACAGAGAGAGGGGAAGTGGAAACCGTAGAGATCTCGTTCAGTTTTCGTCAGCTGATAAGTCACGTGTACGCCTGTACGGTGTTGTCAACTTAGCTGTCATATATTTGATTGATAAGGGGGTAGAAGTTGATGATGTGAAGTTTTGACCAAGTTAGTAACCTGAAGCAGTTTCTGGAAAATTTCAAGAGCGATGAAGAATTTAGTAATCTGCCAACACATAAAAAGTGGACCAGATACTTTGATAAATCAAAGAACATGAATGCCTCTCAGAATTGCTAAGAATTGCACAATTCTTCTTTGCTATATCATCTCACAATGCAGATGTAGAAGGAGTTTTTTCACTGATGCAAAGTCAATGGACAAAGGAAAGGAACAAATTGAGTGTTGAAACAATGAAAGGCATTCTGACTGTACAGTACAACTTCCGAGAAACATCTTGCAGTGACTTCTATACCTTTCTAAAGAGCAATCGGCCAATACTGAAAAAGATCCGATCTAAAGAAAAGTATGCATGGGCACATCAAGTCACACACACAGTGGGGGAAGAAGACTGCAGCTAAGGGAATGAAGATATTCAGCCTTAAGCAAAGGTAATTTTTTTATTATTTTTAAGATTTCTATACCATGTATGTAGTATATTAGCCTACATTAAAAACACAATGCAATACAACGATACTGGTGTATATATATATATATATATATATATATATATATATATATATATATATATATATATATATATATATATATATACACAGTATATACATATATAATCAACACCTCAACCCGCCAGGATTCGAACCCCGGCCCACGAGCCCTTGACTGTGACCAGGAACAATAAAAAATATATATATATATATATATATATATATATATATATATATATATTAATGCTATGCAAATATGCAAAATTAATTGTCACGGCTACTTCAAGGTTACATAGCGCCAAAGTGTGTGCCGGGGGGCAGGATGTCTTCGGGAACGTCCTCTTTTTTTAATGTTCATATATGGCAACCTTAATTATAGGAAGGACCGCCCAAGGACTAAAAATAGTATTTATCCTTGGGACAATCCGCCATAAACTTTCTTTAAATATGCTTGAGGGTAACCGGGACACCACAACACTGTGGTGGTAAATAATGGTGACTGAGGATGGGCTACAATGAGCCCCAAAAAATCACGGACACATTAAACACAAACACATACACAAAAGCTCTCCGCAATTATACTTTTATAAGAATTATGAATTTACAAGTATTTTATCATACTTAGTATTGGCTGTTACTTTTTCTATCACTCTTACACCATTCCGGCTCCTCCCACACACACATGCACGAATAAAAAGAAAATTAATACTATTGAACATGACCGCTCTTCCACATGTGCTTATTTCTTTTCTTCTCGTTATTTTTTTTCTACTCATGGGGGCTATATTGAAAACGATCACCACATAAATTAAACATTCAACAATCTTTCTCATAGTGGATTTTTTTGTCACTGTTCAGAGATCCACGTGTTTGATAATAATTATAGCTTCATTTCTTTTACTTTTATCCTCTTCACCACTGATCGACTCGTTAGCCGCTGGGGCGATCGATCACGTCTCTGTTGGCAAATACTGGGCATGCACTGGCTCCTGAATGTATCTGAACCTGCTCCAGTGCTTGTCAAGTCAGGTCTTGAAAGAGCTCACACTCGGTGTCGTCACAACACGCTCTGGCAGATTGTTCCAGTTCACAACTCTCACTCCGAAAAAGTTACCCCTCACAGTTTTCTGGGCTTGTGGCTTCTTCAACCTTGAGCTGTGACCCCTTGTGGATCGAGTGTCCGCCAGCTCCAGGTAAGGGCACTCGACTGGGTAGTGCCCTTTGAGATGCTTATACTGTACACCTCAATTAGGTCTCCCCTTGCCCGTCTGTAGTATAAGCTAGGCAAGTTCAGGTGCCGTAGTGCAGGCACCAGTCTGGTGCCTAGTATATCTCGGGGAAGCACTTTACTCTTGAAGATTGTTACGAGGGACGGACCGTCTAGATATCTGAACGACCTTCTTATAAGACCTAACAATTCAGTTGTAAATGACAGGTGTGGCGCTCATTATCTTTATTATACAGTAATATTACATAACCATTCGTAGGACGTGCTCATATTTGTGCTGTAACGTCTATTATGTTTCAATTATTACTGATGTTTGCCGGCCGGGACTGTTGACACACACACACAGTCATCAAACCTATAATTACTGGGGTCTTAATACTGAAATTTAACCTGGTGGGCGTTAGTCTTTACTTATTTTTATTAGTTATTTATTTCACAAGCCGTTCGGGCGGTTAGGCTTCTGAATAGATAAGTTGTGTGGAATAATTTATCTTCTCGGTACTTTTAACTTTACTAATATTTGTTTTATTTATTTTTTTTTTTTGCGGGCCTTTCATTACCTTGTTACTTTATTCTAGACGTCTCAATAGTAATTGCGATATCATTTCCAGCCAACCATAACTCGGTATCGAGTATTTTATAAACTTCAATTCGACAATAACGCCAATGGCTTAAGAACATCATGGAAACTAAAACCTTTTCAGGTCAATTACAAATATATGCATATTGGTTCCATACAAGATACTGGGAGTTTAGTAGGATCGGATTCGGATGGGGGAGTGTTGCCAACTATGAAACTACCGAAACGTGAGTTTTCCCCAATATTCAGGCTTCTTATTGTAAAACTAAACCCCCACATTTTCTACTTTTTTTTTTAGGGGGAGGGTGTTTCATGGCTTTCCTCGGTCCACCACGGACGACCATATTCAAGTAACCAATAATGACCGCCCCACTCTTGCAACCATTAAGGTCTATAGTCAACCCAATCTACAGTAACACTAATAAAACTTAATACATTTTGACCACACCTAACATAATGGAAATTAACCATGTCAATAAATGCATTAATTACCATCGTAATATGGCCAATAGTGTAATTACCAAAAAATTTTGTACTTCTGCACGGGGCCGAGCATGGGCGGATTGAGGAATATCAAGGGGGGAAGGTCCAAGAAGCTGTGGGTGGGGGGAAGATGGCGAACACAATGAACCCACCCAGTTGTTGTTGTTTTTTGGTGGGCGATTTAAGCCCCCCCCCCCCCTTTTTTTTTAAACCTGACCATTATTATCGGCATTTTGAAGCCATGTACTGTACACTTGATATTAGGAGATATTCTGAGGTCAAAAGTTATTACTTTTTACTATACAAAAACGCCTGAGTACAACACTATTAAAAAAAAAGTTTAAATTTTCTGATGAAAAGGGGGTACTCCATTTATCACATTATTTACACAGTAAAACCTGTCAGTTACAACTGTCTTGTGTGGCAGTAAATCTCAACGTCAAAAGTGGGGAGACATAACCTAACACTCACGTCAATAAAAGATGCCCGAGACTGTTACACTGTTTGTTGGTATTCTTCAAATAAGTTTAGAATTATGTTAAGTTATTCATTGTGTTTTCTTCATGTATATATTCAGACTGACAATTTTTTCTGTAACAGTTTCTATCCATAAGAATTCTACTACGCAAAAGCAAGTCAGCAACAAATGTTTAGAAATATATACATGCATTAATATATGTGCCTACTTTACCTGATACATTTTCACACACACACACACTGACGCTAATTACCACAGGGTCAAAATCACAACCTACTTCAGGCATCACGCAACACACAAACACAAAATTGCCAGAGTAAACATTCGAGACAGTGATTTCTTGACTTTCTGCAACCTTTATGAAGATAAAAACAAAAGAACTTCCAAGAAAGAGAGGTAAACACCAATAGAAAACACTTCTCATGGCTCGGGCAAACACAACCTGTTGACAAGGTGCTATTGGGAGCCATTACTATAGCTTCAATTCGCACCACAGTACCACAACCAATGTCATAATCTTCAATCACAATAATCAATACTGATGTCAAGGTACACTGCCAACAATACTGAGTGACTCAATAACTGACCAAAACTAAATATATTGATTTACTTTCATACATAATGAACACATGGGTCGCTCCTTCTACCCCAGGCAACTCACCCAAAAGACCACAGTTACTAAAAACTTCACGAGGTAACGTGCTAAATAGAGGTTAACTCATCCATTGTACTGAGAATCCTTATGTCATGTCTTAACGGATATCTTCCCATCATGTGACACGACGCTATATGAGCTTTAACACCCTACGATACCTCCATTATGCACTGAAAACAATTGTACTGTTTTCAAAACTTCAAAATACACACACACACATATATGTATATATATCATATCATCACTTGTGTGTGGAAGCAAAACATTTCATAGAAGGGGAAGATAATGTTCGATTTTCGAGAATTCTGGTTTTCTGTGACCCAATTTTGAGGATATGTACAGTAGGGGGTCAAAAATCTTGAACACTTAGCAATATCTGGCATCTACTTCTGAGTTATACACATATGATTGGGATATACTAATAACACTACTTGTCATCACATATTATGCCTGAACCACAAAGTGGGATAAAACTCTCCTTAATACCAAAGATCTTCGGGTACTCACATGCCAAATACGTACTGTCAAGCGTTCAAGACTTTTGACCCCGACTGTACCTGTACAGTAGTGTCAATCTTAGAGGATGCCTCTCCACATCAGGTTGATGGCTCTAATTTAGTCTCCTGTTATTGTACAGTAACGCTTTCATAAAAAATTCTGAGCAAATATTTGTGTTTGATAATACAGTATTTTCTATATGAATATTTTCAAAAAATTGGTAAAATGACTAAATTTTGTCAGACATTTACCAGAGTCAAGAAAATATAAACATCATCCAAAAGTATATATGGGCAGAATTTTATCTGGGGAGATGTTTGTCCCCTTGAATAACTGGGGTCTGATTTGTAAGTGGAACCTGGGGATGCGCCTATTTTTGTGAGGGACAGCCATGATAATGATGAAAATGTTGCGCTGAAGGTGAAAAAATGTCTGAAAATTACAAGCTTGTGGCCCCTGCTAGACACCATTTGGGCAGATCCAAATCCTCCTAAATAATTTTTTTCCTATTCTGGTTGGGGGGGCACGGCACATGTTGGGCTCATGTCACCTTAGTTATGCCACTGTCTCTATTGCAAATCCATCAGTTGCTCAAAATCTTTTCCTGGGTTTTAGAACTAGTAAATCTACATACAGTACTACAGTTGGAACATTTCTGAGGGCACAAGCATTTGTTTACTTTTACCTTTATCCTCTTCACCACTGATCGGCTCGTTAGCCGCTTGGGCGATCGGTTGGCAAAATTACTGTTGGCAAGTACTGGGCATGCGCCGGCTCCTGAATGTACCTGAACCCGCTCTAATGTTGATCAAGTCTTGTCTTGAAAGAGCTCACACTCGGTGCCGTCACAACACTCTCTGGTAGATTGTTCCAAGAGTTTACAACTCTCACTCCTAAAAAGTTTGCCCTCACAGTTTTCTGGACCTGCGGCTTCTTCAATCTTGAGCTGTGACCCCTTGTGGGACGAGCGTCCGCCAGCTCCAAGTAAGGACATTCGACTGAGTAGTGCCCCCTGAGATGCTTATACACCTCAACTAGGTCACCCCTTGCCCGTCTGTAGTATAAGCTAGGCAAGTTCAGGCGCTCCAATCTCTCAGGGTAGCTGAGGTGCCGAAGTGCAGGCACCAGTCTGGTGGCCCTCCTTTGAACATTTTCAACTAACTGACAGTCCCTAGCATATCTCGGGGACCAGACGGGGTGACAGTACTCCAGATGGGGAAGCACTTCACTCTTGAAGATCGTTACGAGGGACGGACCGTCTAGATATCTGAACGACCTTCTTATATGACCCAATAATTTATTTGCCTGATTTACCTTCTTCTCGCAATGGCCCGAGAACTTCAGCTCATTGTCAACATACACACCTAGGACCTTCTCACATTCAGTCTCAACTAGTGCAGTTTCTTCATCCCGTTGGGACATATGATACGCCTCCTTACCGTTGGTACGCCCCAGGTGCATCCTCTTACACTTCGTGACATTGAATCTCAGCAGCCATTTCTTCGACCATTCGTGGAGCCCACAGAGGTCCTTCTGCAGCTCTTCACAGTCATTGGACATCATACTGTCTCAATAATAATATCACTTGGTTTTATGACAAATATGGTAGCACCTTCCTGTTTTTTATATTTCAGAGACTATTGTTGTACCATGGCTATAAGTGTGAGGTGTAGGTGGCAGGTGTTGGTAGTGGTGATGGCTGTGGCTCGCTGGGTACTGCCCATGGTAGGGGCCCATCCCCGTGTCGTCCAAATGATGCAAGACGTTATCACTCACAAGAAGTGGGATTATGTGACTCTCCTCTACACCAACAACAACCGTAAGTTATTGGGTCTCCTTGAGGCTAAACAATTCCATTCCTGGCTTCCTGAATATCAAATATCTACCATGATCTTAACCCACCATGCTGTCATCCAGTATGCCTCCCATTAATAAGGACAGGTGAGGTGTGGTGAAGTGAGGTTAGGTTAGTAAGGCGAGTGTAGGCGAGGATTAGTGGAGGATGTTTGTAATGTCAAAGTGTGCACCACAGGTTTAGTCCCTCAAATCTAGGACTCTTCACCTAAACGTTTTTGAGCATTTTTTTCCGGATTCCTGCAAGGTTACAGGTCATCCAAGTTACCCCAGGCCTACCAAGACACTCAAGTTTTGCTTCCACACACTGCCTCACTCACACAAACTCAGATGAATGTTTGTTTTACTTCTTAATTATCAAAATAATATCTATTCATAAGTTGCAAGTTCCATAATAATGAGTTAAATGATTTTATATCCCAGCTGCTTCTAGTGAGTAAACATTTGCCACAAGTAGCGAGTTCATAAATAATTTTTGTCTCAGTAAATAAATAGCCCTATACCCCGATTATCTTTATTTATATTATTGTGAAACTTCTTATAAAAAATATCCTGCAATGTAATTTTTTCCCCTGTTCAAAGGATATGCAAAGTCTGCAGTGGTGTAAGGAAATGAAATCCCATATAGTATTTAGTTTGTGGACATCCTTAGTACCAAGACTCAGGAGTACTGTGACTGCTGTTGTTATATTTTACTTTAGCGTCAGAATTCATCCACGTTAACTTTGGCTTTGTTTACTGGTTGGTGAAGGTCATTCATCATAGCCTTTATTCTCAACATGTTAATATTTCATCTTAATCTGTTGATGTTAACACCTGCCTGTCAGTATTACTGTACACTGTGAATTTATGGTGGTGATGGATGTCCTCCATCACCACCACCATTATACATCATGGTAGTAGTACTGTTGTGGTGATGTACACTACTAGCATAATATAGTACATGGTGATAATAATCACACACACACACACACACACTACCATGAAACTTTTATGGTGGTACCATAATACTTACAGTTGTGGCATCATAGGAAGTGAGAAAATTTGTGGCTGATGGGGATATATCACTTAGACCAGAAGAATCTGTGTGATCATTCTGTACAAGCATCTACCTTGAGGAGATGCCAGACGTGTCCATCGGCAACACATTTTCTCACTTCCTATGATGCCACAACTGTACCTGGTTGCAATACAATGCTGACATAAAACAAATGGTGACCCACGACATGCGGTAGTGAAGCAGCAGATGTCATTGGCAGATACCATGACGACGATAGAGGCATCAGAGGTGCTGGCTGGGCTGGTTAGCTCCATGTCTGCCGCCATCATATACCTCCCCAACCTGCAGCAACTCTCCCTCGGCTTCACATAGTCAGTACTGTACTCACACATGATGCTCATTCAACACATATATAAGTGAACCTGCACCTCCACCACGGTGATGTATGACTATAATAATGTACAGTACAGTGCTTATACCAACAGTCACCGTAGTAGTAATGACACCGTAGTACTAGTTTAATACTTGTTTACATTCGATCACTATAAGTACGAGTTATAAAAAACGTCAATTCCAGCCTATTATGACATTAATGCTGAAGTAGTAAATCAGTGTCCCAATCTTCAAGTAAGTTTTATCACAATATTTTAACTTTTATGACATTTAATGTAAACAGTATGAGGAATATGAAGTAAACAACATCTCTCAGCTGAAGCAAACTTAAAAATAAAAAAGAGTAAAATATGTCTGTCCTAAAGCACAGCTAACGTGGCGCTCTCCTCTGACAACAGCAGCGGTGGTGATACATGGACCAACATAAACATACGACAGCCTCACTACAGAGCACAGTTCATCACCATCTGGGACAATGAAGGACACGCAGCTGCCTTCATGAACAAGGTCAGCAATTCCTTTACTTAAACTATAGATGAAATTATTGTTTTTTATCCTCAATACACTTCATATAATAAAACTTTTTAATTGACAACCCTTGTAAACACTTCTTCAACACAGTATAAATATATCCTCACGTACAGTATACGTACATGGAGAATATCGGCAAGTTAGGATGAGAACAGTGAAGGTAGGGTGAATGGTGGAACACTAATACAGGAGGGAGTGCATGGTGGAACACTAATACAGGAGGGAGTGAATGGTGGAACACTAATACAGGAGGGAGTGCCTGGTGGAACACTAATACAGGAGGGAGTGCATGGTGGAAGACTAATACAGGAGGGAGTGCCTGGTGGAACACTAATACAGGAGGGAGTGCATGGTGGAGCACTAATACAGGAGGGAGTGCATGGTGGAACACTAATACAGGAGGGAGTGCCTGGTGGAACACTAATACAGGAGGGAGTGCATGGTGGAACACTAATACAGGAGGGAGTGCATGGTGGAGCACTAATACAGGAGGGAGTGCCTGTGGAACACTAATACAGGAGGGAGTGCATGGTGGAGCACTACCTGAGGACAGGAGGGAGTGCATGGTGGAACACTAATACAGGAGGGTGCCTGGTGGAGCACTGCATGGTGGAGCACTAGGAAGAACTACTACAGTGCACAGGAGGAGGAGTGGAACATGGTGGAACACTAATACAGGAGGGAGTGCATGGTGGAGCACTATACAGGAGGGAGTGCCTGGTGGAACACTAATACAGGAGGGTGCATGGTGGAACACTAATACAGGAGGGAGGTGCATGGAACACTAATACAGGAGGGAGTGCCTGGTGGAACACTAATACAGGAGGGGAGTGCATGGTGGAACACTAATACAGGAGGGAGTGCATGGTGGAACACTAATACAGGAGGAGTGCCTGGTGAACACTAATACAGGAGGAGTGCTCAGGAGCACTAATACAGGAGGGAGTGCATGGTGGAACACTAATACAGGAGGGAGTGCATGGTGGAACACTAATACAGGAGGGAGTGCCTGGTGGAGCACTAATACAGGAGGGAGTGCCTGGTGGAACACTAATACAGGAGGGAGTGCATGGTGGGGCACACTAATACAGGAGGTGCATGGTGGAACACTAATACAGGAGGGGAGTGCCTGGTGGAACACTAATACAGGAGGGTGCATGGTGGAACACTAATACAGGAGGTGCCTGGTGGAACACTAATACAGGAGGGAGTGCATGGTGGAACACTAATACAGGAGGGAGTGCTGGTGGAACACTAATACAGGAGGGAGTGCATGGTGGAACACTAATACAGGAGGAGTGCCTGGTGGAGCACTAATACAGGGGAGTGCTGGTGGAACACTAATACAGGGAGGAGTGCATGGTGAAACACTAATACATGAGGAGTGCCTGGTGGAACACTAATACAGGAGGGAGTGGGTGCACTAATACAGGAGGGAGTGCATGGTGGAACACTAATACAGGAGAGTCATGGTGGAACTAATACAGGAGGGAGTGCACTGGAGGGAGTGCCTGGTGGAGGAGGAGTGCATGGTGGAACTAATACAGGAGGGAACACTAATACAGGAGGGAGTGGTGGAACACTGTGCCTGGTGGAACACCAAGTGCATGGTGGAACATTAAACGTATGGAACAGAAACAAAGACATTGATTGGAGAAGAATGCTCTAAATTTTCAAGCTACAGAAGTGAGTTACACGAGAGGTACAGTACGTTTAAGGTTGTCAAAGAGGAAGATTAAGAAACAGTGAAGAGTATCTCTCATGGTATAAGGCAGAGAGCATTGAAAGTGTATGCTGTGTAGTGGTAGATGGGATGAGGGGGTGAGGACAATGTGAGGGATGCAAGACGCAAAGATGGTAAAGAGAATGTATGGGTAGAAATGTGGAGAGGTGGAAAAGTATACAGGAGGTATGTATTGAAAAGAAGTCCTGGAGACTTTTCTCATTGTAGGGTTGATGCATCATAGATAAGGGGAAAATCTGGTAAAAAGTTTTAGCCTTTTGTGAATAAAGTTATATGGCTAAAGCCTGATGTTTAAAACTTTCTCTTCCATGTACTGTTATGATGAGCCAGGCTGGCCATCTGGGACTGTTTACCCAGCAGCAGGAGTGGCTTATCCTCCTGCCTCACAACACAACAATTTATGACATGGAAAATCTTCTCAAAGACGCCGAAATCTTTATTGATAGCGAGGTAAAATGTCTTAGTTAGGAGATACATTACTGCACTTAATACAGGAGTCAACATCAAGTTATGAAAAAATCTTGAAAAATAGGTAAAAACTTTTAAAATCTATGCTGAAATTTTCATTGTGTTTGTTGACACACAGGTACTAGTGTGCAGTTATGACAGCAAAATGGAGTCCTTCATATTAAGGGAAGTGTGGCGTGGGGGGCGGGGCCAGCCCTTCCAAGAGGGCTCCTGGGGTATGTGGTCAGAAGAAAAGGGACTGGTCACAGCACCAATGAACAACAAGTATGAGCGACGCAAGGATCTAAGGGGCTTTCATCTACGTGTTGCCACCATTGTGGTGAATATTTAGGAGGTTTTCATCAAGTTGCAGTGTATACAGTACCCTGTATATACTGTACTTCAGATGCCTGTGACAGTATGTTACTGAAGAATGAACTAGTCCTGCTTTTAGTGTCCTCAACTCTTTTATTTCTGAGAGTTCTGTCTCTCTCTGGTTACCACAACCGTGCCAGAGTAACATAATGGATTACACTGTGACTACTTTCCTCCCAGTGTTGGAATATTTCACAACTCAGTTTTTGCTCTTATCCTCCATATTACAGGCCTACGTACTTATCATTTCTTCCAGCACACACACACACACACACTTCTCTTGAGGATACTAACCTACAGCATGAAAATTCATGAAAAAAAAAACTTTTACCATCTTTTACAGACAAATTCATTACTGGCTTTCAGTTTCTTCAGTAATACTGTATCCCCATTATACCAGCCACCTATGTCAACATCCCCGAGTTTACTCTAACTAGTAACTTCTTGAAACTATCACATTTTCAACTTTGTTGGTGTTACAGCAGTAACACACATCACTCTCACCACATCTCTGGACCGGACACACGTGAGAAGGGTGTAATCCAGTGTGACACTACCAACATCACAGGTTTCCTCCTGTACTAACACTGTACAAATAAAGTTCATCACAAAGAACAGACCAACTGCCTGAACGGCTAGTAACTGATAAGTGGTGAAATGGTAAAAATAAATAAATAAAATACTGTTTTACCTATAACACAATAATTAATGTCACAAATAAAATTTATTCTCATTGTGTGTAGTAATGTGGACCAAGTTTACCTTCTGAGCTCGTGGAGTTCATTAAAGAGGAAGGTTTAAGATGGTGGAACTGAGTATTACAGGTCTTCCCCAGACTATGCCGTATGAGAGCCTTGTGGCAGACCAGCAGCTGCAGAATTTCCGAGAGGGTTATGTGGTAGATGTGTGGCACACACTACAAGAGCAACTCAACTTTACGTAAGTGTATGACAACTATGACATGTATCCACAAACATAAACATGTAGAACCTAAAGCTGCAGTCTTCTTGCATCAAGAGTACAGTACTATACTGTACTCTGTAGCTCAGAAGACTGTACTTTATATCAGTTACTAAATATTTAGTGACACCTTTAATCTGGTGTTGTACATTTTCAAGTGATAATACATTATGCATCTAGTGACCTGGACCTCTGACAGTAAGCACAGTTTTACTGAAATACCTTTATTGATGCATGAATTTTCTTCTCAAGATAGTGTTCACTCTCCTTTAACCACGACTCTTGAATTCGGTATTGTGCACTTTACCAAGAGATGATATATACACTATCCGCGTGAACTTTCATCAAAATATCTGTACTGATACAGTGATCCCTCGGTTAACGAGCGCCTCGGTTGACGAAATTTCGGTTAACGAATTACCTTCCATAAGATTCTTCACTTCGTTTAACGAGCAAACCCTCGGTTAACGAATTCCTTACGAATTTTTCCCAACATGTTTTCGCCTGCATTTGACTGCCCACCAGCTGTAGTATTAGTCCGCCAATACAGTAATCGGTTTTAGGGCTTAAATTCCTTACCATTTTAGTAAATATCAAGAAGGTTGTTCTATTCAATAATTTTAAAAGTTTTATATTAAATTTTTTAGTCATTTTAACAATTATTGAACATAAGTGAAGTACAGGAAACTAGTTTTATGCACGCCAAACAGCCACTCAACACACCAAGCTTGGCGTCAGTTTGTTTACCAGTTCAGAGGAAGAAACATCTTTTTTGAGACTCTTCAACATAAACGCTTTTTTTCTATATTTCCTGCCAAATTACTGTATTGGTCATTTTGAAATATATTTTACATATTGATAATATAAAGCGCAGTGCAGTGTTGATTTAAAGAAAATAATCTTGAATTACACCAAGTGAACTAAAATTTTATGGGTGAAATGGCAGCATGGGGTGACTTCTCTTCCACCCCAATGCCTTCTCTTCTCCCTTCTCCTCCACCCCCATTCTAATTCCCATCATTATCATCATCATCAACCAGGAGCCTTCTACATGCACACCTCAAAGTAAGTGTACTTTACTGCATTTATTTTTAGTTTGTATGTAATTTTCGGTGAGCTGGAACCAATTACCCAAAAACCCATTGAAACAATGGTTTCGGTTAACGAATTTTTCGGTTAACGAGCAACCTTCTGGAACGAATTGTGCTCGTTAACCGAGGGACCACTGTACATGATAACACCAGATGTCTTCATTAATAGTTACTCTGAGGTGTTAACTACACGGTAACACCATAGGCAACACTTCAACCAGTCTCTCTCAACTGAAGGCTTTAACGAATGCAATAACATCTCATTGCATTTTCTTCAGAGAGAATACGTGATCTCGTTCACCTCAGGTACACCGCAACCAACACACTGTTTGGATCACTACAACCTGATGGTGTAACTTGGAATGGTATGGTGGGAATGCTTCAGACTGATGACGCTGATGTGGCCGTGGCGCCGCTCTCCATCACCAAGATCCGCTCCATATCTATTGACTTCACCATACCAATACAGATAGTCAGGTAGGAGGTAACAAGAGTAGGTCCCTCCCATCAGTTAAGATTCCTTCTTATTGCCATTACCAGAATTAATGGTCCTTTTTATTCAAACATGAAAGTTCAGGTTCTCTTGAATTTTTTTCACATATACAACACCACAGAACCAAAATAACATGTTAAACAAACAGCAGCATATAGCTTTATCATTAGATCTGTACTGTTTATTTTCTTTAGTTAATGTTGACAGTGCCCAGTACAGTACGTGTCAATAATGTACAGTACAGCATTGACCTATCGCTTGACTGGCTTGTAACATAAGCGACAATTATGATAAGTTTCTTCAAAATGTATCCAAGATATTAAACTTTCATCATTGTGTCTTTACTTGACTATTACATCACTTGGCCTTCCCTAGTACACGTCTGTACATCCGTCGGCCGATACTGGAAGGTACTTGGACACTCTATGGCCAGCCTTTTGGCGGGTACCTGTGGATGTGTATTCCTGTCTCCATTGTGGTGTGTGGTAAGTATCTTCATCATCATCAACATCATCCAGCTGATATAAATTGGACAACATCATATTTAATCTTCATATACACCTCCATACCCAGGCCTACCTCAGATGTACATGCTCTGTAGCTGCCCAAACTTCTGTATATACTATGAGCCCCATAAATATACTTTTAATAACCTTTGGCATACAGATTACACAATTATGTTCTTACCACATAAACTCATGTACAATTTGTGGAATAACATTGCGTATTTCTCACAGCGGGAATGTTATGGGGGCTGAACTGGTTAACTGTGTACCTGAAGGTGAATGACCACATCATCCTGCCCCTCGAAGCTCTTTGGATCATGTTCTCTGGCCTGGTGCAGCAGTGTGAGTGTTACTTCATCAACAGTGGTAGAAGGTTGATACAAAATTATATATATCTATTAGTGTAACAAATGGTATTGATAGAATATAAGAGTTTTCATGCCACAATAATTAGATGGCCTGTTTATTTACTACCATACTGTACTGAGAGATGAGAATGAAAGCTAAATAAACTTATGGTAAAGTCGCCCACAAAAGTCCTGCTGCCTCTCCTGCTATTCCACGAACCTAAGATTCAGACTCATGAATCCATAATAGTAGACACTAATGCACTGTTCATAAATGCTTCGGATTTGCAAGTCTGAATCTCAGGGCTCGTAGTTTAGGAGGAAAGGCGACAGGATTTTTGTGGATGACTGTATATGAGATAAAAAGAATCCCTTCGTTCACTTGTGTAAAACCGATTTTTATATACAAATATTTACTTTAGCAGATCTTCCTTACAGTAAAAAAAATATTAAAAGGTTATCTTCTTTTATATCTAATGCTAATATTAACCATCATATTTACAGCGACAGTCATTGACCCTCGTCCTGTGTCTGGTAAAATTGTCTTCTTCTCGGGGATGTGGATGGGTATGATTCTATTAACGTGCTACTCGGCCATCCTGGTGTCCATCCTCACCACTCGCCAGCCAAAACTCCCCTTCAAAGACTTCCAAGCACTGCTCGACAACCCCGACTGGAACTTGGGTGTCCGTACTAACACTGCTCTTGCCGACTCTCTTGCCGTATGTTCAACTCTAATTGTTAATAAACTACTGTAATGTACGGTAATTATTTATGTTAAGAATAAGTGTCTGTAACCTTGTTGTATGTAAACACTATCTGCTCATTGACTTGATCTCATCTGTTAGCTACCGGTAAGGTCTCTTCTAAAGCATCCTTCAAGCTCTTCAACAAGTAAAGAACCCCAGAAGAAGTCCAAAGAAAATACTTGATACTAAGTTGAAGTTAATGAAAAGTCTTGAAAACAGTGAAGTAGCTGGTTTTCTTGGCAGGTCACATCAAGTAAACAAGTCAAACATATGTGATAGCTTAAGGAGTTAATTGATTGATTGGATAAAATATCTGACGTCGTAGCCTGTGGCCATTTGATGCCCAATAGCTAGGGGAATGTATACAAATTTAGAAGCACTGTTAAACATTACTGTGATTTTAGTCAGTGTTCACAAATTTGGAAAATACGAGCTGTGTGGCGATAGCAAACATTAAAATCAGAAGGGGGTACCGCAAAGTGCTACCATTATTTGTGAAAAAGTACTGAATACCGTATACTGGGAGTAGATTCATTTATAATGTTCATTCAATAATAATTTCACGTACAGTATCAAGTTAAAAAAGAAAATACAATTCGTGTATGCATAAAAATATAATACAGTACAGTATAGAAACAACATTAAATGGTAAACTTGGGTTGTAGCTGAGAACATAACCTCCTTTCTACTATGGGAACCTGTATTCATTTATGTTGGTTTTACTTATGCCAGCCTTTTCTAGGGGAGCAACACCCTGCATCAAGGAAGGCAATCTATACATATATATCCACTCCTCAGCTGGCTCCACCAAATTCACCGATGAGACTGTCGTGGGAGCACATTGTAGGGAAGGACCCGGCCAACAATCTTCCCTCCAATAATGATGATGCTCTAACAAATGTTCTTAAAGGTACACAACTCGCATCTTATTTTATTCATTGATGATATAATCTATGTTTATCAGTCAATAAATTTCATTACACACAAACCTAAGATATGAATCATGTAAGTTTTATTTCATTCTATACTAAAGTTAACTGATGTTACAGGGAAGTACGCATTTTTTGCCAACAAGGAGTACATCATCTACCGGCTGCAGCGCAAACTACCTCTGAAACAGGCAATGGACATAGTGGATACCAACACCGACTTTCTCAAACGAGGCATTGGATTTGGGCTTCAGAAAGAATCACCGTACAAAAACCTATTTAATTATGTGTGAGTTTATGGTTATTTTTTGTGCGTTAGTTCTCTGGTCCAGTGTTGGGGTGTTAACTGAACCACCTCCCCCAATTTTCCTATCCTTCTTCTTCATCATTAAAAAACTATATAGTATTTTGTAATGTAATTCAGGTTAATAATCTCTGAATACAAAATGCTGCTACAGTACTTCTATAATCGACAGTACAGTAGTGACCTGAAGACAATAACTTAGGTCGCTCTTGCTCTCTCTCAGGTTAACAAAGATGACTCAGAAGGGCCATTTGAATCGCCTCAAGAGAAAATGGTGGCCCAACATAGACCGCAACCCTGATCCCCACTACCCAACGCCTGGATTTAATGAGGTATGACTGTCTTTGTGAGCCTTATATTACACTGAACTTAAGCATTTACAATTATGCATCACAGCTATCTGTGTCTAACGCGTTCTTGTTGTATCGAAAAACCAATGATTCATGTGAACACTTCCCTACATGCCGTAATTACCATCACTACAACATATTCGCCCTCTTCTTGTCCTGGAGAATAACAATCAAACAATAATAAATAAACAACTGATGCTTTATAAGGGTTGTAGTACTGTAAGGGTAAAATTGCCTTGAGGGATGGTCTCCGTAACAACCACAATTTAATACCACCTTTCCAGCACTGTACTTAATAGATTTTGAAAACACAAATACATGGACTCTTATGAAAGGGAATCCTATGTACAGCAAAAGTTTAGTGTGCTGTGTTTAAACCCTTCAATAATGGCAGAAATTTGATGTAGCTACAGTATTTATGGTCTCCAACAGGTATTTACTTTGTTCATCATCTTGGGTGCTGGCACCATCTTGGCAGTGGTCTTCCTAATGTGTGAATGGTTCATATACTCAAAATCAAGGAGAGTAATCAGTTGGTCATAAAGCCATACAATGAAAAGTGAGTCTTCCAAGGTGAGTGTTACTGTATACCTCTCCTGCTGCTCCATGAACATCAAGATTCAGACTTATGAATCCAAAGCATTTATGGATACAGTAATGCATCACTGTCTACTGCTTCAGGTTCACAAGTCTGAATCTTGGGGTTCGTGGAGCACCAGAAGAGACAACAGGACTTAATTCTTAACTGTGAAGGGAATAAACAATGTACCGGTATGAGAGGGAGTGTAGGGCGTCACAGTACAGGCGTCTTCATGTGACCTCAATTCCATAATGAGAATATTCAAGGCTGATATAATATAGTATTGTGTAATGTCATTTAGGCATAGCTGATATGTTACTCATATTATGGCTCTTATCACTTGGAGAAAATACTGTGAAAACAATAAAATAAATATGGAAGTAAAGAAAATTGGGAGAAAATACCATAAAAAAAATTAACAGGTCATCATGATTATTCATGATGTGGAGCGATCAGTAAGGTCGAGTTACACTTGGGAAATTTAAACTTGACACTGCTTACTAGGTTCTTATATTACACGGCAGAGCAACTGTATTAAAATAGCTATGGTTCATGTTTTATTTTTTCTTCATAGCAATAAGCTTAAACTTTTATTCAACTAAATGATGTCAAATTCACTGTTATATTTGTTGCAGGAACAGTAATATGTTTTAGAAGAGGACGATTAATTTGGTGTCCCAGAGCACGACGTCCTTCACAAACGAGGGAATCTCAACTTGACCAACATTACTACACAATTACAGTCCTGTACTTCCAAGATGGAGGTCACAACATTAAGCACACAATCACTACACCGAAGACTTTATCCAGCATAGACACAGAGCGCAAGTAGTAGCGACCCTCACCAAGACAACGATGCACGTTATAGTTTAATGTTGCACAACCAATCAGCACACAGTGACCTAGAGCTCTCAGGTGAATCATTTTTACGATACCAGGTAGTTGAGAGTCACCGTTCAGTACCACAATGAACATATACGATTGTTTGGTTACCTTTGTTAATAGTTATGTATAGAATAAAGATGCCTGCCAAGGAATGTTTTGTTTCCTATTAACACAGAATGTGCCAGAATTAAAAATAAATAAATAAATAAACAAACAATCAGAGCCAAAATACTTAAAATTGGAGTTAGAAGGAATTCAACCATAAATTAAAAAGTATATGCCTGTACTCACCAGGCGTGGAGGTGACTGGACACACTAGGACAACACTCTCGCCCTCTCTTGCTGTAACTTCAGTCACGGCATCAGTTGGTATATGAGGGGACACTGTCAGCAAGAGAGAGAAGTTACAATATGATGTCCTCATTGTAACTAAAGAAAAATAACAAGTGACCTGTATGATTATCCTAGTATAGTTTGTCTTGTTCAAGGGGTTACAGGTACAGGTAGAATCCAATATATGAACAGGTTACATTCCTGGAAAACCATTTATAAACTGACATGCCATAAATCGATACATAATTTCCCACTGACTCATATAATGGGGGACAAACTCCTACAAAAACATCTTAATAAAACAGTGACACTGGAACTAAATATGTTTCTAATGACATTTTTGGGGTGGGAAATAATGAGAGCAAGCAAATAATATTTATAATAACATTGAATTACATGTAGTAGCGAGTTTATTTTTTATTCCTACTCAATGAGGTCGTGTAAAATAGCAGGCTTCACCACAGTGTTCTGGTGACATAAGCTCCTGGTTATAAACAAACCTTTAAACACACTCCTGCATGGTGAGACTTTGTAAATTTCTATTTTAGTTGCTATTAATTATCTAGTAATTATTTAACAGAAACATTTACCTAAGACTTGTAAAGTGAAGTTGAGACTGTCTTGGCCGGCAGGGTTGACAACAGTACAGGTGACCACACCCTCATCATCCTTCTTCAGTTGTACCACTTGTAGTCTCTCACCCTTATCCATAATCTGTCAGGGTTGTTCACAAACTCAAATCTTTATTATATCATCAATGAATACCTGAATGTCTATGTTAGTTCCAGGATGTAATGTCTTCTGGCTTTGTAAGATTCTCCTTTCTATTATTCAGTGCAGGTGTTATTAATATATATTATCACATTACATCATACGTTTAAATGTGTAGATGAGAAAAAGCATTAGCAGAGCACTACATAAGGTAAACAATGGATACAGTACATAGAGATATAGACAGAACACAGTAATAATACATGAAAAGATACTAAACATATGAACAATGTATAATTAAACAAGAGGCAGGGGTAGAGTACACACTTCCTCATGCAATATAAAACCTCGAGTGTCACCTTGTAGTGTGGGTGTTCCTCTGTGATGAGTGTGTTGGCGTGTGTCCAAGAGATGGTCGGTGTTGGATTACCAGAGGCCTCACACACCAGCTCAGCAGCCTGGCCAGCCACGCCCACCAAGCGCTGTTGTACGTTAGCTCGCTCAATCATGGCTGGTACTGGAAAGACAAAATCTGTTACTCTACTTATTCTTGTGCTATGCTAATACCCTCAAAGTTGTCAGTACTTTCAATTAAGTTATTTTCAAACAATGGAATTTCTCCTCAGTGTATCAATTATTACACAACTGAATAATAAAGGATTCCAATATTATTTTCAACTACTACAGTATCTCAATACACTATCTCTCCCTTGCTCTATGTTATCACTATCATTTACAATACATTAGTGCCTAAAGATGTGTTTTTCATAGCACACCTTGAACAGTGAGGGTATAAGTGAGTGTGTCCTGTCCCGCAGCGTTGACCACAATACACGTGAAGGGGCCGCCATCACCCTTCCTCACACGCCGGAGATGCAGTTCCTCGCCCCCTGACCTCACCTGATGAAGTAAACATAATCCAATAAAAATTATATCTCACAAATGTTTCTCAGCAACACACAGTTAATTTTCAAGTCAAATGTGATGAAGCCAAGTACGGTACAAACATCCCTCAACATACAAATGGGTTCCAGTCTTGAGAAATACTTTGTAAATCAAATTTTTCATAAAACAAGACATCATACAGTAACTCTAAATTTCCATACGTGGAGTCTTTGTAAATTGCGAGATGTCTACATTTTATTTTTGCAGCATCACTGGAAGTAGAACCAGTACAGCTCCTCCCCAACTTACGACCTACTCGACTTACGTCCACCCGCACTTACGACCTGCCTCAGTCGTACCAAAATTTGGTCAAATTACGCATTTTCGAGTCCCAAAGTCAGTACACAGTCAAAATTTTCATCTGTAATTCACTTTAAAATGGCTGTCAAGCTAAAAGTGAGTGTTTTGTGGTGCTGAGAAGAAAAAGAGACACACCATTTTAGATTTTCTATGTATTATTTATGCATTTCCGACTTACGACCATTTCGACTTACGTCCTGGATGTCGGTCCCTAACCTTATTGTAAGTCGGGGAGCAGCTGTATAAGGTAAAGAAAGAAGATGTATTGAACAAATGTAAAGTACAGTCTCACCTCGACTTACGTCCCGACGACCAGGTTGTAAGTCGAAAAGGCGAAAAAAATACATAGAAATTCTAAAATGGGTGTCTCTTTTTCTTCTCAGCACCACGAGAACTCTCACTTTTACGCTTGCCAGCCATTTTAAAGGTAATAACAAACGAAAATTTTGTCAGTACACAGCGCGATCACTAACGTCGGGACTCGAAAATACATAATGTGAAAAATATTTTATACGACCATGGCCGTCGCATGTCCGGGTTGTTGTAAGTCGAATATGTTGTAGGTCAAGGGGAGACTGTAATGAAGTCCAGACCAAACATCTCCATTTACTAACCTGATAGTTGGCATTGGTGAATGGTGTAATGGGTTGTCCATGTCTGACCCAAGACACTGCAGGCTTAAGTGAACTCTCGGCCTCACACGTCAGTACCAGCGGCTGATTTAACACCACATCTAGTGTCTTCTCTGGAGGTGGTATGATGCGAGGTGGACCTGTGGCAAGGGATACAAATTTTTGTAGAAGCAACACTGGAATCGGATGTTTATTTCCAATGGCTCTGTCAGCTATCCTTCATCAAATTGCCTTACTGTTGTATACCTGCACTGTTTAAGTACACTGGAAACTGTATACCTTCACAGGCTGTGTACATCATATACTGTCTATACACACACTGATCTCTATGCCTGCATAGTCTATATTTGTGCCAAACCAATTGTACTAAATCTTTATGAAGATCTTATGGACTAAAAGCTATTATTATTATTATTGTTTCTCAAAAATGTTTTTGCAAGCAGATCTTGAAACATCTCTTGGCCTGTATAAGTTCAGAGCTCAGTTAAACTGTACAAAACACAGTAGCTTCAGGTTATTTTGAGAGATAGGGACCGAGAACATTCGTTAAGTAAAAAATAGCTATTAAAAAATTCCCGTAATTCAATACAAAATTCCCTGAACAATGTTTAAAAGACTTATTTACTACTAAACACAAGCAAGATATGTAAAGCTTTCTGGTACTGTACATTGTGAAATAAAATAATACATCACAGCCTGCTGCATCCAACTAACAGTCATCAAGCTGTTTGTCCGTACATTACATCAAATGGCAACAGTCTTAGTCCTCATCAGTAGTGTTAGGTTCAGACCACACATTACTCACTGTGAATGATGACCACAAAATCTCTGGACGCTATGCCTGAGGGGGAGGTGGCTGTGCAAGAGTAACGTCCAGAATCATTTGTACGGGCCTCTTGAATCTTCAGTACTTGTCCATCTTCGTGCGTCCTCAACCGCTCACTGGGCACCACATCCTACAAATCATGCCAATACTGGTGTTACATTAGTGCCACTGTAGGTTGGACTTCAAGCACCTTTGCATCCATTGTGGAAAAAAAAAAATTACTAAATTTTTCAAGCTGTGTAAATCTCAAATACAATCATGGTATACTGTACTTGGCTGTAGTCATGTACTCATCTGTGCTAGAAAGGCTAACAATATTTATTCACACACTCTACCTCCCTCACCCTTCCCCCACACATACACACTCCACCTCCCTTACCCAGCCCCCAACACAAACACACACTACACCTCCCCACAAACACACACACTCCACCTCTCTACAAACACTACACCTCTCCACAAACACACACACTCCACCTCTCCACAAACACACACACACTCCACCTCTCCACAAACACACACACTCCACCTCTCCACAAACACACACACAAACACACACCTCTCCACAAACACACACACACTCCACCTCTCCACAAACACACACACACTCCACCTCCCCACAAACACACACACACTCCACCTCTCCACAAACACACACACACTCCACCTCTCCACAAACACACATTCCACCTCCCTGTGCTAAATATTATATATGCCTAAGTTTGTATTGAATTATCACTTACTTGCTCATCCTTGGTCCAAGAGAGAGAGGGTGTGGGTGTCCCTAGTGTGTAACATTCCAAGTCTATCTCGCCGCCAACCACACCTATGGTCTCCCCGCCCACACCCCCGCCTACGATGTTCTCGTCTATGTCTTCGATAATTACCGGAGGAACTGTAAGTAAATAACGTCAATTTAATTTCCACTCCGTTAAAAATGTAAATATGAACTAATAGACGCCATTCGCCCTCGCTGATACCACCACCCACGCAAAACTACCAAAGCAAAGCAAGTGAAATGTCAGCATGTGATGAGAATTCCATATTGGTTTTATTATCTTTATTAACAACAGGAGGACATTCTCTTTGTGTGAAAGGAAAGATACATGCAAATGGCGTGAGAAGTGTGATGTTGTACGGCAGTGAAATGCGAGCAGTTGAAGAGGATGACATACATTACATAGGCTTGAGTGAACTGATATGAGGATGGTGAAGTGGCTGTGTAATGTGACACTGAAAGATAGGAAACCTTGTTAGAGCTATGAGGGCAACTGGGTATTAAGAGTATAGTTGAGGTTTTGAATAAAGGTAGGCCGAGATGGTTTGGCCAAGTGGAGAGAATGGAGGAGACCACCTGGGTTAAGAGATGCAAGAGTTTCAATGTGGATGGGAAGAGAGCTAAGGATAGGCCAAGAATGACAGATAATCATGGCTAACCCAGACAAGTGCGGACAATGGCTGTAAACGGTGACGACATTGATGAAAAATTACTTTGAATCTTACCCATAACATGTAAATCATAGGTGATGGAGTCATCGCCAGCAACACTGGTGGCCATACAGGTGTAGTTGGCTGCATGGTGTGGAAGGACCCGCAAGAAGCTCAGACGTTCCCCGCCACCCGTCATGTGCAGGAAAGGATCTCGTCCTACTTCCAGGGCCTTGCCATTCTGAGCCATAATCGAGGACAAAAAAATAGTTAATTGACATATGCCTTCAATTAACAATACCCAACGACTGGCTTAAAAAGTTAATATAGAATTTTTGTTTGTGATCGATAATGATCTCATGTACAACAAAAGCTACAGTAGATTACCCTGAAATAGTTTGAATACTATTACATTAAACCAGGGTTAAATACTGTAATATATAATTTGGCCTGATATGACACTCAGTCTTTTATGAACATATTAATTTAAAAAAAAAAAATTTCAGACAAATTAATGGCAAAAGCAACTGAGAGGTTACCATAATGATTGTCTCATGGCAAAGATTTTTCCACATTACATTATGTGCACTTCTGCTACTTACAGTAGTTTCAACTTTTACATTTTGCTATTAACTGTATTAGTACAGTAATAGTGAATCAGTCAACTCTCCCTGCACCCTAAAAGTCTTTTGACAACTTTCTCTGGCAAACTGATTATTGATCATAGTAAATATAAGTTATAAACTATTAACAATAAATAACACTTACAGATATTAAAATCAGTTCACAGACACAAGCTCCAAATCTATACAAACTCTCTCAACTTCAACTTCTAGAACACAGTCCTGGTGCACAAGAAGCATAATCAATATGGTCTTATTATCTCCAAGCTAATACAGTACAGCACAAACCTTAAACCAGGAGATGGAGGCTGGAGGTCGAGCATCTACCACACAGGGCAGCATAATGGATGAGCTCTGTACCACCTCCAGTGATGTCCCTTGCTCAGGCACCTCAATCACAGGTGGTACTGAGTGCCAGAAAAATTACTGTGCTCAGTTTTATTTATAATGTGTTTCAGGATCAAACCTTCATTTATAACCTAATAATACTTGGAATAATGAGAGTATCACAAACATGTTATGAAAAGGTATGTGGTGGGACGTAGCTCTGAGTGTTGTTTATCTTACATCCTAATTGAGATATTAGTCCACACACTGCACATAATTTTACCGAACTGTAAATGATTATTTTTAGTGAACATTATTATGAATTTTTGAGATTTTACTGTACTGTATTATGAACTTACACAAGACTTGAACAAAGAAGGATTCCTCGGCTGAACCAGCAGAGTTGGAGACGATGCAAGTGTAGCGTCCCTCGTGCTCCCCATTCACATCCAACACCACTAAGGACTGACCTTCATCCTGTATTGCCAGACCTGAAGCATACAGCTCCCTCTCACTCAACACTTTACCTCCAGCTGTCACCCAGGCTACCTGATGAAGACCAATGAAATTATTGTCACACATCAGAACATTTTCTTTTTAACATACAAATGAACTTGTAGAATAAATGTTATACCTCTACTATAGGTTAAATCAGTGGAAATTGATACATTTAACAAAAACACAAATGCTGTGTTCTCCTTCCTAGTTACTTTAAAAGATGAAAAAATAAAAAATACTTATTCCAAAAGTTCAATTTTGTAGTTTTTAAATAAAGACTTGTATATCACTGACACAAGTTCCTCCAGTTTTGTTTAGTGACACCTACTCGAAGGGAAAGATTACCCCACATTCTGGACCTTGGAGAACACTTCAACAACAACAACAACAACAACAACAACAACAACAACACACACACACACACACACACACACACTAGTATCTTACCTGTGGAGTTGGGTGGCCCTGAGCCTTACAGGTGAGGGTGAGGACATCCCCCTCCTGCACCTTCACCCGACGTGTGGTTGGTGTGGCGACGATGGAGGGAGGAACCAACACATTTAAGGTGTAGTTGGTTATCAGGTCACCCACACCATTACTTGCTATACACGACACTTGGCCTTTACTTGTGCTCTGTACCCTGGGACAAAATGTTGTGCCTTGATGTTATTGATGTTTGTATATTCTTAAAATAATTATATATAAAAGTGACTCACATTGTCCTGGCAGTCAGTTAGAGGCAGTGTGGATATAGTACACTGAATACAGATATTAAAGGAAGAGTGATATTGTGTTTGAATGAGATGTAAGATGTTTTGGCCATGGATATTTGGTTTGGGCCAGAGTGGTTAGGATCTGACCTAAGCTAACCAAATGTCCACTCACCATTTTAATGTAACTGAAACATGACAATATTCTTATTATTGTACCCTTGGAAGCTCAATACACAATCACTGATTGGCTAAGATTAATAATATTGAAAATCTCGTCTTGAAATTAAATAATATTAAATTGAAATTCAAAATATAAAACTAACCATTCAACAGATCTTCTCACAGATCCACAAACATCCATTTTACGAAGATACATTTTTATAAGTGTCATTATTTCATGGTGAAAAAACAAGAATACAAATCAAGAGTAGAAGAGAATGTTATTAAGTCATACCTGAACAGATTTAGTTGAGTTTTTGTAGAGGATAAACTTATAAACCGGCTGGAGTCTGTGACGGGTTGGTCATCCACTATCCATTCAATATCAGGCTGTGGTGTTCCCTCTACCGGGCACTCGAGTGATACAGCTCGGTTCACCAGCACTACAGACACAAAACCAGCCACCGGGGATTAATGATCAAAATAAATTACAGTCCGAGGTTATTGGAAAAATTAAGTGATTTTTCTTTAGCTAATGAGTTTAATAAATTGTACTTGTCATACCTGTGTGGTCAGTCTGTGGTTGGTAGAGGAGAGTTGGTGGGGCTAACACAGTCACCTCAAAGTCATATTCTGCAGTACCAGCGGCATTATTAGCGACACATGTGTAGTGCCCGCTGTCACTATCCTTCAGCGATTTCAGCTGCAGCAGTCTGTAGTTATCAAAATGTTAATAGTTTAAAAGGTTATCCATCAATCTGTATACTCTACATTGTACTGCGCACATCATAGTCATTCCTAAAAACCTCCTTTAATTCATATTACGCTACATAACATTCAAATCCACCGCGCTTGTAGGATCTCAGAGAACGGGAGTCATTGAGAAAGACAACTCACCTAATGAATGTTACGGGATTATTTGATGAATTGTACCCAGCTATCGGGTTATATAATATTAATTGTATGTATTCGTAGCATTAAGGAGAGACGTGTTTTTCCCACTCGTTACACTCAGGATTCCTCCCAGTAAGTCCCGCCTTTGAACACAGTTGTCAATATGAGTTTATTCCACTTCCTCCTAGCAAACTCAATCTTGAATTAGTTATGTAAATCAACTTTAGTAATTCGCCAGACCTTTGTCAATTGAGGGTCATCCTTGAATGAGTAACAGTTGAGTTGTTTATAATTCCTGTCATTGCGTGAGTAGCGATCGCTGGCAACTCAGGGGTATATATACCATGAGTAAGGGAGACAGCGTCCCCCCTGACGCCTGATCTCACCGTTTGCCTCCAGGTATGTTTGTGTTCCCTAACCCTTCAGTTTGATTCAGTCAATTGTAGTGAATATCAGTGTTCATCAGTGTTCATGCTTCAACAGTTGAATTGTCATTCACCCAGTGTAAGAAGTAATATAAAGTAAATCGCTGTCGTTTCCAGGCGAGAGATTTGTTGTGATTGTATTATTCATGCTTGTCCCCCCTGACGCCTCATCTCACCGTTTGCCTCCAGATCCAATATTTGTGGTTCTCGGATCACCCCACGATAGCCCCAGAGCCAGTAGATTCCCAGCAGGGAGCCATATATCGACGATGTCGTTGATTCAACATGATAGAGACGGCAGGTCCACCTCGTGGGCCGAGGGCCCCAGACCCGCCTCGTGTCGGAGTGTAACTGACCACAACAGCAGTTGTTAGAGGTGCCAGTGCTATACCCTGGGACATGCCTTGGAGTTATGGTTCACAGTGTGGTTGTATGTGTTTGTTAATAATTACCCCATGTTGGGTAGTGGACCCATGTAGGTGTTTGTATCAGTATTAGTGTGTTGTTGTGAGTGCATCTCCTATGCACTACCAACAGTCTGTGAAATATCATATGCCAGTTGGTCTTATAACTGGATGTAATGAGAAGTACCTAGTAATGTGGGAGAAGTAAAGTAATCTGCAAAGAGTTGCCATGTAACTGTGTATTGTGAGTAGGGACAAGGAACTGGTCCTGCTATGTAATGTAATGTGACACCAGTAAGATTGTGCACGGTAAGATTGTAATATCTGAGTACTTGTTGTTGAGTAAATAAGAAAAATAAGTAAATAAGAAATACGGAGTCTGCAATAAGCCCAGGAGTTGAGCCTGGTAGTTATATGTTAATAATATCTCTTTTCCCCTTTGATTTTATATTAATAAACTTGTTCTTTGAGTATTTTAGGAGTATTCATTTCTCCCACAGTAGTTACCTTTATTTCCGTCCAAGTGACCCTGATATCAGAATTACACTACCCATGTGCCTAGACCATCGACATGCTACCAAAAAGAACTGAGGTTAGGTAGTACCCAAAATGAACTGAAGTAAGTAGAAGGAACATTTGAAAGAACTAAGACATGTTGTGGTTTCACCCTTCTTTCCCCTTATCGATCTGGTCAATGAAAAACCTGACCTAATGCCTAGTCCACTCTGCCCGCTACTTAACGAGCTACATGCTGTCCAGAGGGGGTCTGGTGGCAGCGACCCTAAGGAATTAAGATTAGAGTTAAGTATTTCCCCTTAGAATTAGTGACCCCGGTCTGGCAGTATAACATGACTTATCCCAATATCCAAATGAGTACAGTATCTAAATAATCAATACACAAAGAGCTGTCTCCTACACACAACTTCTACTATTACTGTACTTCCATATTAACTAACTACAGTAAAAGTCCAAAAATCCGGATGCCAGAAATCCGGACCACCCGAGAATCCAAACTTTTCGAAAACTCAAATAATTTTTTTTTGTTTTTGTTATTTTAATAATTTAGCTGGCTTTTGTGTGTATGTGTGCATGCGTGAGCACCACAGCTGCACAGTGACAACAAGCGACCATGCAGTTGCCACTTTAAAACGAGCAATCAAACTCTGACAACGTATGTAATTTTGAGTCCTACTCTTTCCATTTACAGAGTACTGTACAAGCCCATAATAATGGCTCCTAAAGTAGATAAACTTCGTTGTGTGAAGACAAAGAAGAACACGTTGAAATTGAGTGACAAACTTGAAATAATTAAGAAACTAGAACGTGGTGTGAGCAATACTGTTCTAATGGAAACATACGACATTGGAAAGTCTACAATTTATGATATAAAAAAGGCAAAGAATAAAATTCTAGAATTCACAGCTTTTTCTTTAAAACTGCTCGTTTTGATAAATGAAGCAGGCTATATTTGCTAATGAATAAACTATCAAAATGTACCTGTTCATCTCTTCTTTATTCCTCCTTAAATTTGAATTTTAGAAGTACTGCCTGAGAATCCGGAAAATCCGAAAATGCGGACCGACCCAATCCCCAAGCAGTCCGGATTTTTGGACTTCTACTGTAGTTACTACATCCTCTCCTCACAATATTCAATTAAATGCTATAATCTCCACAGTGGCACTGTATCCATTATCATAATTACATTAAAGTATTATGGCATTTGTTGGTACATCATTCCACAACACTGTACTGAACTGTCTGTCACTACCACCCCCAAAAACCCACAGCCAAAGGTAGCTTGAAGCCAACTCACAGGGTGGGAACTGCAAGGTCATATCTCCCTATGGTAATCAGAGATACCCACCTCTGTCCCCTCCCTTGCTTGCCCCCCACCTTGTACTCCACCCCTTGTTGCAGGCCTGGCACCAACCAGCAACCCATAGGACTGAAGGAGAGTGCTGTAGCCATTTGGTCACCACCTCACCAAGTATATATCTACTCAGTGAGACTTTATGACAGTTGAGATCGATTATCTGTGGCCAATGAAAAACGTGAAACTAATCCTGAATAATTAACGTGCCCACCACCTACTTATCATTCTGAGTAAGAAGAACTTTTTCAGGTGTTGGAGTGAGCATCTGTCCATCCTTGACCCAGAGTATTGAGGGGGCTGGAGAGGACAACACATCACAGTACAGGTCAAGACCATGTCCAGCAACTCCTACTATCTCCTCCTCTAAGTCAGAGTCCTGTAATGAAATGAAACAATGTAACACAACACATATCGAATCCACATATGAGAGTTTACACATAAGGCAGACCCCAATTTACTGCATATCACTGGAGCCATCTGGGAACAAAAATGTCAAATGGGGGGGGGGGGGTCTTTTCTATACACTTGTACTGACTGATTTTAATAGTTGGACCTTCAGCTAATCCTGACCCCTCCCTCTTTATTGCTCTAGGAAGGACTTTTACCGCACTTACGCTGTTCCAGGATGGTGGTGTGAGAACCGAGAGGAGAGTAGTGAGGTTGGTGGTGCCGGCAACATTGGTGGCTTGACAGGTGTAGTTGCCACTGTCTGATGGCTGTGCATACGAAATGGTTAAGTGACGTCCGCGGTTGTCAACGGTCACTTCGGAGGACAGAGAGGACAGTGACTTCCCGTCCTGCAGCATAAGGGATAAACTATTATGCCTATACCTAACCTAATCAAACAATGGTAATTTTTTATACATTCACACACGATGAATAACAACACTTTACATTATAACTTAAAGCCTGATGACTTATAGAATAAAGTCATATATTCTTACAACATAATCACAGAATCATCCTAGTAAGGGTCATACATTATCAAGTTGAAATTCACATCATTAATAGGGCGTAAAAACTCGCCTTAAGCCAGGTGATGGTTGGTGGGGGGTCGGCGACGATGAAACAGGTGATGGTAACTGGCCGACTAACTACGACAGATTTCTCCACCATGGGACTGTCCAGATCCGACAACCGTGGTGGAACTGTGATGATGAACACAATATACATCAGACATGACGGCATTACTTTATATAAACAATTCTTTTGGTGAGGGTCAATTATTTTTATTCTTATACCTCTACTCTATTATATCTCATCATTTGTCTGTGGAGCTAATTAGTTGCCAATCTACTAGTACTGAACACTTCTATCTATCTAACTACTGTACAGTACTATATTACCTATGTACAGGGTATCTAGCTATGAAATCTAATCTATAGCCAACTCCATCGCCGTGAATTTGACAGACAAAAAGGTAATAATATCTATATAAATAAATTGTACAAACAGAAACCAACTAAAAAGTAAATAAAGTTGAAGAGAAACTGACCCATGACACGAAGGGTGAAGTCCTGTTCCACTGTGCCGGCCTCATTGGTGGCAAGACACACGTAGCGTCCATCATCAGTTTTGTTTACATTTTTCAATAATAGTGTCCGAGGGTCCCTAAGGAGATGTGACCATATCCATTAAATACCTCATACAAATAAATAATACATAAACAGGTTTTTGAGGAGGAGGAGGAGGAGGAGGAGGAGGAGGAGGAGGAGGCTCAGATTTCGGTTTATTCTGTTCTCTTCACCATAATGAGACAAAGTGCTACAGATTTCATGCCTGCCAATTGTCAGTAACTTAATTTGTATATAACTTACAAGGCAGTGAAGGTCTGCTGCATAATGGAGGTATCCTTCATCCAGAGAATTGAGGGCGTGGGTGTAGCATGGACTGGGCAATAGAACTCCACGTCAGCACCAGCAACAACGTATTGTACATCATCCACTTCTTCCACGAGACGCGGTGGAACTATCCCAGATGAAACACAATAAAAATAACACAAGAGAAAACTGTAACACTTATGTATATCCACCACCACCACCATCATCATCCTCTTCAACATTTTATGGCCATTTTCCACGCTTAAGTGGGTTGGTTAGCCGTGATTACCTGATGGCAGCTGTTGGGTAAAATCAGAATAGGATGTTGCCTACTTTCCCCACTCATCACTGTAACCCAGAAAATACAGCAGAGACCAATGGTTGGGCACAGCTCTGGTGACCCAGTTGCCATCATGTATGTTGAAGCCAAGTTTTATGACTGAATGCTCTTCTTAACAATAAATACAATACCTTGATCACATGCAAACCACTTGCTGATGATTATGTCAACCTAGTTTGATGTGGATAGTCTTGTTAATTATTGAAAAGTTAAAGACTTATCAGACACAAAGACAGCGCCATCACACCCCATCAGGAACAAGTATAGTGTACAGATTTCATAAAGTCTCAAAATACGAAAAAAAGTTTTAAACAAGTGACTGTAAAAACAAAACAGAAGTGAGCAGCAGGTGATAGTTAGTGAGTCATACAAAAACATCAAATAGCTATTGTACCATGAACTTCCAGGGTAAAGTTGAGGAAGATGGCTCCAGCATCATTGACCGCCAAACAAGAGTAGTTGCCCGCATCGCTCTCCGTCACTTGCAGGAATTTTATGTCCCGTCCATCCACACTCAAATGTACATTGGGAGCATCATCTTCCAGTGGGTTAGAGTTCTGGGTAAAAGTACAAACAGATTCACCTGAATAAACACAACTTTGGCTCATTCCTACAACACTTTACCTTCTTGACTTACTATACTAAAAACTTAAAATCTAATTATACTTGCATATAAAAGTATAGTCTGCATTTACGCAGTCAATTGAACCCGTGGAGGTCCGCGTAAAACGAGAAACCCGTAACGAAATAACAGAACATATGGGATTAATTAAAATAAAGACTGGGCCGACCCCCAAACTCCACTTTTTCCGATACAATACTTACGTTGCAGTAAAAATAACATCTTAATTTTATGATGGTATGCACACACAATTAATAATTAAGAGAAATATCAATAATATTAGGTTTTTTAACACTTACATTAGTAGAAAAGCTGGGTCGGCACACGTGGATGGCAGCTGGTTCCGAGGCAGAGGGCAGATTAGTTGCCCTCCGGTGAATCACTTTCACTTTCACTACTCGCAGAGGTTTGCAGGGCCTCCCAGACAAACCCCTCAAAGTCGATATCCTCACTGTCACAATCACTATCACTGACTTGGGCTGGCTGTGGTTGTGGTGGGTTGCGGGCGAGGAAGTCCTTAATGTACTACATCGACGACTAGCATTGATGTTGTCAAGATAGATCTGGATATACGGCTCCATGACTTTCGCCAGATGGTTATTAGACACTTCATACCGATGCTTGTCTGGGTCGTTGTCAAGGATGAGCTTAATTTTCTCCCCCAACTCGATGATTTCCTTCACATTATCGTGGCTTGGTCCAGGTAATTCAAGGTTTTTCTTGGGTGGTGGGAGTCCAGCGGAAGCCATTGTGAGGGGAATAGCGGGCACAAGAGAAAACTGTATACGCGGACTGAGAACAATGAGACAGGCCCGGCTAGGTCAGCGACTTCTACCCTCTGGTGGCAGGGCACGTCATGTTACATTAGACCAATCACAGCTAGCGGCGGAGGGAATGCATGGGTGGTAAGGATGCGTGGCCCAATCACAGTCCGAGACGTCATATGACGTCAGCGATAACGTAAGAGCGGCCTAATGAGCACCACTCACCACGCCGCTTCCCGGGTATGGTCAAGAATGGACCGCGTGGGTAAAAAATGGTGCGGCGTGTCTGGACCTTCAGCCGCTCCGCGTAAATGACCAAATTTACCGCGTAATTAAAGCATTTTCATTCTGGCAAGGCATCGCGTAAATGACCAAACATGTAAACAAAAACCGTGTAAATCCAGACTATACTGTAGTAAGTAAATCATTCACTGTGAGAATTAACCATTTATAGTTTATAAGGAATGGAAACTATTATGGTGCCTGGATGATAAATGGCTACAAATTGCTTAATAAAATACTACACCTCTAAACTACATAATATTTAGAGCCTAGATGAAAAAAAGGCAGCATAGGACATGAACACACGACCAATGCAATAAAGAACTCAAACAGGGGTGTTGTTTGGTACAGCAGTAATGGATGTATCTATCAATACTGTCATGGGTTCAAGTTCTGGCCCAGAACACGCGTGGGAAGGGTGTTACCCAGAGTGACACTATCAAACATCACAGGTTTCCTCTAGGTACTCCTGTTCCCTCCTGTACTAACAATGAACAATAAAGTTCATAACATAACTGCTGCCTGAACAGCCAATATACTCAGTACCCAGCTGCCTCCTGTCTTTCAGCATCACATTACATATCCACTTCACAATTCTTATTTCAGTAGTATTCATTACAACTAATAATGTCATAAAAATAATTATTGTTTTTTCTAACCAAGTACTAGATGGAAAATTTCCTTGAGTTTTGTACAGAGACGACAAAATGTTACCTTGAACCAAAAGATTTGTGGGTCAGGCGTGGACTGGACTTGGCAGACTAGTGTGGCAGGACGATTAACACGGGCAGTGAGGTGTGTGCTGGTTAGGTCGTCCTCCAGGCGAGGAACGGTGGCCACTCGTACAACATAAGACAACTCGTCAGACCCTGCCATACTGCTGGCTATGCATGTATAAGATCCAGCATGAATCTCACTCACAGAAACGATCCTGACAGTTGACTGTAGGTGTGAAATTACTACATGTCAAGAATTTATGATTAATGGGATTTTCTAATAAATCTGACTCGCATCAAATGTTAAATAAATAAATACAACTCCATTGTCTTACCTTGTATTCATAAATATTTGAGAAGTCTATCAATAAAATTTGGTTTCCATTAACAACTGATGTATATCATACAGACATTTATGATTTATTCCTCTTAAATCTATCACCACATAATGCTTGCTGAAAATTGTCAAATAGGGAAGCACAAAACTCTCTAATACATACATTAGATTTTGTTACATTATCTGCCATTACAGTAATGGCATCTTCAATGATGACTCCAGGTAACTCCAAGTCCTCTAACACTACACCGTCCTGCAACCAAACTATGGCTGGGGCAGGATCACCTTCTGCCTCACACTGAAGATCCAACTCCTCACCTTCAACGGTCGAGTAGAAAGTGTCCGTCTCTTGGATAATCATTGGAGGAACTGGAGAGGACATACATGATTAACATAATCCTTCCTGTATCTTGAATAAATAAAAAATATGTGTAAATAGCTTCAGTCATCTGCTTCCTATACACATGCATGTACACTCACTCTCTATCTCTTTTTCTATTCATGAACAAAAAATAGTCAACACACCTACATATAATGCTACATAATTAACTACATAGAGTTGTACAGTGTAGTTCAACAACCACAGTACAGTACTGACCTAAAACAACAACATCATAAGATACAGAATCTCTTCCCCCTTCATTCTCAGCAGTACAAGTGTAAGTGCCAGAGTCACTGATAACTGCCCCAGACAGTAGGAGGCGACGTCCATCCTCTCCAAGGTTAAGACGACCATCAAGTCCCGTCCCTAAGAGGCCTACTAATGGGGTATCATCCTGAAACAAGAGTAAAATATCCTCACTTACTTTTGAATGCATTAAACTTTTTTTTCCCTTGTAGACACAGTATACACAAGATTCAGCAACACTCCTTACTAACACTGGTGGAGGTGTATGAGTGGGGTGATGTCCCTGTCTATATCTGAGCAGTGTTTGTGTATGCAGCATATCTCTTCAACAGAAAAAGAGTTGCAGTGTCCATAATTGGTATGCACAGTATTCATCATGTCAACCTTTAGGACAGCTCTCAGCTCTAGTAGTTTTCCCAGGATTACACAGTAAATAGAGTTATGGCTGATGTAAACATTTATATAAAATATCCTAAAGTAAAGACTGGATGATTGATCCTTAAAAAAATACATACAAAATAAACCTAGGAATCCCCCAAACATTCTATTTACATACAGTAAAGCCAAAGTAGAAGCCAATGGTGAAACAGTATGTGATGATTCCAGTATCCTGGCACTATGGTTTTATCAGATACTATGCATGTACAGCTCAGCCATATACTATGTAAGTTATCAGGGCATCTAGACTCTGTCCTGCCTCAAGGAAAGCAAACAATATATTTTGGTTAAGCTGTACTGATACAGTCATATAGGCCTTTATTATGGTTGTACAAGGCCAATGGTCAATAAATCATATAAAAACACTATCAAAACAATCCAAGTTGACACAGAATACAACATGAGATACCTTGGTCCAGGTGATGTAGGGCAGAGGTGAGCCAACAGCAGGACAGTAGAGAGAGATGGGCATATCTACCAACACCTCCTGATAGGGCCGATTCTCAGACTTCTCACCGGCCTCACTTGAATCTTTGATCTCAGCGGGTACTGTTGTGGGGAAATATTCAAGACTTAAACATCAAATATGTTCGTGTTTACTCCTTCCTCTCCCCCTGGTGCTAGCAAAGGGGAGGGGGGAAAGGTGAGAGACCACTATGCCAAATGTTAAAACTACACAACTTTATTAAATATTTTCTCTGGGTTTACTTAACATGTCAAGTAAAATCACTTTTGAGATTTAAGTGAATTTTAAGGTATTATTTGATGATTCAGGGAGTAGGCTTTATTTCCCACAGGTGTCACCAATATGAAGTCGATAATATTTACACTCTTGGGGGTCTGATGGAACCAGACCCCTGAAACTGTGTGATATTAACTAAGTTCTGTAAGCCAATAATCTGTAGTCATGAACATACAGTATTTTGTAAGCCGACTACAACCTTCAAACGTGAATGCAAATTACTGTTCTTCGTTAACTTGTTTTAAGATGTGAATATATAGCAGTTAAAAGTGTTCTTCACTACATATTATCAGGTGTAAGATCAATAAAGATAAATTACCCTTCTTACCAATTACTTGAACATCAAATTGTTTCTCGGCAGTTCCAGCCCGATTTGTGGCCAGGCAGGAATAGTCTCCAGAATCCACATCTTGGGTATTTGTAATCAACAACTGGTCAGGTGCCGTCAGGTGGAAACGCGGTGAAAGAGTCAGACTTTGACCGCCACGCCACCACGTAATTGTAGGCAGGGGAGAGCCATCTACCCAGCAGTACATGATAATGTCTCTCCCGGCCACCACCTTTATGTCTTCCACATCATCATTGTCACCATCACCACTCCTGTGTCTCACTGAGGGAGGGGCTGAGAACACCAATACCTCCATTAAAATCCTGTCATTATCTATATCAGTTTACTTTCTTTTCAATATAAAGTTAATGACACAATAATACTTTTAACTCAAACTATAATTCATTTTGGTTTAATCCATGATATACAATGAATATACTGAACATGTGCATAAATTCAGTATGATATCCCATTTATATGACAGAGTGGAAGAGATGAATGGCTGTGAGATCTATCATTCTAAATCAATCTTTGGCAGATTCTGTCAGTACCAACAACTTAATGGGTTTGATGACAAAACACACCAATGACAGCAAGACTACCCCTACCCTATGCCCTACATACTGACCACTATCACAAAGCCATTTAGGTAGCAAGCAGGTAACATAAGAGGCATTACATACTCATGACTGTGAAGTTGAACTCTCTGACGGCACTACCGACACTATTGGTGGCATTACAGATATACACTCCCGAGGATGTGGAAGAGACACGGTGCAACACTAACACCTGCCTGTCCTCTGCTGTTGAGTACTCCACTCCAGACCTGTATAGCAGAAGAAGGTTTTATATATAATGCTTCAACAAACATTATTAACACTAATTAAAGAGAAATGTGTGTTAAGAGATGGGATGCAATATTTCAGATGACTGGCAGAAGTGTGTGACCCAATACCAACAAGGGTAAAGGTGATGCATTTGACAACGGAAACTACACAGGCTTAAAGCTGTTACATAGGTTATAAGAGTTGTGTTAAGTAACTGTACACTATTGTTTATCATACAATACTTAAAATACTCACGAATTAGTAAGAGGCAACTCGTCTTTGAGCCACGAGATGATAGGCACCGGAGACCCTGTCACATCACACCTCAGTTGACTGTCTTTCCCCATCACTTCTGCTACTGTATTTTGTCCAACACCATCCTCTAAGACTGGGGCCTCTGAACATATAAAATACATCTATAAGAGTAAGTGAGAAATTAACTTGACAATTATATATACAAAATAAATTATCATGTACATTCACACAAGAAATTATAACTGAAATGCAGTTCATACCAACAGAAAAAAAAACTTGTCTTAAACTTACAAAAAGGATCATTGATTTAGGAAATATTCTCAGCATAATTAATTCATTTGCTTACTTCTACTTGGAAGACAACCACACTTCTACAACATTCATTCCTCCTTCACAGATTATTACAACAGAGTTTCCCACTTTTGTGAGACAGGGACCGGGGAAATTCTCAAAATAGTTAAATTACAATATATTATATATATGCAATTCAATACAAAATAAGGGGTTAGGGACTGGAGGCCCAAAACATTCACCAAAGCCCAAAAAATTTATTTACTAACTAAACAAAAGCAAGAACTGTACAGTACTGTATGTGAATATTGTTTACTAACTCAGGACAGTAACGGAGAAGTTCCTGTGTGTTGTGCCGGCCGAGTTGACAGCGTAGCAGGTGTAGAGGCCGGCATCCCTGACCTTCACCCTTGGTATGTGCACTTGTTGGCCACCAGGCATCACGTGCACATACAGCGGCTCTCCGTTATGCTGCCACAACACCTTTGTCAAAGAAAATGAAAATCTTATGAAAAATTCTAATATTTACACTGTATATACAAGTCTTGGAACATAATAATAATGAAAATGGGGGCTGTTTTAGTTCAAATAATAACTTGTAATGTTTGGTAATCCTAAAGCCCAAAAGTTTACAAACGTAAAACCCATTTTATTCACTTTTGCCGGCCATTTTTAACATACTGTAGGGCTGCCAATACCAAAATTCGAAACACACTCCACTTGCTCTCATTCTTTCATTTCTCATAATGCACTCAATGCCATGATCTCATATCAGTCATGAACATTACAATAATACAGTATTGCACAAATTAAATCTTAAGAGCAATCTCACTTACAATAAGGGGAGAGCAACACTTGCCTGAGGTTCTGGGTCTCCATTAACATCACAGTTTAAACTAAGTTCTTCTCCCACCTTGAGCCTCAGGTCAGGGATGTGAAAGAACTGGGTAAACTGAGGTGCAACCAACACCTCCAGAGGGAAGAGCAGTTCTGTCTCCCCAGCATCATTCTTGGCTATACACTGGTATACACCTATCAGAGTAAGACAAAAAATATATGGTACACAACTAAATACACTATTAACAAAAAAATTGGCAAACAACAAAAATTTGCAGGTAAAAATCATTTGGGCAATGTAAAACTTTTAATAAAATAATATCCTCTCCCATTAAATAAAAAATTTGTGGTTCAGTGAAAATACTTCCATAACTAACCTTTATCATCAACTGTTGCCTCTAATATATGAAGAGTTTGGCCATTGTCTTCAACAATTATATGGGTCATGTCTGCTCGGTCCTTGGTAGAGAAGATAGAGAGGCCGTCCTGTTGATGGAGAAATAGATGTAAATTGCATTCCTCTTGGAGAGAAAAAATGCAGAATGCAAGATCTTTATGAGCACAAATAAAGCTTAGTGGAAAAATAAAAAATTTGCTTAGAGGTGTATTTAATTCCTCATTATAATAGTAAAATGACATAACATACCAAATTAAATCAATTATGAAAGAATGTTGAACTTGTATGTGGAAACCAGAGAAGCCTGAAGCAGATAAATCAGATTATGAAAGTTGTGGGAAGAACGATTGAGAAATTAATAAGGCAGAGAAATACAGAGGCAATATTTTTGGCCAGTATCTAAGGAAGGATAGAAAGTTGTATCAGGTAATGTAGACTTAGATAAGGCATGGAAAGTGGTTGAAAACTGATGATGATGATGATACCTTGAACCAGGAGATGGTGGGCAATGGAACAGCATCAATGGGACAATTTATTTTCACCCCGTCACCCTCAACTACCACAGGAGTTTCTGAGCGGTGCTGTGATGCAACCTTGGGTGGAACTGTGAAGAACGGCGGGTAAAAATTATAAATCTTTACAAATTCATTATTTATTCCTGGTTTCTCCAACTACAGTATAATGTCTAATCTATATACACTACCTTAAATTATTCACTACAGCATAGGTATCTTCTGAGCTATAGTCCCAAGTTATGCAAATTCTCAATAACAGAATATGAATAGTATGTAAGTTTTGAGATATAACAAGATAAAAAATTATCCAGTAAGTAATATGTTTACTGTATGCTGTGTTTTAATACTTACTGAGAACTTTAACATCATAGTCAATATAAGCCTCCCCAATCTTGTTGACCAGCGTGCATCTGTAGCTGCCAGAGTGGGTGGGGGCAGCACGAGATACCTCCACCGCACCTTCACTTGAAATGGTTAAATCTGGAATACAACCATTTATTCAATCACATCTTATCCAAACAAGGTCAGTTATGAATAAATATTTTAGTAATGTAATGAAAGAGTTTAGTCAATATCAAAGCACTTAAGATAGTAATTGCTGATGTCAATAATGTGTCTAAAGCAGCATCTCACCATTCCCAGGCAGAAGTTTGGCCCCATCTTTTGTCCAGTCACGTGTTGGCTCAGGATAGGCATTGGCATTACAAGGGAGTGACAGCTGGCCACCCTCCACTACACTCCTCTCTGGCCACAGCTGTAGCTCCTCCTCCACTAAAGGAGCATCTACACTGGGGAATACCCATCTCTTACATAGGTGTTCCTCAATGGCAAAAGTGATATCACATATGAATACTGCAGTACTGCATTTCATAAACAAAAAGAATAACCGTAAGTCAATTGAAGTTGAAATATTATTACTTCTAACTTCCATAAGCTTGAACACACACCCAATAGGAAATGAAAATAGTTCTGTTTATAAGTGCACAGTGTGTCCACAGCCAATCAACCTTGAGCTAGTATCATCAACACTACTGTGGCTATACAATTCAAGTACACTTACATCTTCGTTACCATAAACTTATAATTAGTCCAGTTGTCTTTCCTACAAGTGACTCAATGTTTACAGAATAGTTTCAATAACACACTCACAGTTAACAGTAATGGTGAAGGTCTTCATGGCTTCCCCAACAGAATTATTGGCAGTACAGGTATAGGTTCCAGCCAGGTCAGGTGTCACTTCATTCATTAGTAGGTATCTTGGATTCAGTCTGCTTAACATATACAAAACTTTATTAGTAAATTCAAACTAAATTTCACCATTCTTCAAGTATTAAATGTTTATGATAAATTCAATTTTTTGCAATACAATACAGTCACCCACAAAAGTCTTGTTGCCTCTCTTGCTGTTCCTCGAACCCCGAGATTGAGATTCATGAACCCGAAGCAGAAGACACCGATGCATTATTCTGTCTATAAATGCTTTGGTTTCACGAATCTGAATCTCGGGGTTCATGGTTCAGGAAGAGAGGCAACAGGACTTTTGTGGGTGACCGTTCATCTTTAGAAAGAGAGGAAAAAATAGTCATTTAAGATCATTTTCCTTGCTTATTGATATTAAACTTTAAGTTCTTGCCCTAAGTCATCCATGGCAGTCAACTTCTCTCCATCTCTCCTCCATATAACAGAAGGAGGTGGATGACCAGTAACCTCACATGGTAGCTTCAGATCTTGCCCGGTCAACACCGTCAAAGTCTCATCACCTGGTGGAGAGATCTCTGGTCTTCCTGTAGAGAGGCACCAGAAGATTTTCACATAAAGGGACATGAAAACTAAATATCACTGTTGTAAATACTGCACTTGTTATACATCCCCCATTAACTATGGCAAACAATTAGAAATACCTGTCCATCAATCTCTTACAGAAGGGTTTGGACTTACTAATCAACATAACATTGACTGCACGTTTAGCTGAACCGGCAGCATTAGTCACCAAGCACTCGTAGCGGCCCTCACTCTCCGCTGACCCCACAAGTCTGTCAAGTATTGTACAGTAATTATCACATCAGTGGATAACATGGAAATAAGTATAGACAGTCCCTGATTTACGAGCGTCCAGTTTATGAAAATCTGAAATTACGAAAAAAAAGTCCCATGTTTTGAATGACGGACAAAAAACCCCAAAATAATAATTTTTTTTTCCCCATCATTTTTCTCCGTAACAATGGAAGATAACTGAGGTGCTGACACAGGCATCTCAGGGCTTCCTGGGCCAGACTTGGTCAGTTTATAGTAATAATTTAGCTAAATACAAGAGAGTACAGAATTGTATTAAGAGTACAGTAGCTAACTCAGCTAAAAATATATGTGCAGTAGTGTTTTAGTTATCATGGCTCACAGAATCACTAGTTGAAGCAGTGGCAAGATGGTTGATTAACTCAATACAGTAATTGGTCATTAACAAACGTAAACATATTTTCAAAGGGAAACAAAAGAGGAAAATCAACTTCTAAAAAACAAAAATAAAAGTGGAGCAACACAAAGAAGAAAATGATGGTACCCGAGTGATCCATCTCTGAGCGTGTTGTTCCACATGAGAGTTTGGTCGTCACGAATCCAGGTAAGAGTAGGCGGTGGGATCCCAGTAGTCACGCACGGTACCACCAACACCTCCCTCTCGGACACAGAGTACATCTCGGAATCTTCCCTAATCGTTGGGGGAACTGTTTGGGGGATATATAAAAGCACAATGGATAAAAAGAATTCCCTTTAAACTTTACAGCAGAAACATATCTTTCCAAGCTAAAGTTATATGCACTTATATAATTTACAAGGACAAAGTAAAAATAATAATGTCTCACCATGAACTTCCAGAACTACAGGTATCTTGGTGGCACCAACGGCATTGACGGCAGTACACACGTAAGTACCGGCATCTTCGGTCACCAATGATTTTATAGCCAGGGTTCCATTCTTCTTCAAACGCATCCTGAGCGAAATAAAAACATTTGCCACTCACTCTACATAAAGACTCACTCCCAAGAATAATAACACATATTTTCTTCATAACATCTTGTATATCTTCTGTGTTTAATATTATCAATGCTCATCTAGGTCTCATTCTTATCCCAACTGTGAACTGATAATAGACACGTATCCCTCCTTGTAATTAATTTAATACATTCTTGTTTCTCTATTAATCCCAACATTGTCCTCATAGGTTGCTCCACAGCCCCACCCCCCAAATCTCCGATACTGTAGCAAGATTTTGGTCCTTTATCTAGTGTGGAAACTCATTTTATTTATGCCAGTTTACATATGCATAATTATTATTTTTTTTTAAGAACACAATACTGTATAGACAAAAACAAGGGCAAACATATCAACATTTCTTCCTTCCCAACCATTCTACCTCACAACCATACAACCTTCCTTCCCACCCATTCCACCACACAACCAACTCTCTACTTCATCTTCGCACCTGTGAGACCCGCCTAAGATACGTTGCCCGTCCTTGTGCCAGATAAACGTCAGTGGAGGAGAAGCTCTAACTGGACACTTCAGCTTCATCTGGTCACCCTCCAGAGCCACGACCTTCTCATCCAAGCGATTTGTCTTTGCACGAGGAGGAACTGAAAATAGTGATAAAAATGCCCTCTGTTAGTTGCTCATCTTCAAATATCAATACTGTACTGAACACTCCTCCATGTTTTTAGTTGTTTCAAAGACATCACTCACAATGTTTCTTTAATTTTCTAACATAATAACATCTTTTTTCTTAATACATTTCTCAGTACAGATTATGACTGGGAGCTTTGATTTGATATACAAAACAAAGTTTAAAGTTTTCACCAAGTTATCAGTTTTCAGCATCTAGCTTCTGGACTACGTGATAAATATAACAAACCTGACGTTGTTCACTCCTAATAAACATAAAACTAGCATTAACAACATAAGATTCAGTATCTATACATTTACAGGTTTTCTAAGCATCCACTTTACCTTGGACGCTGAGGTGCAAGGTGAAGGAGGAGTTTCCAGCAACATTCGTAGCAACGCACTGATAGTCACCCTCATCATGTTGAAGTACTCTGGAGATATTCAGGGAACCATCTGCCTCCATGACCATCCCTGTAATCATTAGTGAAGATAAGACAAGAGGAAGGGAAGACATGTAGATCATATATTTGCTTCATCAAATTGGAAGGAAATTTTAGATGTGATAGAATTTGTTTGTGGTATCATGGTTCTAGAAAAAGCATATGATGGAAGAAATAGAAAGCAAAACATGGGAGGTATCATCTATGAATACTGTACAAAAATGCTGAAAGTTACTCAAGAGTTTTCACGGTGAAGATTATGACAGTTATGTCAGGAGGAGGACATTTGGTAGCTGATGCCATGAAGTGATGGGGTAGTGAGAGATCCTCATAAGTGTTTTACCGCCAGGCACATCCAAGACTCGGCAGAACACATGAATGATAAGTGAGGGGTTTATGGGGATGTCAGAACACTTCAAGATAAAATATGAAAATTAATAAAAGGAGAGTTTACTTTTTTGCACACATACACACACACACACACACACAAACACAAACACACATGCATACACACAAACACACACTTCATTACACCAAAAAAGTAGTATCCGAATTAGCAATTTAACTAAAAACAATTATCAAAATATATTTAAAACAATATTCCAGAGGACCATGATACCCTCTGTACTACTGACCACTGTCCAGGCTAATGGGAGAACCTTGAAACAGCCAGACAAGTTGTGGAGGAGGATTGGCTATGACCACAGTGCAGGGAAGAATGACAGGCGAGTCAAGAGCGACCTTCAGGTACGGGTCCGGTGGTGCAGCGATCAATGGGGCCACTGTCACAAACACACAAGAAGTCCTTCATCCTTTGTGTCATATTGTCTAACACACATTTGTAAAGATACATTATTTATTATGTGTACAAAGTGTGATTTAACACCTCCCAAGTACAAGTTCTAAGTTATACAGTATCTCTTTAAGACAATAAACTGGACAAAATTAAGTTCATAAAGTAACAAAGAACAACTCAACCACCCATATGGCTAGTAAGGTTTTAAATGGTGAAATAACGAATGAAAATCACATAACTCACACAGTCCTGATACCGAGAGTGTTGCCTGTAAGTCCACTCTTCCGTACTGGTTCTCGAGGGTACATATGTAGTTACCCTCATCTTCCACTTCTATAGCTGTGTGTAAAAAAGAATAAAACATTCCTCAGGACTTGCAAATAGATCAAACGTGTGCAGACGAGATATAATTTTCCCGTAACTGTAAACTTCTGTAAATCAAATCCATTGTAAATTAGAGTTTGTTTGTAACTTATATATTTACAGTATTAATGTTGAAGTAGAATAAAAGTTATGTTGTATATGGTATAGTTTTTCAAGGGTTATCAGAGGACCAAATGTCCCTCTCTCTATAGTCCCAATATCTTCAGAAGCTCATCCAACACGAAATCACAGACTATATTGGGAGGAGTCTGACTGTTGGTACACAACTGATGAGAATATAATAAAAATTTATGCTACTGTGAATGAACATAAGACAATTAGCTGTACGTAGACATAAAACAATCGCATAATTAGACGATATTAACCCTATAAAAACAATCCCAAAATTCTTAAATTACAAATAAAATTTTTGTATTAACCTTACCTGTGACTCCGAGGTTACCATCAGCATCTTTTGTGAAGCGTGTGGAGAAGGGCAAGCCATCACTCCTACGCCAGGTGATGTAGGGCTCCGGTACACCCACCCCATAACACGACAACTCCCCTGAACTGCCGATCTCCACCACAGTGTCTGTAATAGATAACATGAAGGGAGATGAACCAAGTTTTCCGACTTTTAATGTTTAATATAAAATAATTACAAAACATAATTTAAATTAAAGGTGCCTGTTGAGTTATAAAAATTACATTAACCCCTTCACTACAGAGACGCCACTTTTAATATTTTATTTGGCTAACGCTAGACGATTATGTTTCGCTCAGAGGCGACCTCATTCACAAGGTGTAAACAGAATGCCAAAAGAATAGAATGACTTTTAATACAGTAGAAAACTTTGCGTTAACAGAAAGCTAAACGCAAAATAAAATACCAGGTAGATAATACAGTACTATATAGTTACCTCATCTACCTGGTGTTTAGTGATTATTAAAGGAACCTAACCTCGTCATTCACCTGTTCTGTACACGACTACTCGTTCTGGTTACCTAGACAAAGACTGCAAGACAAGTTCACACTGTCATGTAAATTGAGTTACCTGCCGGGGCATGAATGACAGTGGGTGGTGAACCAACACTGAGGGAGATGTGGGCCTGTGCTGTGCCGGCTAGATTGGTGGCTATACAGGTGTACCAACCAGCATCATTCTCCTGTACACCCAAGATCTTCAGGTGGTCACCCTCCACCTGTACCATGATGGTGTACTTATTAAGTGCTGCATTAATATGATAAATATCAACAAATTGGGAAATACAAATTCTTTATCACAGGGACAAATAATATACTGTACACTTTGGCAAATGGTATTTTTTTTTTACTTTCAAAAAACAAGTTTACCACAGGGCTCACAATGTTAACATAAAATACTAAGTAAAATATATGTATCAATATATAGAGCTAAAGAAGACAGCATACCTGGATAAAGGACATTGGGGTGACCTCTACAGCATCATTCTTCAACCATCTGACAGTTAGAGGAGGCGTCCCTCTCACCTGACACTGAAGCACCACCTGTCAGACACACATAGCTTACTGTGTGTGTTCTCATGTCACCCTTGAATTTTGGGTTTATCGGTTCACATATATTGAAAATGTTAAATATATCTACAACAAAATAAGAAATAAAATAAAAAGACAATTAACTACTACAGGTTCCTTCCTTGTAAATGGTCTCACTCAAATTATTCTCGTTTATTTTTTACCCCCCCCGCCCCCCCCCCCAGTCACTCTCTGAATGAGGTCAACCTCATATGCAAACAATCAAGAGTAACCATTGTGTACTCTACATTGTCTTTTTCCCTGTACTGCACCTGAGAAGTGACTGTGGGAAACCCTCAGCATGTACTCTCACTCACCAGCTTGCATGTACAGCTTATAGTGTGATCTAACCTCAGGAACTTAATCATTTTTTCTTTTCTTTTTTTAATCATTTCACCACATATCAGCTTACTAGCCATTTGGGCAGGTGGTCTATCCAGTGCTTGTGTTGGTGACGAAGCTCCATAATGTCATATAAGTGTTTGTGTAAATGGAGATCTCCCTATGAAGAAGCCAAAGAAAATAACACTTGAAATTAAGCTACAGATACTTGAATGCTAAAAGACCTCCAGTACTTGGAAGATGGACAGGCATGTAACACCAAGTCAATCATGCCCTCAATAAAGCCAACAAGAGGAAGACACCCAAACTGTAGCCCTGGGATCATATATAAACTCTTCTACCCTAACCTTAACAGTTTATATTACTGATTAAAGGTTCATGTCTTCGGTTGTGTCAATACATATGAATATATATACTGTACTGTACATAAATACACAGTGGACATCCTTACTTACTGTATCACCACTACCAACCAGCACCTGTTCTTGCACTGCTGTCACTTGAGGCGCTGTGATGAAGTTCAACATCACCGTCGCTCTTACTGAAATATAAATCATTTGTTTGTTCTTATAATATTCTCCATTACATTACAGTTATAATAAAAAAAACTAAAAAAGTAAAACTAAAAAGGAAAAAAATAAATTCCTCACTGGGATATGGCATTTGATTTTTTTGAACAATCTTACAGAGTGAAGAATAAACACTAGGCACTCACCTGTACCCGCTGAGCTTGAGGCACTACAGGTATAAGGTCCACCATCTTCTGGGTTAGCTAGAAAAAGATTCAGCTTATGGTCGTCAGAAACAGAAATCCTTCCTTTGGTCCCTGTCAGCTGGGTGTTCCCCCTCCACCAGCTGATGGTAGGCTCTGGGAAACCACGACCAGTGCAGGAGACGGTTATATTATCCCTGGTCTGGTACAGCACCACGTCTGGCACAATGGACACTTCCGGAGGTGCCAACACTGATACATGAACCTCTCGGGAGATTCTTCCACCTGTGTAATTTAGTATGTGTACAAAGAACCAAACAACAAAATCAAAACATACTTTTATTTGTCATAAGCCAATAACTCTTTCCATTTGACAAGAATCACTGAGATGATACATGAATAGTGCAGGCAGGTCAAGTGGTATAAAATAGGTTAAATTAAGGTCACCACTGTACTTACCTTCATTGGCAGCTGTACACCTGAACCAGCCCTCATCCCTCAAGCTAACATCTTCCAGGAGGAGAGAATTGTTACTCAGCACTCGGTATCCTTCCAACCCTTCAACACTCACAAATTCTCCAACTGTGGGAAGCATTACAATAAGTCAGTATTGTATGTTTATTGTGATGACATGGTTGGAAGAAGGAATACAAATCCTTACTGTGATGTCATTGGCTTTGGAAACTTATTCATAAAATTTAATTATTTGCCATTTTTTCCAAGTTATGCAGTAGCAAAAAAAAGTTCTGTTTAAATAAAGAAAAGTAGTTTAGAATGTGGAGGCCCTGTGACTTTTATAAATACAAAACTGATTCCAAGCCTCTTTTTATGTTTGAGAGCAGACACGACAACTTCTTCCTGACCACGGTGGCAACAAGAAAACAACAATGGCAATATTACCTCACAATAACACACACGCTTCAGACTCTATAAACAAGCATAAATCATAACAAGTACAAAGATGTGAGGCAGAAAGCACAAAGTTACAAAACAGGGCATTGTGTATGGTACTAATGTGACAACACTCTTTGTCTTCAGTCTTCAATGGTAACTGTCCTGTCAAAGTTATTTTTATGAATAGGGACTTTTGAGAGGGCAATACACATTTTTTCATTAGTTCGAGAGGTCTGATGTGATATACAGACTGTATAATGAGTCACTCAGTATACAACACAAAGCTACACTTAAGAATCATCATCACAAACATTGTATGGTCATTTTCCATACTTGAGTTGGTTAGCTGCAATTATCTGATGGTAGCTGTTACGTAAATCAAAACAGTATACAAGTTATGTTGGATATAAAAATAATTTATGCTACAAAAGGTAGAGTGAGGAAATCCTACCAGATCGGTGATTGTACCTACTAGTTTCCGTTCTTCCGAAGAAATCTTGCACCTGCCCCTGGACAACATAACGGTACCAGGTTAGGTTATACTCCACAGTGGAGCTGACCTCACAGGACAGAACAGCAGCCTGAGTTGGTATCACTGAGGTATTGACTGGGGCAGCAATCTGTGGGGGTGGTTCTGTAGGGGTAGGAGACAACTAGCTACAGCAGGAGACAGACAGCTACAGTGAGGTAAGTTACTGAGAAATAAGATTCACAGCAAACACCAATTATGGAACTTGAAGAGAAAATTGGTTAAGATTTGAGAAACAAACAAAAAACTACAAAGAAAATGTGTATTAACTAAAGAATACATTACACTGACAAATTAAAAGAATAAACTTTCATCAAGTTTTGTTAGATATTGTACCATTATTTCTGTTGTTGAATACAGTAATGTCTACAACAATGAGTACAGGTCAAGACCCTCAAGTCTGGGACCCTTAGGATCAACACTTAATTTGTTTTGATGATTTCACAATATCCTGGGTCCTGGGTCATCCATGTTGCCCTCTGCCTCGAGTTTTGCTTCCTTTCACACAAACACATCTGAACGTTTGTTTTACTTCTTAAATAACAAGATAAAGAAAACATCATTAAATGCTAACAATACTTTGAATAAAAAAATAATTAAATATACTTATAAAAATTGAGAGTTGCACCTGGTAGCAGATGTTTTGTGAAATAAATAGTGAAACAAATATAAAATAATAAAAATAATAATATACCTGTACTGTTTTTCAATCCATTTCAAAAAAAATCTGCTACCATATACACTGTTCACTTCAGGATGGTAGCAGCGTTGAGTGTTAGTGTTACAGACAACGCATCCTCTAGCCTTCAAAACCCCATGTCAGTACCATCACCAGCACTGTGTCATGATGGTATAATATTGTAGGATCTCATGTGACGCCAAGAAGCACCAGGCATAAGTTACCTTGAATCTTTGGTTTAATTTTACCAATATATATTTCTAAAGCAAAACAAACATTCAACTGAGTTTGTGTGTGAGTAGAAGCAAAACTTCACATAGCCAGAAAATATAATGTCCAATTTCAGAGAATCTCTGGCTTCCTGAGGTCCAGTTTCGAGGGTCTCTACTGTACCTTCTAAAACCAAACTTGCCGTGATATATTTGGTAACATGATTAATAGTTAACATTATACTCTCACTAGAAGACTAAACACCAAGAAGTAGATTACTATGAAAATTAAAAAGTTATCAAAGGTCTGCTAACATACCAAAAGAGGTCATATGGAGGAGAGTGTGTGAAACAATGGCTCTTGAGAAAACTATACACTTCTTTACTCACCCTTCATGTCGAGGAAGATGCTTGAAGAGGCACTACCGGCGATGTTCGTAGCTACACACGTATAACGCCCCTCATCCTCTCTGGTGGGAGACTCCACTACGTGTGCCACTTCTGCTGACTGACTGTTGACCAAGAGACATTAACAGAGCTTATATGAACCCTAGTGAATATACATGAAGTCTAAAAGAATAGGTGTTTATCTCAAGACGTTTATAAGGACATGAAATATAATCTCCCCAAGGATAGATTCATCAGAGTAATATGGCTATGGAGGAAAACACATTAAATTATAGTACTCAGAATTAAACAGTGATGAAAATATATAATAGAGCATTTCAAAGTATAAGAACAAGAGACTGTATCAAGGATGGTTTGTGTTAGGGAGTTGATGATTAATGGATAATGAATTAAAATAATAGTAGATACAGCATTTGTAAGTGGCAGCGAAGGACAGAGTGGGGTCAGGCTAAAGCTATTCTGACATCTATAGGTTCAGGTCTTAGTCAGTTGCATTTTATATTTACAGCTTTTACAATTAAAATTTGAGCCATTTTCTTGACTTTTAAATTATAATCAGGTTCTTGTTAACAAAAACTTGTATACTGTATTTCATTGTTGGGTCACCTGAAGACTGCATAATCCAATATATTTGTGCATACTTTATTGAATATATTATGTATATTCAGGTCTATTATTTCCAAAACTTGTAAAATTTCTGAATCGGGTTAATTTCCATTCTCAAGCATAACACATACAGGGACGTACTCAATATATTATCTATCTGTATCTACAAAGTATACTGTACTCCTAAATAGTACTTGTACTCTCAGTGACTCACGGGTAAGTTTGTGAAGGGCTGAGTTCTACGCCGCCTTTCTGCCACGAGAGAGTAAACGGCACGAGGGTCTTAACGTGACAGGAAATAATGGCAGGCTCGTCGAAGTACCCATGAGCTCGTTCAGCCGATACAACCTCTGGAGCAACTGTGGTAAAAAGTCAACAATTAATGATGAAGAATATGAAAATAAAAAGTAGTAATATCCAAATATATTGCCTTCATAAATACTACTTGAGGCCAATATTATCTTTCCTCACAAAATCAGATAAAGAATAAAGATCGAAATTAAACCACAAGCTATCACATCCATTTTAGGTAGCTCCACTAAATTACCATGAATAAAATAATGAAGAACTAATAATAAATAATCAAGAAGAAAAAAAAACACTTTAATTTTTCATTCTCCGACATTCATCAGGTGTAACTCACAAGGAAGCTGAGAGGATATTGCCGTTGGGGAAAACCTCTCAAACTCGTAACCGTGTTCGTCTCGTCCAAAGATCTGAAAGGGTTTAATAATAAGAGTACAAGTATATTATAGAGATGTTAAAGGCCTTCAAGACTGGTTATGAGAGGAGGTTAAGTGTTAAACTCTCATACAACTGGTTTGTTTTATTTTCTGTCATATTTATTTTAGTTTAACCTTTTACCATTAATTACCTATGGTGCCATATGACCTTAGGTATTGTGGTGCTAAGTCAGTATTCATAAACATTCAATCTCTCATACAAGGTAGATGAAAGGCCCAAACATGTCAAATTAGAATAAACTAAAGAAAGATGAACTGTAATGTGTGTTTTAAGTTCAAGTTCGTATAATGAAGGAGATTCAATAATGGCTTTTAAGTTTATATCATTTCCTATTCTTTCAAAACTTAATCCAGATAACACATGTCTTCAATTGATACCAACAACATTTACTGACCTTAATGTTGAAAGGTTCATTAGGGGCAAGGAAGGACGTGCCATTGTAAACAGGTTGTGGACCCGGCAGGCGATAGAGGGGTAAGTCTTCAAGGATATCACCTTTGAGGGATACCATCTGCAGGCGATATATGTCTCCAAATTCTGTTATGTCTGCTGGCTTAACGACCACATACGATGAACCACCTGACAACAAACAACAATTAGAAGATAAACATATACAGTATACCACTCTCTACACTCATATATTTTTATTACTTATGTCATCTAAAGACAAAACAAATTCCAATGCTTAAGATTTCCATCATATTATTTTGATTATCTTTTACTGCTTGAACATTATTTTTCATATAACTTGAGTTTGTAGCCAATGCCAGAAATATTTGTTCAGGGTTTTGTCTTTAATATTTCCTTACTGTAATATGTGGATGATAAAGTTGCATTGGTATATTACTGTATTATTATTATTATTATTATTATTATTATTATTATTATTATTATTATTATTATTTAGCATTTCATTATTACCCCTAACACAATGATGGCATATAGTAAAAGGGACAGAAAAGCTTGCTAAGTGTCTCATACATGCCTCACCTTTCATGGGCCTGTGGTAAGTCTCCTTGAAATTAACGGTGGGCTCAAGAGAAAACCCGTAATCAAAACTGAGAGAGGAAAGTCCAGTCGCCCGGACGGTGTACTTGCTTTCACTGCCCACCGAGATGTTATACCGACCTGCAGGTAACAGAAAACAGTACAGTAAATAGCAACTGTGATGTTTGGTAGTGTCATCGTTCCCATGTCTGTCTCGGGCCAGAACTCGAAACTGTGACATTGTGCTGAGATACATGTGGTACCGCTGTCCCATCAACACTCCAATTTGAGGTGAATATTATTTTTTGGGGAGGGAAATGTTCTGGGATGTATCTCAATTTATAGCATGGGTGTCTATGGGAAATTTATGTCATTAGTGTATAAAGAGTGAATTGGATTAGTAGTGGAGCATACAAGGATGGTGTTGAAAAGAAGAAGAGATTGTTCCACCACCAACAATAGAAACGGAACAACCAGATATAAATGAAGATGAGAAAACAGAATGTGGTAAGACAACTAAAGAGGAAACCCTAGAGATCAGAGCCATGTCAGACCCTATTTACAGGCTTTTGTAATAAAAAAATCTCTCAGAGGATGGCCAAAGATTAGTGGTAATGGAGAAGTGTGAAGACCTGAAGAGACAGTTAACATCAGAGCTGCAGGATGATACTGACGATGAATTAGAAAGGTGACAGATGGCACAGAATGGTCACCCTTCTTTAGTGATGTGCTAAACTAATATAAGTTACCAGGATACAGGAATTTTTTAGTTTTAAGACAAAGATGACACATAAATAAACATTGGAAAATAGTACACACAGAGGTATACAGTACAGTACACTCAGAAGGAGTATACAGAATAGTACAACTCAAGAGCCTTAATTGTGTGCAAAGAGAGAGAAAACCTTTATGAACTTAGTGTAATGATATTTCAGAAGGTGCATTACTCCCCAAACATTAAAAATATATATTTAACCCTGACACAAGACAGGTCTAGACAATCTCACCAGACATTATAAGGCTGAGGAATGAGGGTACAGGCAAGTGGGTGAAGGAGGAGTCAGTGGAGGTGGTGGTGGTAGAGTACTTACCTGGCGGTGGTTCTTTTACTCCTACAATCTTCACATTCTCCAAGGCCAGTAAGTTCTCCACTCCTGTATTCTGGCTGACATCTTCCCCTTCTGGACCATAAATCTAAAACAATATCCACATTAAGCAAGAATATTAATGTAGTCTACAAGTACTATATTGTATTGTATTTTCAAACTTTAGAATTCAACTTAGATTAGCATAAATTAACTACTGTATTCTTGCATAGTGGAGAGGACAGTCAAATCCCTCCACAACATGAAATCAACCATAAGTGTCTGAGAAAATGGGAAATTGCTCAGCCACGTTCAGCTTCGGCGTTGTGTAGATATACGCTATTCCTCTCCATAACCTTTCAACCGAATGCAACTAAAATTAAGTTATGATTTGTGAAAATTTTTTATGAAATGGTAGAATTAGTGAAGGGAAAATTGTTGTGTAATAAGAAAGTTTTGTGAGGTGAGGAGAAGTGTTGTGAGGTGAGGAGGAAGTGTTGTGAAGTGAGGGGGAAGTGCTGTGAGGTGAGGGGGGGGAAGTGTTGTGAGGCAGTCAGTTTATTCTTTGTTACGACCTACAGTGTCCAGTGTAGAAAAGTGCTTATCTCTCCTCTGTAATAAAACATGAACAACCATTACTGTAATATCTGTACCAGTCTCACCTGAATCTTGGGCTTCTCCCCTGAGACGGAGATGGTAAAGTGCTTGAGTGTCCGGTCAACCAAGAGTGGTAAATTTTCCTCTCCTGGGCCCTCGCTCTCACGGTCGATGGACAAAAGATTTACCTTTCGGGATTCCAACGATAATCTTACAAAATTCAAAACCTGGTGAGTTAGGAGAAAGAGAGATTAATGAATTAGATAAAAGATGTTCAAGAAGTAACAATACACTTGGTACACAAATCAAGTCTACTGATAAACTTACTTCAAATCTAAAGCTAGAAAATAATACAAAACCTAAAGGTGGTAAAGATCATTATACAGTATAAATATATAAAGAGTTCTGTGATTAATTAAATGATAGATCAGTTTATTATAAGTATCAAATACAAAATATGTCATTAATGGCACGTTAGGGGATAGAGTAATGCTGTAGAACCTTAATATTTGTAGGGGTTACGGTAGATTCTTGAAAAACTTAGTGAATGCAGAATCCACCCTAGATTAATGGGAAAAATGGTTTAGGTTCCTGGTAAGACTGAACATAAGGGAGGAAGGATATAACACCACTCACCAGGTAGCCCTCACATGAATAATATATATATACTGTACCTCTTTCACATCACTCTTATCCAAGTGGAAGATCTGGCCCGAGGAGGTAGAGGCAATAGTCTCGAAGGCCTGGTAACCTGGGTGGGTGTGGTTACCGCAATCACCAGTCATTACGAACACCACCTGTCGTACAGTTAAGGTCATGGTATAATAAATCACACCTCCTACACTGTTCTCTTAAGTTACTGTACAATACACGAAAATCACAAGATGAATGTTAGTGATGCATCTAAGAATATTAACCTAATTTCATGTTTTAACACCTCATAGCCAAATTTTTACTGTATCATATGTTAGTTAAGACATAATAATAGTCTCATATGTACTTCCAATACATTATATATAAGTAGTTACTGTACACATATAAGTGAGGTACAGTTACACATACATCCATATTCCCAGGCATTAAAACACTAGACTGTACTGTAAGTCTGTTGTATTAATAACTGACCTGAGACTGTTTCTTCTGTATTAGTCTTAGTACATCATCTAATAGGTAGAAGTCCTTAGCACGAGCATCAGTGAAGACGTAGACGTAAGACGATGGGAGACTAACTTCTAGGGCCATCTTGATCGCCCTGACAGCCATCTCGGGACAGTCGCCACCACCAAAAATGAACGACTTCTTTAGTGACTCCTGAAATTCTTGTGGATCAGCTGTGACAGTCATGGGTCCCACCTCTGTAAATATAAGAATTATAGTATTTTACTGATCATATAATGTTCTGGTGAGTCATTCCCTTTTTACTATTGTTCAGCAGTCGTTCTCATCTTACTGGTCATGTCATTCTGTAGGTAGTAGGCAGCTATCAAACAGGGAGGTACTACCGCCTGGGAAGATATTGGAAGCATAATGTGTTGTCTAATGGTAGACCCTGCTGCTATATGGCATCACGAAAATTGTGACCAAGTCCCAGGTTGCTGATCTGACTTTCTGCCTCATTTACACACAATTGCAGGGTCTCAATTGTTTCTCTTACTTGGACAACACAACATACATATATTGCTTCTCACTTATGATCTTTTTTTCATTTTTGTATTTCTTTATTATTATTATTATTATTATTATTATTATTATTATTATATTATTATTATTATTATATTATTATTATTATTATTATTACAGTGTTGTTATTATTATTATAATTATTATTTTATTTTCAATTTTTTATTTTTTATTATAATTTCATCTACAGTACTATGAATTATTATTATTATTATCATTAATATTATTATTACTACTACAGGCCCCGATGTGGGTCAGTGACCTGTGCCCGGGTGGGCTAATCCCCGTAAAAAAAAAAAAAAAATCACCGATCATACCGTGTTCAGCAGAGGTGAATGGAGGATTTCTGAAAGTGTATATTACAAAAAAGTTAAGACAATTCATCCATCATCTGAAACAAAATCATACAACTTGGCAGAAAAACTTTGGGATGGGTTGTTTCTAAGCCAGGAGGGTTTCTCGTCTCATTCCCTAAAAAATCTTGTTAGGATCAGCATAGAGAATTTCTACAGCCATTCCCCTGGCTCATATGTCAGTGTGGTTCACATTTTCTCCACATGTCTTTACCGATCTGTTTAGCCACAATGTGACCAACAACAAGACAAGTAAAATGATGCAGATGTAAGTCGTACGAATAGCCAAGTATGAAACCAAAGGATGTGTGCAATAAGTGGACTGACTTTCCATACTGCTACACAACTACCACCCTCCAGCAGACACCTGAGGAAGTCTTGGTAGTAGAAACGGCAGTGTAAGAGTCGACCTACGCTGTGCTCGTAATGGGGATGTCACATTGGGTAAATTTCAGCATCCCTCGGGAGAATAAGGTGATGCTGTCGTTTTTTTTCTTCAGATTTTACATCTGAAAACTGAGAGCTGAGGAAAACATAAAGGACGGGAGATCTCTGGCACGTTTTGACTGCATTTCAGCTCCAACTGAGGAGCTTTGTATAAGTGCTGTAAATATTGGTCCTAATGGACAATATGTCAAAACTCCTACAGTAGTTGGTAGGGATTGAAGATTACACACAAAACAACACCTTATACATACTTAAATTAATAAGTGGCAAAGCTACTAGTTTGCTGAAGGGATCGTTGGCTGATCTAAGTGTCATACAGTATATTGTGTCGTGGTGACTCCCTTACCAGGTCCCAGGATCACACTACACTACCCGTCTCAACTTAAGGCACCCATAAAAAAACAAGCAAAACAACTACCACACGCTCGCTGCCCCTTCACCCACCCACCTCTGCTACTACTATACTTTACAACTTGGAATCGGGTTTGACGATCATCCAGCGATGACAGAATCATTTTAATTGAATTACCTTCTTCACATACACAAACACTGGCCCCTCACCTAGCCACCCAAACAACTACTACTACACACACACACAGGCATGTATATGCCCCCCCCCCCACACCTACACACGGACTGCCCCCAAACACACAGTATATTGTTTTTAATTTTAAAGGACCTGTGCACGAATGTCAAATAATGAGTAAAGTGCAAATAAACCACCGTCACCTGATATTCAATATTTTAAATACAGTAATTTTAAGGAATTGCTGTACAGTACAAGCCAATATGGTTCCTTCGCAGCTGCTAGTGTGAGTGATATCATTAACATGCACGAGGCAGGAAGTGGTGGTGTCAGGTTGGCGTGTGGCGAAGGAAGGATGCAGTTCTGCTGGCTTCGTGTATCTGAATCCCCCACTGTGGATAAAAAAAATATCAGGGAGAGCATCAGTTACAGCTCCCACTTAATATATCAGTAATTACTCTCACAGAATAATTAAAAATTAAAATTAAAAGCTCGCACTGTACTGTAAATCTGTTGGCCATGCACCACCTCGTGAGTAATTCTTCCCAAGACAGGTGCCATGCCTAATAATAATCAGAGAAGTAAAAATGAATCAAAAACTGTTACCGGATTCAGTGTCAGGAAGGGAACATTTACGCTCGTCGTCTTCCTGGATCTTAATAAGGCTTGAGAGCTCCATGTTTGAGGAAGTTGTGTTTACTAAGCCAACAGCTGAACCCCAGGAGTAACGTGGCTGGCAGCCGGCCGTTTGTTTACACACGGGAGAGGGGCACGAGGCTCACCAGCCCCACGATAACTGAGACTATACGAAGCAAGTTGTTCAACTTATATATATATATATATATATATATATATATATATATATATATATATATATATATATATATATATATATATATATATATATATATATGAGAGTAATACGGTCTGACTGTTTACTCGAGACTGGGACTGGTACAGCAAGTTCGATAATATGGTAACACCGTAACACTATTACATTCTGTACAGATGGAAGATGAACAGCTGTAACTAAAATGATAAAAAAATTCACTACGGGTAGACCAATACAACAGTCGCCTTCGAAATACCCCCTGACAAGACTATCAAGTAAATGGAGGGATCATACACAGGCCACTGACCTTTCCTCGGTGTGACCACCTCTAGTTTGAGCGGCAAGACAAAAGGTCTCCCTTCCAAAACTAGCCCACCCGATCAACTTATGAAGGCAATTCAAATAAAGTTTTAAAAACTCGCGCCTTGGCTACATATGAGAATCTGTGACTCAGATGTGAGTACTACGCCCTGGCAGGTGGACCATAACACCGTAAAAACGATTTTTTACAGGTAAACTTCAGGTTAACTTCTCTCATACCATAAGTGCATCCATAAAAATTAACTGCATCACACCTACTTCACTCCCCAAGACTTGCGGCGCGTGGCTTGTAGGGGTCTAACAAGCCCTTGAGGATTTCCTCAGAGCCACGAGGGAGTACGTCAGGTGCTCGAGGGGTCCTTGGGGTAGAGCACTTGAGACGAGGCAAGACAGGTCCCGGTAAGGACAGAGAGAGGTGGAGGTCATCCCACCTCCGCTTGGATACACCCCGGGAGGAGGCTGGTCGCCAGCACACACCGCTACTCTCACTACTCTTGCATCAACCTTGTCGTACCACATTTAAAGATACCGGAACAATGTCAACACATCACATACTATACAAAGTGACACGTCACATACAATATGTCAGTGAAAAGTCATATACGAAACATCAAATACTGACACACTACACGCAGGAAAATATCACGCACATCAACATGTCACACTATACTGTAACATCACGTCACACTCAGGTTGCGGCAGGGACGCAGGAGACAGAGATTTGTAGGATCAGAACAGGTCAAGTAGCAGCCAGGGGATCTGCAGAAGTGTTGAAAGGATAACAGCCAGTACTGACACAGGAGAGAAGGAAAGCAAACATCGTCCCTTGCGCAGGAACACATGACAACATTAATTTTAGGAAAACTTGTGCGTTTCATAAGCCCAGCTCACACGGCAATGTAGATAAACAGTACTGGACCAGGAATTCCTGAAAGCAGAAGAGAGAAGATTGATGAAAAGGAGGGATGGACTCTGGTGGATCATACAAGGGAAAGTAATGAAGACTGTGAAGGTAAGTATATCAGTGCAGAACCAGATGAATGAACAAGTGGGAACAGCTAGTGTCGCGATCCCAATATCCTTTATACTTGGGGAGTGAATCCTACCCCAAGTTATTAACAAATAAAGGAACAAATAGGGAACACGGCAATAATTATCCTCACCAAAAACCTACTCAACTAAATGTACTTGAAAAAGTAAGAACAGTTGAAATAAGTGAATCACAAAAGGGAAGATAATTAATTAATTCAATTTATGTTCTAAAGGGAGTAATGACTAGCAAACATGAATTTAAGGGAATAAGTAAGTGTATAATAAAATAAGAGTGATGCCGGAAGGGCGAAAATATGCTGTAAGGAGTTAGACCAAACAAATATTACTTAACATTACTATATTACACAAGACATACGAAATATATATATACAACAATCACTACAAAATGATTATCCCTACCAAACAGGAGATACCTTACCACCAGGATCCCTTCCTAGGCCTAACTAAACGTGTCACTAATACCTGATACCCCTAGGGCATTGCAGAAGACTGGATAAAGCACTAGACAAGGGTCAAGGCTAGAGAACGAATGGACACGTCTAACCTATGCCACGGGTTTTTCGCTACTGGGGAGCGTGGGCACGCCGAGGAGCGCGTCTCATCTCACGTGATTCAGGACATTTGCTGGATATTTTATATAATTAATTAATACTCTCTTGATTTGAACTTAACAGAGTAAGACAATGATGCATATAAATTACATACATAAATATACAATTAACCTAAGTAACTAAGAACAATAATAATATAATAAGTACAATTAACAATTTATTAATAGCTTGTATGAAACGTAGGCGTGAACATATGCCTCACGCTATGCGAGTTCCCGAGCGCTCAGGCACGTGACACCCCAGCGAATTGAATTTTTTAATTGAAATGAAACAGTTTATTTAGCCAGAAAAATACAGATACTGAGTGGATAATAATAACAATATTAACATGGCTGAGGCAGTTGAGAACCTGAGCTCTCTTGTAGACACCTGATATATACTATACATTTATCTCAAGGAAGTATTATGTAACATTTAGTAACATCTGGAATAGTACAATAGCATGGTGGTAATAAGAACTTAAAGGAAGGGAGCGTAGTCTTTGCTCGGATGGGTGGGGGTAAGTTGTTCCATACCTTCACACCGTGATATTTTATGGAGGTCTGGGACTGAGAGGAGCGCATGGGGGGTGGTCTTAGTAGCTCTGGGTGCCTTAAGTTGTATCTCTGATTATTCCGGAACTGGAAATAATTATTGTCAAGCGCTGCGACCTCTCACGCTTGAGGTGTTCAGTGTGTAAATAACTATATATCTGACCACACCCCACACAACACGATGAATATCAAGACAAGTCAGAGTGTAGAAGGGCCAAAAAAAAGAGTTTTAGAAGCCGACTGCAAACAAAACCAAAGACACGTGTGAGAGTTATCAGATCTGAAACTTGAAGATGGCAACTATGCGGAGTCAGATCAGTGCAAGGCGGTGTTAAATAGATTATTTTCCTCTGTCTTCACAAGAACTCTTGAGAAAAACGATTTGACACAACACCAACATACACAGTTCTCAGAAGAGTGTAAACCAAACTGTCAAAGCGTAAGGTGACTCTGGTAGTGTGAAAGTGTGCATCTTAATGTTGATGGACGAACTCGCAGTCTTTTAAAATCCTAGGGTTGGGAAGTCTTTTTAAAACACCATATTAATATAAATCTCCCTAAATTCACTATTATCGGGTACAGTATGACTGTGACTCCCGTGACGGTGAAACATGATACATAGGACACGAGGGGGTAGGGGTACCCAAGTCACAGTGGGTCCTTAGAGTACTATGACCTACTAACACCATTGGCGCGAGTGTTTTGTATGGTGCGAAATAAAAAACTAGGTCGAGGTCTCACTCAAGGGCGATGTTATGAAAGACCCTCCTCTTAACCCAATATCCATTTCATTTCCTACTAGATTTCTTCCGTTTTCTCCTTTCTTTTATCCAATCAATCTTTGTTTATATTGTCTCCATCCCTACTTCATTAATATTTTCTCTCTCCACTCTCCCTCCCTCCATTCCTATTTATTCATTCTTTCCTCCACAATCCCTGCAACCTCTCTTGCCTTTTTCCTTTCTACGTCAACCTCCAGTTCCCTCCAGTTCTTTTCGTCAAGATCTCTACCACCCTTCTGGCCATCTGTAACTCCTCTCCTCTGATTCATTGATTGATATTTATACAGTAAATTCGTCATACAAGTTTACAATTGGTTTGACATGTGTATAGACAACGCAGGTAAACAGTGTACATAGACAGTACAGGTACACAAACAATGGTAAACAGTAAGGCAATGTATAGCCAACAAAGCCATCTGTCTTTCCTTTGCTCCTCCTCCCACAAGATGCTTTCCTCGTGTGTTTCCCCAGCATGAAGTGTCAGTAATACTTCACTCCAAGAAAACCCACATTACTTAACGAGCACGGGTGTGTGTTACTTAAGTGTTATCTCTGCCTGCTCCCCGCTGGCCACACACAGTTCTGTCATGGATCGTTTTATGCAACATCTGTGAACAACTCTGCTGGTCCCGTATCGGCCTCTTTAGTCACCTCAAAACTCAACCAATTAAGGTGACATCTCTAATATCTCATATCATTGTATCATTGCTGGATGATCGTCGTTACTCGATTCCGAGCTTTCATATTAGAAGTCGGAAAATACTACTGAGTAGGCAGTTATGATTTGTCTTGAATATACTTTACACTTTACTTGGTTTTATTATAGTTTATATTTTATTGTAAAAATCAAACTCTGTATTTGGAAATTCCAAACTATATCACTTATAGTGTTGTCGATTCAGTAAATGGAATAGGGAATTTCCGAAGTTATATAAAGATGATGTTCCTGAGAACTTTATTATCATTATTATATAATACGGTGTGTGTGTGTGTACGACCTACAGTAAATACATAAATTTAATATGTACAGTGTAGCACTGTACTGTAGGTATTCAATTACCTCAGCCAGACCCCAATGTTTACTCTCGCCATGTCAGACTTGAGAAGGGAGGAGCCTTTGCGCGAATTAAAACAACAATCACTGAACTAAGACTTACTTTAACATGATCACTGACCATTAACGAACTTTCGTCGGTTTCTTTTAAAATGAAGCTTTTTTCAGTTATCGTTTGGGATAAATATTCTGTAATGACCACTCACGGAACACTCGAAAATGTTTTATAGTTTGTTCACGATTTTACACGAATATGACATCATTTCCAACGGAAATGTATACGGAAATGATGGTCATATTCCTGTAAAATCTGTTCATGTTACATTAAGTCATAGCTTAGTATTATATAATAATGATAATAAAGTTCTCAGGAACATCATCTTTATACAACTCTTCGGATATTTGATGATACGAGTTATTAGGGATGTCACCTACTTACTAATACTTCTTTGCTGTATCCCCTATTATAAACAGTGGGGTAAAACGCAAAAACGACTCTCAAATATCAGTATACTACTGTACATGTCTAACTTAACTAGAGAAACCAGAAAGATCTGATTTAGATTACAGTATTCTTAGTATTTTTTGCTCCATCTCCCCATAAAGTTCTGTAAATGGTCACTGCAAAATAATAACCATCGTTTAATTAATTCCTTAATGGGCGCGGAGGTCAAGTGTTTTTGGAAACGTTCAAAGTTAACGCCTGGTTACTAGTTCCAGTTCTGCGATAATATACAGTAATTCTGTAAGAAACTTTTCACCATAACACATTGTATAATCCACGCGCACTTATTATAAACATTTACCGCAAACCTAAACTGGGAACAATAATGAGATAAACCTACAATGTATAATAAAGACAAATGCTAGACTTTACCTGGGTCGTGGAAAGGGACGAAGACATAGTTGTGGATGGGTCGTTCAAACTTTTCCAGTACAGTGTTGAGGATCTTGCCAGCACCGTCGATCACCTGCCGCAAATCATCGGACATGGAACCCGTGGTGTCGAACACGAAGGCCAGGGTGGCAGCGCCCTCTTCCACAGGGTCTCTGGAACCCAGATCGATGTACCCTCGGGAGAACTTGGCGCCCAGCTTTGGCGATGAAAGCAGCCTAGTCGAGGACGCTGTTTTTATCTTTTCCAAAATTTCTTTACTATCCGCTGATGCAGAGTCATATCTGATATTACCTTCGTCATATCTCGCCTCCCGACGAGATTTTTGTGGAATATTGGTATTTTCTAGCGAATTCAGTAAACTCACAGAGTCTTTTTCTCTCTTATTCTGAGTATGCTGATTACCATCATCTGAGTGAACTTGCAATCCCCAGGAAAATCCCAGCAGCAACAGCAGCAGGGCAAACCCTACGTGCTGGTTATTTGTTCTCACTAACATAATTATGAGCTAATCGTACTGGGGTGTATCATAACATTCCTGTATAGAGACATCAAGTTTTAGAAAAGCATGGGGACCTCTGTGGGTGGCGTAAGTGTCGTCCTTACAAGGTATCGTCTCAAGTTGCACTTAATGCTTCTCTGTTTGGACAGCCTGCGGCTCTTACACCACGATCTTACATTCCAGTGTGGATAAACAAACAGTCTGTATACCGATGGATTAGTTTTCATTTACTTAGATGCATTATGTTACGAGACGCCTTGATGACACCCACCCACAAACAGACGCCCTTGCGATATAAGCTCCTTGTATCTTACAACCAAAATAATCTAATTTTATCCTTGTTATAACAAGAGGCTGGAAAAGTATAAGGCAAAGAACAGATTTAGTTATAAATAGAGATGCTGTGTAAGGCTTGGCAGGGCGGCAGCCTGGAGAGTGTTACGCCTTTCAACGCTGCTCCCCGGTAACAACAACCTCAGGGTTGTAGGTACAGTACGTTAAGTTATGACATTAACATACTTGCATTATGGTTTATTTTACGAGTAGTTGTACAAGTAATAATCACGAAGTTGTTTACTGTACGGACGGAATTTGCATGAGATAAATATAACATGATTTTATGACATCACCAGATGCTATGATTTGTACAGACTCAGAGTAAAATTGTGAATATTTTCCCATAAATTCATTATATTAGGTTGTAACGTATCTTGCTTTACTCATACATTCGTAAGTCCACATCAGTTGAGTATCAAAGATTTTGTAGCAAAATCCCGAATAAATTTATATTGTATTATTATAAATGTGCAATCACGGTGAAAGAAAAAAAACATTTGGTCTTACAATTGATATCTGGTTATTGTGAACTCAATGTAAATACGGGATCAAATGATAGGTTCTCTGTTACTGTGGATGATGAGAAGAGGAATGAAAGACTTGAAGAGTGAAGTGTGTGGAGGGTGGCTGAGTTACTAAGAGGAGTACCGGTTTATTATATACTATTAGTATCTGAACGCTAAGGAGTACGTAACTAACTGACAACAGATCATGTATTCGTGATATGACACTACCAAACAACCACACCTCATCTATCATATATATCCATTCACGTCCACCCACCATGAATAACCATCAAATAACAGCAATCCCACACTTTCCCTTTAAAGAGATCAAACAAGAGGCTCTGTGATAACTGTTCAACTTATCCACGATCGGGTAGTTAGTTTCTCACGGTCCACGAAGGTTAGGATGGACGCAACACAATAATTGTTTATCCTTCAGTCTTTCGCGTTTAAATGCCCGTGGAGGTGTGATTAGTAACAAAATAACACACAAAAGGAGAGGAAAGCGAAGTCAGCGGCTCTACAATAATACCATTTCCACTTCTTTTTGCACTGTGGAATTATTATCTGAACGTCTTCAAAGAATGTTGAAACACAATCACAATAATCAGTAAGACATTATTCACAAAAATGCCAAGTAGTTTCTACACACTGTCACAATTTGAACTCGCTGTGTTCACCAACATCATGGAAACAGTCTTGTCACTAATAGCGTCCATTACCTCGACGTATATGATGGCTCACGCGAATAACAAGAAGACAAACTATAAGGCAGACGAGTGGCGAGTGTTTGCAGGGCGTCCCGCCTTGAGGAACACCTTCACCACGAGAGCCTTGGCCTTGACTGAAACTGTCCGTGGCTCCGGCTGGCCCGTGGCTCCTGCCTGGCTGCCCTTCCCACCCTGCCCGATCTTCCCACTTGGCGCCAACTGTGCCGTACCCACATTCGATACCTTTAATGATAAATAAAAAAAATCAATGTATAAACCTTTAATCTAGATACCTATATCTACCAATAAAATATTCTAATAAGTTTTCATGACAAGATATAAGAGGAAGGGCGCTTACCTCAAAATTTACCATGACGCCCAAGGCAGCCAGACGTGGCACCTCTGTAATGTAAACAGAGCATGAAGAAGTAACCAACAATCTGAGCTCGGTCAACCTTTAGACTTGTTATTTTTTCATCAGTTGTCGTTCAGTAGATTAAGTTAACGTCTTCACAACAGGGTGGTTAGATTTCATTGTCTTAATTGCAAAAATTTTTATTTATTCATGTTATTGGCAAAACGGGTAGACTTATAGAAAGACTTTCACTACCTTGACTCTTGTTTCCGAATCAATAATTTGGAGCACAATGACAACAAGAATTAGTAGTGCTCGTTGGGATAAACATTCACGTTATAAATACGTTTGACAAGCTATTCTCTCCATTTGTCTTAAAGTTTAATTAGGTTAATGTAGTTTAATTTAAGTGAGGGGCCGGGTAATTTATCTTACGGTAAATTGGTTAAGTGAGGGGCTATGTATGTCACCAAAAATTTACCCTTGATCCCGGGATGAAATATATGCCGCTTCACGACGAAATTTATATTTTTAAATGGCAAATAAATATTATAAACTACAGCACATTATTACGGAGTATGTTAATATTATTTAACCTCGTCTATAGCTATTTGGATTGACAAGACACTCCAGCAAAAATATATCTACAGTATGAGGTATTTCTTGTCTTCATCTGTGTCTTAATTAGCTCGTAGAGTCGTACTCTTTTCTGCACATTCAGTAACGTCATTTACTTACTGTGTTAATGATCTCACAAGTGACACTGACAGCTAGCTTTCCGTGTTATATATTCACCCCAACAGTCACACGTACTGTAATTTTACGTTTTTTTTTTTGTGAACGTGAGGACAGCTGTTCAGTCCTTACGGCTGATAGACCTATACTGGCGTCGCGCGGTGTCAATATGATTGGCTCTTTACATACGGGGATGCAACATCACCGCCTCATTACCTCCGAGAAAACAAAGCAGTGAGCGCCTAGGTGCCTAATCACCTACCAAACGGATCATTTTCCAAAGAAATGATTAGCATATCAGAACTCACTGATGAAAATATAGTAAGAAAATACACATCAAAATAAATAACGCGTCGACGGGTTAGTCACCGATAATAGTCAATATATAAAACGAAATTGGTGAGATAGAGGTTAATTTGACTTTTATGGAAACCACATCGAATGTTTATGAACCCGCCATACAGGAAGCACTTGACGAGATAGGTAACATGACGGTTTTTGCGCTCCTATTGGGTATAAAACTATGAAAAAAAAAACGATTCAGCCCCGGAAATGATGATACCTGTTGACTGTTTTGTGTCAATATACCTTTAAATCCCACGCAGGCGATGGTGCTCGTTTATTCTACACCCTCTGGCATCCTGTGGAAGGTTTACTATGGTTATTATGGTAACCATGAGTAGTGTAGTCTATCCTGTTACGGTCTTTTTTGGGTTTGTCTTAGTAGCTGTTGGGTTATTTAAGTTTATTATTAATTGAATAAATATGTATAATACTTTAAGAATCTCTCTCTCTTTATATATTATATATATATATATATATATATATATATATATATATATATATATATATATATATATATATATATATATATATATATATATATATATATATACACACATGAATGTATTGCTGAGTATTAGGTTTTATATCTAGAAGTGTAAGTAATAAGAGTGCAGAGGTCTTATTACAACTATATCTTGCGCTAGTCAGGCAGCACCTCGATTATACGGTTCAGTTCTGGTACCCTTATTATAGAATGGATATCAATTCACTGGAGTCGGTGCAGCGAAGAATTACGAAAATGACTCCGGGACTTAGAAACCTTCCATATCAAGATAGGTTAAAGAAACTAAACTTGCATTCCCTAGAAAGACGAAGAGTGCGGGGAGATATGATAGAAGTATTTAAGTGGGTGAAAGGAATCAATAAAGGAGATATAGATAAAGTTCTTATAATATCCGAGCAGGATAGGACTCGTAGCAACGGATTTAAGTTGGATAAGTTTAGGTTTAGGAGGGCGATAGGAAAGAACTGGTTCACGAATAGGGTGGTGGATGAGTGGAACAAGCTTAGCAACTTTGTAGTAAGTGCTGGAACGCTGGAAACTTTCAAAAGGAGGCTAGATAGATTCATGGATGATAGAGTGGTAGTAACTCTCGACAGGAGCTGCTATGCACAGGCCAACCGGCCTATTGCCGACTCCTTATTTTCTTGTTTTTTTATTTTTTATTTGTGAATTTAGAATTATTGTGAGGATAAATTCACGGAGATGTTCATTAGGTCTACTTTCGTAAACCAAGAAAACTACGTATTTTTTCCGCTCTTGTTCTATTCATCTTTCAATAGTCGACCATTAGTATTTTGTTATATGCAGATGGGTGAGATGTTGGCCGCAGGAGTGAGGCGCTTAAAATGTCAAGACCTCCCGTGGTGGCGACCTTCCTGACGTTCACTCCTTTCAGTACAAGATAAGAGGTCAGAGTTAGGAGACCGGGAGCCGAGGGCGAGTGGCAAAAAGTCCGACAAAGAGCCACTGAGGCTGAGACAAAACCCAGGGAAGCTTCCTTGTTAAGACACCGTCAACACACCCATTACAACTCACAGTATTATACAGTTAAAAATATATTCACCAAATCTCAAAACTACTGCTGCTCAAACACTTCAGATAAAATCCTATTTTATGTTCTTCATTACGTTGTGACAAGAGCCACAATATTATAGCTTATGTGTGTGTGTGTGTCACGCCAAGTAGGGATAATTCTTATCTCAAAAATTCAAACGGGTTTCAATATAGGAACTCTTAAACTATTAGTGAATTACATCATTACTAACCTATCCTCCCGTAACTTAAACCTAATTTAGGTATACTGTAGTTTCAATGTAACTTAATTGCATTAAGTATAAGCAATAAAAACAAACACATCTCTATTTGAAAACAAAAAGGTAATGTTTTACAACTTTACCAGACGATTATTTCTATTCAGTGTTATAATAATAAACTGTAGTAACAATAAAGATCACATGCATCCATATTGGGATACAACCGTTTTAATTTATACATTTCGATAATCCAATGTTCTAAAGTGAAATTATGATTATACCAACAATGTAAACTTGCCCCTTTTCGTTTACTTTTTATAATGAAGTAATCATTATTATTCTTGTCTTGACGTCATAAGTAGCTGCATATGGTTGACAGGAAGTGGGGTGCCCCAGACCTGTCTTCCTGTTAGTAGCCTCTCTCTCTCTCTGTTATTTCTAGTTCATAGTTATCCTGTTGTACATTTTGTTTTTGTTTTTAACAGTATAGTACATATAGATCACCCGTAAAAAGAAAAAGAAAAAAAGACCTACATCCTGATTTGGTAACACTGGTGGATGGTGACGTAGGTTTAGACCTCTTCATTAGTCTGATGGCTTACTGCGATTTTTGGTTTTTAACTTCCCTTGTGAACAATACACCACACTCATAAAGCCTAACACCACTTAACTGAGCATCATGATGAGAAGAATGACCATGAAAACTATATTGTAAAGTAAAATTAAGCAAAAGGAAACATGAGTAAATAATGCATTCTAATTTTTATGAGGATGCGATTTCTGGTCTAATGCAAAATTTGTTGGGATATTGTTAGTGTATGTTAGCAGGATGTCATAGAGCGGTGTTGGTGGGTTGAAGAACAGAGGCGCCACTATCTTGTGTAGTAACAGCCTCCCTCCCTCTGGCGGTGAAGGAAGGTGTCCATGTGAGGGATGTTGTCGGATGTAACGTGACACCTCGCCAGCCTCCCCCACCACACACCTCGCCAGCCAGCCTCCCCCACCACACTCCTCGCCAGCCAGCCTCCCCACCACACCTCGCCAGCCAGCCTCCCCCACCACAGCCAACCAGCCACCACAGCCAGCCAGCCCCCCACCACACCAGCCAGCCTGCCAGCCAGCCCCCCACCACACACCTGCCAGCCAGCCAGCCAGCCTCCCACCACACCTGCCAGCCAGCCTCCAGCCAGCCTCCCCACCACACCTCGCCAGCAGCCAGCCACCAGCCAGCCTCCCCCACCACACCTCGCCAGCCAGCCTCCCCACCACGCTCCTCGCCAGCCAGCCTCCCCCACCACACCTCGCCAGCCAACCTCCCCACCACACACCTCGCCAGCCAGCCAGCCAGCCTCCCCCACAGCCAGCCAGCCTCCCCACCACACACCCGCCAGCCAGCCAGCCAGCCTCCCCACCACACACCCCGCCAGCCAGCCAGCCAGCCTCCCCAACACACCTCGCCAGCCGCCTTCTCCTCGCCAGCCAGCCTCCCCACCACCCTCGCCAGCCAGCCTCCCCCACTCCTCCTCGCCAGCCAGCCTCCCCCACCACAGCCTCGCCAGCCAGCCTCCCCCACCACACTCCCCAGCCAGCCAGCCCCCACCACACACCCTGCCAGCCAGCCTCCACCACACACCCCGCCAGCCAGCCTCCCCCACCAGCCAGCCAGCCTCCCCACCACACCTCACCAGCCAGCCTCCACCACGCTCCTCGCCAGCCAGCCTCCCCCACCACGCTCCTCACCAGCCAGCCTCCCCCACCACACTCCTCACCAGCCTCCTCACTTGGGCCGCAATGAGGGTGGTCAGCAAGTTACATGGAGTTAAGGGTAGGAGTACAGTAGTATGTCCCTTTTGTCCCCAAGTTTCCTCCCTCACTTTTCACCAACACTGATTCTCACCATCATTGAGTACTGTACTATGCTGCTGTTGAAGAAGCACTACAGTACTGTACATAAAAGAAAATAGAAATGAAATGAAAGAATAATATAACATATTATTAATAAAGAATAAATATATTTACCAAGAGACATGAACAAATTAACGATTGAATTACTTACAATGATATTTACAGAGAAAGAAATATAAAGATGATTGATAAAATCATTACAATAAATGACAGAGTAAAGTAAAATCCCTCCAAGAACACTACTCAATCAAGTGTTCATATCTGAAGTCATCTGTTGTCTCCCCACTAGAGGTCACAGCCTCAAGTAAAAGGAGCCACAAGCACCACAAGGCTTTCTGTGAAGAGAACATTTAGTTTTCCATAACTGCAGTACTGTACATACAAGTTATATACAGTACATTGTGTTCACTTCTTGTACCTTGACAATTAAATGAGGATAAATAAGAATCTAAATAATCTGCAATATTTTATTACTGAATCCTAACCTTACTAAATGTCTAGACGCGTGTGCTACCGCGTGGTCGGGTGAGGACTGGGTGGTGAACTGACGTCAAGAGTAATAATGATAATGACCATTGCACGGGGCACGGGAGACACTTTGTACTGCTGAGGACCGCCACCAGCACTAGCCCAAACTCAAAGGGACAGACCACTTTACCCTAGTGCTGCAATACCTACAAAAATTGGTCCTGTTCCAGCCTGCCCTCAAACTTGGCTCTAGCTGCCCTCAGTTTAGGACACTTTTGTAAGTGCCTAAAGATTTCTTGGGTTAAAACTCAAATAAAATATGTATACTAATACTACTACTAATCTACACTATCACTTATGCAGATACACGATAAGTGGGTTGTTTGATGAATGGGAACTACGTACTTCAAACTACAAATAAAAATTTCTAAGTTAAAAATGATAGCCTTGCAAGAGACTGAGTGAGGTCAGGGTTGAGGGCTGGCTTGGACTGGTCACGGCACCACCTGAAAAATAAACCTTTACAACGAGTGTTACCGCAGCCTACACCACAATGCAGGTATTTGGCCCAAACGACACCAACATATTTTGAATGGCTTGAAGGGTCTTGAAGAACTTGCTAACTAGTGAAGATAAATCAGGACATCTCTAAAGGGTTTGCATATGTATGAGAAAAATGAAATATTAGAATACAACTTTATAACTACATTTATGTTGAATCACGATGCTAACTCGGGCTAACATATAAAGGTTTGTGCAAGAAATGCCTAACCTACTTCACAGGTTTTTTACTGCCCTCTATATAACCCAGAGAAATAGTTCAATACAGTAACAGCAACAATCAGAAACTAGACACAACTATACTGTACAAAGTCTTTTTTTTTTGGTGTAAAATATCAAGAGGTTGAAATCCATAATAACAAAAAATTAAGAGGCCAGTAAAAAACCATTCTGAATCCACAAAAAATGATATGTAAACAATGAGTGAGTGAACCCGTGAGTTAAAAAAATAAATGTAAGGGACATGAGTAAATTACGAGGGATGAGAGATGTGGCATGGGCCGCCAGGGTGTGTGGGACTGCTGCGGTGGGGCGGTCATGTACCAAGTCGGCACAAGCGGACTCACTGGAGCAGACTAGCCTCCAGTGTTTATGAAGGACAGGACACATCTAATCCAAAACCAGTTACAAACATTCTCACTACACATTATGCCTTACAAAAACAACAAAGAAGGTTGTAGGCTACAAATATAAAGCAGTCAAACATTTGTTCATAAGCCTCTATAAGAGGTCCTGTGTATATAAAACTTTACTTGAGACCTAACATTAGAAAATCTCAAAACAAAAGGTTGACAAAATTTTGATGGCAGTCATTTGTAGCCTGTGTTATTTAGAATAGTTGCAAACTGTCACCAGAGTATACCCGAAGATCTGCTGACTAGGTGCTTCAAGAAGCCTCAGTACAGTTACAAACAACCCATAACCTTCAAGTAGCTCATTGTCTAGATTAATTATACCAGTCTTTATATAAAATATAATTTGTTTGAGGAAACAGGAAAAGTACCACAAATATGAGAACAAGCTAAGCATAGCCCCTCCCTCCCCCTTTACTAAAAGCAACCACAGCTCTAGAAAGTCTTTAGTGACAAACTTTATCCTCTCAATTATCCAAATTCAACGAGTATCACCTGGTGATTACAACTTCTTGCCGGCACTGGACAAAGATGATGCTCGGCTACGACACTGGCCACCCTCCACTACACCGAGAGACGGGAAAGCGTCCTACCGTAATGCATCCTCAGATCCATAGCACAAGGTTCCAGTACCATATAAGCCAAGTTTTAGCCCAATTTAGAGGTTTAATATCTAACCCATACCCTTCCCTTAATCCTTGTATTTCCAATATGGAATTCAATTGTTTGTAGCTCTTGTGGAGAGTAGCCAGTAATAATAGTTGGTAAATGTCACGACAGCCTGAGGAAACTTGAGTCCATCAGTCACTCGTCCACTCTACCTACACTATAAGGAAAACTGCCAACAGATCTTTTTATTCCTCATGTACACATTAGCCCGACTCAGGTTCAACCACGGTCACAATAACAATTTCAACAATCGATATATCAAAAATGAAGATAAAAATTAATCTTCAGTATATACTCTTGACAGCCTCGGTGTTATTACTGGCCTTAAGTAATCAAGAGATAGTCTAGAATTGGGTCTAAAGATATTTGACTTATATTAAGGTGAACTAAAATGTCTGACGATGTGTACCTGAAGACAATGTTATTCCTGATTTACAGTTGGTTCTAAGTATTATGATTTAAACAAACATCATGGTAAGACAAAGAAGTCATATGACTGATTTATATCCCTGTTTGTCATATTTGTTTGATAAGCTTATTTACAATCTCTTCTATATAATCGACAGTATTTGCTGCATCTTATGTAAAAATCTGAGGAAATTTTCATTCAAATACAGCATTTGTATTATGAAACTGATTACAAAGGTTCCCCAATATGCTGCAATACTTCTAAATTTGTTCAGCTGTGGGCAACTTTGCCACCAGAGTTGTGGATCACAAGGAGGGAATGCCACAGGGAACAAGTGACACACAAACAGTAAAGTACACAGAAATAAGGTTGAGATGGAACTCATTGATGGTAAATATTAACATCAACACTTGCAAAAATTATACATCAAAATCAATCAGTTAAACAAAAGCATTATATTTTCCTATGCAAAGCCAAATGCATACATACTGATGATAAATTTGCAAATGGACTGGTCCAGTATTGTACAGGAACATCTCTCAATCTTTGGTGCTTGTAAGTGTCACAATTGTGGGCTAAAGCATGCAATTACTACATTATAAAAACGTTGGAGATCCGTTCACATACCATGGAAAGGATTATATTAAAAATAAAAAGCCATAAGTTGCCCTAAAATAGATTCTTCATGTCTTTCACTGAAAGCAAAACAATCATACTCCCCTTCGTAATTACAGATGATAAATTACAGAAACTATTATATCTATCAAGAGATATGTTTAATTAGAGCTTTTCACACTATATAAATAAAGGAGTACAGTAGTGTTTATTTTCAATATTTCATAAATAAATCTAACCTAGCCTAAGAAAGAACTGAAGGGCCACTCATGGCTGACACTGAATGACACTTTGAAGCACTAATGATCAGAGTGGATATCCTTCTACTAGATGCACAGCAATCTGTAAGTAATACACCTGCTGACACATTCTTGAAGCTCTCAACTAATCCCCAGGTACACATAAAAGATGAAATATAACAGAACAGCAAAGCAGTAAAGAATGGTGGATGTCCAATGTTCACGGTGCGTGTTTCAGATGATTAAGGAATGAGGAGCAGCCCTGTGGAAGGAAAATAGTGGCACAAGAGGCATGGGTTGGATATTTTCTGCAGAAGAGACAAAACTACCAGATGAAGTGTAAGTGGGCTGAAAAAAGACAAGGATGGAAACTTTGTAGACCATGAAGGTTTACTGTCTTTACAACTTGAGTAACTGTAGGTCATTTGTTCTATGATGGGAAATTACTATTGGGTGCATTGGATTTGGTCCGTCGCAGAAGGCGAATGTTTTGACTGAGAACCAAGGCAGAGGGAGTCTGGGTGATGAGAACAGCCAAACTGTACAGTGGTGGAGAGGCTGTGGGTGGCTTATGCTACATATGATGACAGAAGTGGAGGGGAGGTGGTGTGTGATGCAAGTGGTGGTGGTGGCAGTGAGGTGAAATACAGTAGGTGAGAAATATGAGGATGGTCCCAGGCCAACAAATGCAGTGGAGTAGTTTGATAACGGGGCAAAATAGAGGTCATTTCTAGAAGTTGTAGATAGGGAGAGCAAGCTGAGGGAGGTTGTTGGGATAAGTGGAAGATTAAGAGGTAGGGAAGCTGGGCCCATCAAAACACACAGTGAGATCGAGGTGGCTGAAGCTCGTGTGCTCATCCCGCAGGCGACACAAACAAGCCTGGAAGCCAAAGGCGAGTTAAGGGGCAGTCGGTTTTTTTCTTTATTTTTCTTTTTTTTTAATCAGACCTAAATATCAGCTCTATTTTTGTACAAGTTCCAGCCCCACTTACTTTAGAATGTTTTAACATATCCATTCATGCATAAAACCTCATACCTTGATGATTTTTGTACCGTGACACCCATAAAACGACTATTTATCTAGGCTCATTAAAAAAAATAAAAATAACAAAAATCTGTCCCAGTGCCACAGAAAATGCTCTTGTAGAGTGTGCTCCTTAAAACACATGAACAAGGCCTCATTGGTCTGGCAGGCGATAGGGCAACTGCTGCTTGGAGCACAATGCTTATCAAGAAGGGACCTATACCACCAAGATCCTGAGGTGATGCCCAATGTTCATTTTCCCATCATCACAACAATTTACAGACAAAAAATGAATCTGGGCATGGACTTCCATCAGAGGACAAAAATCCCTGGGGAGCCACAGGCATCCATGTGGTCAACTTCTGGTACGGACTTCACGTGCATCTGGTACATTAATCTTCGTACAGAGACCAGTGATGAGTGGACTGTGCTCGCAGGAGGTGTTGGTTGTGGAGATATTGCCTGCCACAGGCTACCTGTGGAGGAGGCCGTTTGGGTGGTTGAGGATCGAAGATACAGGTCGCATCTCCAGCTGTACTAGTAGAGAAAAGTGATCTGAAATACAAGATGAAAAAAAAAAATTAGAGAATGATTTCTATAGAATATTTTTACCAATACCAAAGTTGAGGAAAAAAAATGTAGAACATATCAGAGTTGTTTAATTATACAATACAGTACAGGTATATACAGTATACACATATTCCTGTACTTGAGCCAAGGTATATCATGAAGCTTTTAAAAATCATAAAGTATAATACAGTATAAAGAATACAGTAGTCACCAAACTCTGCACCACGGCAAAGTGAATTGTGTATCAGTGAAGGATCTCACCTGATGGGATATGAGGGTGTGGACAGCCCATGACCTTGTTCTCTCTAAACCAGTCGGGATCAATGGGCCCCAAAACTCCCAGAGACGACATAGTATCAGCACTATGGAAGATGTAGTCTATTATCCCCTTGAAATCATACCTGAAAGTAAAAAATTGCATTTTTTAATAATTATCCATAAATTACATGTTATTTCAATTATCTAAAAGCATTATTGAAATTTCCAGGACTAATCTAGGTGTTCCATGTTTTAAACTAATACATGCAATAGTTCAGAGTGTTTGTTTTAATCAATCAAAATGGGGACCTGGAACACATTGTATGATATATACCTCTCACATTAAACCAATATATAGTTATCATTACCACACCATTTTCTACACACTCCTACAATTACTTCCATCCTGGCAAGACTATTCCCCCATTTCTCAAGACTCGGGACTCCACAATTGTATTACATTATCAATTCTATACTTCTGATACTTTCTACAACAACAAATTAATATGACCAATGGTTATAATCATTCTCAACTTAGGTTTTCAAGATATTAAATTCCTTACAAAATTTCATGTTAATCCAGTTATTAAAGAAAAAGAACATTTTGTATGGGTAACATTATACACCCTGTCATATTCCTGCAGGGACAAGATGGGAGATAATAACTGGACCCGGGAGAAACTTACGTGTAATTGGTATACGCCATGATTGAGAAATCATACGCAGCAGAGAGCCTAAAGGAGTGGGTGTAGAGGTTAGCACTTGTGTTAACCAAGGAATTATTGTTCTTGGTCACTGCTATCTTCTGCAGACAGGTCTTGTACCCAAAACTCTTGAAGTCTTCGTGGTCCATAGAAACACTGCCTTTTGTTAAGAACTCAACAACACCTGAAATAGAGAGATAAATACTCGTTAATTTTATCATACACTATGATTGCCAGCACCCTGTATACACATGTGGGGGAATGATTAAGGAGATGGAAGAGGGGTGAAAGACGTTCTACAAGTGAGAGGGCTGGACAGACATCCAGGAAACAACTGTGCGAATAAATGAGGAGAGAACATAGTAGCCACTTTGTTTTGGGGTGCATGTGATGCTGAAGGGTGATGCAACATTATGTGAAACAACTGGGATAAACCAGGTAAGATATCTTGGGTTTTCTTGTAGAAGGTGAACAACATATCAGAATATATCTGTTAAAATACATAGTACATTTATTCCCCAACTAACCTGAATCTGGGAGCGAATTAAGGTCACCACACAAGAGAAGTTGAATTGAATTTACGTCCATCTTCCTCCCTGCCCTCGACCTGTGTTGGGAATCCTCAACAATCTGGGAGACTACTTGTCGGATTTCACTCATCAACATAATTGTCTGAAAGAATCAAACTTTAATTAATACATTTTGTAATATGCAGTTGTTAACCTATCACCACATTATATTAAACATGCCAAAATTATGTACGAAATTAAGTTTGTACAGTATTGAATTATGAGCATTAGGCATCAACTCAATTCTCAACTCATTGTAAACTAACTTGGATGAGTTTGACGTCACAAAATTCTGGGTCCCAGTGGATGTGGGCAGTGCATACTAACACTGCCTGATTCACTTGCATTTTGTCTGGTGGTATTTCTACAGGGAGAACCGATGATAAAGTTATATTTCATTCACATATAAAAATTCTTCATCATTCTTATCAGTACAATATGATTTAACTCACACAATGACACAATGTATGACAAGTTCATTCTATAACAAGACTAAAAACATGGGTAAAATATTGTAAGAGTGTCATGTGCAGGTTTGTCCCTATAAGTGAAGGTGAAAAAAAAAACAGATTCAATGCACAGTACTGATGTCTGAGTCTACAAGTGACCTTCGACCAGTGTTTCCTGCTATTCAGTAAACAACAGGACACAACAGGGAAGCAAAAATGACACCTTAAGATTCAACCCATAAAAAAAAAACTACATTGACACTGATAGACTGTTGTATATTACAGTCCCAAAAGCTGCCAAGAACTGCCTGACAGACTAGTAGACACACACCACCAATACTCTTGTCCTTCTTAGGGCAGGAGTAAAATTTTATTCCATATGAAGTTTAAATGGTTCATTACTCCCAACCAATTTCATTCAATTATGTTTTTTATGTGAGGGAAAATAAAGTGAAGGTGTGTGTGTGATAGTTCCTAATGTCAGAATATTTTTACATAACTCCTGGGAACAAAGACCACAAACCTTCTACTGTTCTCAGGGAAATTGACCTGACTCACCTGAATTTTCCCAAGCTGCTTCCTTAGTTTCTAGCAGAGCAGCAAGGCCAATGTTGTCCTTTGTCATGACACGGTTTAACATATCCTCGGAGCCATCGTGATTAGCCATTGCTAACTGGTTGAATTCTATTAATCGCTCTTTGACCAGGGTAAACCTGAAAATTATTAATGTGATTTTCATCAAAAAATTTGTCTAAAATTTGGATATGTAATTTTATCTACCTAAAATAACATTAAAGTATAAAGTAATATTCCTATGTTAGATTATCAATGTTCCACAGAGTAACAAAGGAAGTTCCAGTCAGTGGATTGGAACAATTCTTTGCTCTTATATAAGCTATTACTCACTAAAGGTTAGGAGTAACTAGCAGGTAACTTGAAAAACTACTACTGTAGGTAAGAACTTGAAGAGAACACTGCTACACTATAGAGTTTGTGTGTACAGTAACCACAGAGTCTGGAGACTTCACATGAACAAATTACCTTAAATACAAGACTATTTACCACTCTGGCTCCTGACTGACAAGTCTTCCTATGCCATTTATCTAAAAAGTAAATAATACATTTGATGGCTGGATAACCTGCAAATCCTTTTTTTAAGTACAAATGACAATAAGCCAACATTTTACAGTAATTACTTTGTATACCCATGTGATAGATGCCTGACTTAAGACCTGCAAGAGATACAATTATGATGTTCACATCTGATACTCATTTGTTCATAATGAACTGATTTATGTTGACAGCTTATGAAATGTCAGACTGAGAACGTTTTCTCTCTCAGACACCATAACACACCGAGAAACTTGACAGTCAACTGTGAGGCTCTGATAAGATTTGCATGAAAGCACCGCCCCCAAATTATATTACTGCACCACACTTACCAATGTGACAAATACTGGAAACAAAATTCTGCCCCAAAGAATAAATTTTGTGAACAAAGGAAGATGTTTATGTGCAGTATTAAACATCTTTTACTTCCTCTGTTTTATTCAAGAAACAAAACTGCCATTTATCACTACTAAATGTGTAAGGAGTCATGCTGGACCTAGAGGTATGGCTACCCTGCCACAAGAATATAGGCCAATATAAGAAGAAGGAACAAGATGATGAATGTAAAGTGGACTATCATAAGATATTATGCCAAAATATTATGATAGGTCGGAAAGACTCACTGGCTGCTGATATCCAGAAAGATCAAGCCAATAAACCTCTAAGAAAATCCACCTTATGGGGCAAAATATATTGTTGGTCAATGGTACTGAATTCCACCCAGGATATTGTGCCAGGCCTACACAGGACACCACAGGCTTCATCATTACAGTCATATAAACCTTCTTAGGCAACCAAAATACTCACTTGCTAGTTCTCCAGAAGATGGCACAACCATCGACATATTTTCTTTCATTCTCTGACATGTGTTTTGCCCTGGACTTGGGTGAGAAAATTCCATCATAACCTTCATTCTTTAATTCAGGAAGGAAAAAATTGAAGAACTGGTCGGTTTCCACTTCCTGTGGGTGAAACATAACACATTATTAATCCCAAGTGTTTTAACATTAATGGTTCATCTATTATAGTAAAGCATTTATTCATTCACATTATGTAAATCTTGAAAACAATGAAAACCAAATAACTAAAGTTTAGATAGCCGAGACCTTAATATTTTTCTTATGTTTCTTCAACAAGATCCAAGTTTAGAAATGTTTGGACTCTATGATCTTATGATAACACTGGTAGGTTTAACTGAAGTTCCTGTGGACACCGGTACTGATAGTAACTTTATCTGATAGTGTAACAATGCCACCACAAAGATCACAGTGAATACCAGAGATAAAATATCTCCCCTTCCTAAGTACTGTACTCACAATACTACCTAAACAGTAAACAGGCTCATTCATCTTAAAACACAATACCCAAATTCAATCATAAGTTTCAAAACCTTGATGAAGAGATATATGACACTTGGATTATCACTAAGTTTAGAGTATTAATGTGAGGTACAGATTAGTGTTGACCTGTAAATCCCTGTAATGAACTGTACTTCACTTTATACTAAAAAAAAAAAAAAAGAATCATTCAAATCTGATCATACTATGTGGTCAACACACCTCAGGGAACACAGTGCTCTCTCTAGTCACAACAGCCTTTGAGAAATAAGTGAACCACACATATACAACGTACTTGTAAAGTGATGATGTCTGCTAGGTAATGTTTGATCTCGTCCATGATGCCTTTCTTCCGGTATTCCCACTCTAAAGCCCACGAAGGGCAGTACCCGTACATTTGACGCGTTGCATACTTGTCGCATAACACATTGTAGCACATCACTGTGAATATACCTGCAATGGAAGATATGCTTTAGTTATAATATACTTCTACCATGAGAGGAAATAATGGGATATACAGCTCAAGCTCTCAAGATCCAAGCACATGACAACCCTCACAGTAGTCCAATGTATGTGCTGTATAACTATCATCAATCCTGTCAAATTATTTGTTATTTTTTACTAATAATACAGGATAACTCTCATACATCAGTCTCTCATTATAAAGAACACTCCTCAAGCTAATGAAGGGTTCACACATTCACATTTGAAAGAGAAAGTGAATGCTTTCCCCCAACACATGACAGCTGCTCTACTTCCTCAGGCAAATTTCTACATTGTAACTTTTTCTTTTAATTTCCAATTCACCAGGAAACTTAAATACATACTGTACTGAAGTTTTAAGTCCACATGCATAAATACACATGGGTACAGTACACACCAATACAAGATGACTGGGTAGGAGATCGACCTGTACTGTACCTGCCTGTAATGTTAAACTAATACTGTACTGAAGACTTTAGGCGAGAGGAACAACAATAACTGGACACGAGGAGCTTAAACAGAGGCTGGTGTGAGTGAGTGTCTATTACCACTGAGGTCTCTCTCTCTCTCTCACACAAAAGAATACCTGGTGTGTGTGTGTGTGTGTGCATCTAGTGTTTTTACCTGGCAACAGTGAGAAGGAGAACACCTCAACTATACTCACATGAAGGTTTGGTTCTCTCGGGCTCACCAAGATGTATCCACGGTCTCTGGGGTGGCTGAGGTGTCGTTACTGTAAACAAACAAATACAAAACATTAATCACTACTGTTCTCTGACTCACACTTAATCAGTACCTGAATATTACATAATGGTCATCATAAATACACAGGGTATGTCTTAATATACTTAGAACTATTATACAGTCATTATTCTTTATACCGAGGTACTACAGTCAACAAACCAAGTCAGCTTATTTCAGTGAACTTGGCTGGGTGGTGTGGTAAACGACATACTGCTCCATGTGCAAATATCTAACTTTGTACTGTCGATTAAACACCGAGAATGATAAAATACCTCACCCACTCATGGTATGTGTTGGGTTGGAACATCCGAGTTTTCTAAACATTTCATCCTGTGTCCCAGAATGAAAAGCATGGAAAGTGACGCGATAATTATTTTGTTGACGGTACACGTGTTGATAAATTTACAGGTGATAGTACAGTATATAATCATCAAGGAGGACACTTACACGTGATTTCTAGAGCAGGTTTGACCCAAGTCTCTCTTATTTCTTGAAGGTGTGAGGAAGAAAGGGCACACACCTGGTGGAGGGGAGCATGCGAGTTGCGGTGGTGGGGAGGGCTGGGTACGACCTGGTGGTCTGATGGTACACCCAAGGCGCCACCCATCTTCTCTTCTTCACCAGCTGACCAACACTGAACATGACCCCCGTGTTTACTATGCTCCAACAATGTGCCATCTTTTGTATCATAACTCTCTGGGTGGCAGGTGTAGGTGTGCCGAGAACCTACTACCCTGCGTGCTGTCCCTGTAGTGTGCTGTACAGTTCCTAATTCCCAATCGAGAATAGTTTTAAGGTTGGTTAGGGCATGGCTAGTGGCTTTCAATTGAGGCGCGAGTGTTCCTATCCCGGCTTCCTCCATGGAAGAGGAATACCGACGGGCCTCAGGCAACAACCAACATATATCTGTGGTCATCCCGTGTGCAATGTCCGCCAGTACTTCCAAGTCACTGGTTATATCCGTGTGTTTGACAGGTCGCACCGACGGTCTGTTGTTGACATCGCGACTCACAAACTTTGGCACCTTCTTGTTCGGTGCGTTGTTATTATCATCTGTTGCCGAGCGGAGGCCACACAGCATCTCAAACAGGAGGCCTCGCACGCCCTTCATATAAGACAGGGAGAAATTATAAGATGTAAGTATATTACGAGAGTGATGTACTTCCCGTAGACTATAATGTGAAGCTAACAGATGAACAACTAACTGTTCATTCATGCCAGACCTTATTGCCTGCCAGAGCCAGCTCAGAAGATCATCTTCAATTATATCTGGACAATCTTCTAAGTCACTTGCACTATCTGAAGACAATCTTATTTCATACACTTCCTCTGCTCTACTGGAGGACTCACTGAAGGCTTCACTATCACACTCCTCACTGGTGGGGATGGAGGCTGTGCTACTTTTAGGGAACACACTGGGGCTGTCTGGTCTCCCTTCAGTGTCCAGGTGGTGACTCCCCTCCCCTGTACACTTATATATCTTGCATAGCCAAGACTTCATCACGTGTAGATCCTCCTGAAGGGTAAAGTCTTCTTCAACACTGAGGTCATGATCCCTCGCTACCCCGCCTTCCTCGCACACGAGAGGCAACACCCACCGTAGCCGGGTGTGGAGCTGTTCTAGGAGACGGTTTACTTCGGTCATTTCTCTGTGTAAATTATAAGTTATCCTCCCAGGGGACCTTAGTACTGGCTTCTGCCGGACGAAATTTGGTAAAATATCCCAAAAAGTGTTCACCAGTTTCCAGATCTTTAAGGTCACAAAAGGGACGTTAGTGCCCTTACTCTCAAGAACGACCCATCCATCAGGGCACACACACCTGGGCACTGGGGTGGTATAATGACACTCTTTACATGCCTCTGTTTCACCTGTCATGGTTATCTTGGGTTGGGTTACCTGGTCAACGTCCACAGTGCCATCAGTAGAAGCGAGGGTGCTTGAGTCCGTGCACACTGCCTGTACCTGACAACCTACTGAACAACAGGTGGAGTGAGCACTTATTAGGGTGGTGCAGTCACTATCACAGGACACTCCCCCACCACGTGACACAGCCAGCCAGGGAGTTCCACCTCCCTTCACCCGTCTTATCACATCTTTATCCTGTGTCACATCCTTGCTTGGGGTAGTATAGTCATCATTATGTGACACACTTCCACGACGTGACACACCCTCACCACGACGTGACACACCCAGCCAGGGATTCCCGCCTCCTGTCAAAGGATCACCCCCTGGCCAACTGTCCTCAACACTTAAGTCTTCTAAGTCTGCATCACACATCTTGTGGCCTCCCGCTGCACCTCGTCCTTCAATTCTTACAGGCATTTTCGAGTTTGCTGGCGGTGTATGGCTGAACTTCTTCACAACAATAGTTTTACCTGTTTCACTGTGGTGTGGACAGGTGGAAGTGTGGACGGGAGAGTCCACTCCCTCATCTCGGCACAGTTGTAACCCACCAGCCTCTCTACCACCTTTCCACTCCTCTAACGTATCAGCACCAGGTACGTGGTGGTGTGTGGTGGCACCACAACAGCACCAGGTACTCGGGCTAGGCTCATCCTCAAACAGGAGACTCCGAGCAACATCCTCGCGGCCAGCCCTCCACCCTATCCACTCCTCCAGGAGGTGTGCAGCAGCATGCAGCTGCTTGAAGGAGAAGCGGACGGCCAACACCTGGAGCACATCATCACGTTTCAGTTTGGCAAACACCGCCTCCTCCGTCACACTCAGTACCTCGTTCACTATTTCCATTATAATCCACCAAATAATAAAACTTTCTCTACATCACGTCTCTAGTGTACATTAAAATATGTCGCATCAATTCCACTAAAAGTTGACTTTCAATTCAAATGTTTTTTGTAACAGTATCTCTCGAGTCCGGAGGTAGTGTGTGTCGTAGAGGAACTGGTGGGCAGCAGCTACAACAGTTATCGCCTAAAGTATCAGTAACAGCCTGGAACAGCAACACCAATAACAAGATAGAGGAGGAGGAGGAGGAGCAGCAGCGGCGGCGGCGCTCCCCACCAAACTAGTGTTGGAGACGGCGGTCAAGGCCGGTCACCCACCAGTGGTCAACACTGGGTGTCAACTGCTTGTTTCCTAACCAACCGTTCTAATGTGTCACCACGAACAACTCTTTGTGTACATCAGTAACATGCGCCAGGACATTACCAACACCAGACTAACATTTACTTAACGACAAACATCCTCCCATCCCTATGTGTGGTGCACTGTGTAGGACCTTCCAGTGAATGACCTAACTCTCAGACTGGTTGTTGGGAAGATGATTAGCAAACGATGGTACAGTAAGGTCAGCGGTGGACGGTTTGGCTGTCACTCAGTTACAAGGTGTTGGTATTGGGAAGGAGGAGACCTGCCTTTATGGTGTTTGTGGAGAAGCTGAGGCGTAAGGAGGTGGGTATATGGTCCCTGTCTCACAGTTTTGAAGTAATTCGCGTGTGTGCGCGTGTAAAGTTTATTGACACTCATAGATACAGTAAATCTAGCGTCGCAATATTTCTTAGTCACGTTACGCCTTATTCACATATAAATGGTTTTTATTTAGATAATCAAGTATTACAAAACCTACCTCCACCACAACAATATGGGGTCATTTACTCCCCACAAGCACTGGAGTGACGGTGTGGCCAGCATACAGATGAAAGGTGGCCACAATAGGGTGGCCACCTGAGGGACTATACAAGCTTGATGTGGCTGATGGTAGGAGTAGTGGTGGGGGGGGAGGAGGAGGGGGGTTCCGGGAGCACCAACCTAACGAACCCCCCCCCCCTCCCCATCACGACCGGGCAACACCTGTGACCACCTATGACCACGCAAGGAACCCCCACCCCCCCCACACGTAGGATGGGCGACAGGGACAACTAAACTATCCCCTGGAGTCCTATACTACAACCACTGAACTACCCAATCTAACCAAACCAAACTTAACCTAAACCTGATTTGTATGTCAAGGCTTCCGGATATTTTAGTGACAACAATGATCGCTTGGGTAGGGTAGGGTAGGGTAGGGTTGGGCTGGGCTGGGCTGGGCTGGGCTGGGCTGGGCTGGGCAGGGCAGGGCAGGGTAGGGTAGAGTTGGGTCTAACATGACGCCATTTTAACCACTACTCCCATGCGTTAGTAAAGTATATTTGCGTCAAGCTTGAACAACCCAGGACCAGGTGAGCTAACTCATGAATAACCGAACAGTGCCGACACTACTAGGACTGTTTACCTTCCCGAGAGAGGGGTGTGAAGGGGAGATAAGAGGGGTGTGCAGGTGGGAGGGGAGAGAAGGGGAGATAAGAGGGGTGTGCAGGTGGGAGGGGAGAGAAGGGGAGTCACCAAGCTGGACGATGCAACATTTAAGTTCTCCTCGCGTCCTGGTGTACACTAAACCTCCACCCCCCAGCAGGCAGTTCACAACACCCACACTATCTGGCACTACTGAAGGAGGGAGTGGAAGACAGATTGACAAACTTCTGACGGTGTACAGGTCTTTTGTCGAAACTCTATAGCCAATAACTTGAAGAGAATTTATAATCATTTAAAAGTCAGTGTGTGTGTGTGTGTGTGTGTGTGTGTGTGTGTGTCCTACCCATCACATTCCACTACCTATATTAACGCCTCTCATTCTAAGATTCACACACACACACACACACACACACACACACACACACACACGCGCGCGCGCGCGCGCACACCATGATAGTACAGAAACTACGATGGAAGCGGGTCAACACAGTCACGATCCTCCCACCACCCACACGCGCCCACCTCTCGCAACCCACACACACACTTACGCTACACCTACACACACACACACACTAACGCTACACCTACACACGGTACTCTTAAACTCAATCTGTCCTTTAAACACACTCTCTAACAGTAATCAACACACCTGGACACACCTGTACCACCATATACACAGGTAATGTCATAAAATTAATAATATTAATCCTGAATCAATTTGTTATGGGAAAATATCG